CAGATTACATTTCCAACATGTAGAAAGCAATGCTTTCTAAAGACTAGTTCATTTCTATATGATCTAATTTATTGCTCTATACTCAAAAATTCCTCCTTGTTTAGAAGCCAGAGATACAGTTTTTCGCAAGATAATCCTCTAGTTTTTTATCCTAAACTGAGATGTGATATACATTTTAAGTTTATATTTTTTCGTACTGCAAAGTTTTCAAAAGTCTTAAATTTCATTTTATTCTTTTGTTTTCTTTATATGTAGTGTTCCTTCTTTAATTAAACTTTCTCCTGCAATTATATACTATAACAATGATGTCAGAATGGGTAAAATTATCCTTTTGGTAGGTTTGAGTTAACAGGTTTCATGCTATGGATACATTAACATGTTCTGATGCTTCAGGACAAGTGGTCAGGTTAGAAAGAGGAAGTAAAATTCTCTTTATTTGGACTTAACACAGCTGAGCATGAGTAAAGAAAAGACTTTTTAAATCCAAAATAGGTTAGTTCAGTAACCTCATACCATATAAAGCCAGAATTTAAAATTACTATATAAAGCCAGGATTTAAAATTAAATTGCATTTTTACAAGATGTATTTATTTATATTGGAAAAGCAGATTTATAGAAAGAAGAAAAAAACAAAGAGAAAAATCTTCCATCTGCTGGCTCACTCCCAGACAACTTATACTTTGGACATCCACAACTCAGATCACAGCGATAAAGTTTTAATACTGTGTCCATTTCCAATTCTGGCTTCCTACTGTTATGCAACCTGGGAAACTTAGGTGATGTTTCAAATACTTAAGCCCTTCCCACCCACATGGGAGACCTGGACTGAGTTCCTGTGTCATGGGTTTGGCCTGGTCCAGCCTTGGTTTTATAAGCTTTTTGGAGTAGAACAGCAGTTAATAGAGTTCTATACCTCTGTTTCTTTGCCTAGAATTAGTAAATCAATAAAAATTAAACAATAAATGACTTACAGTGCAGTGTCTGTAAAGCCATTCTTCTAATATATATTCACAGGGGAGAATTTCAAGTTTCTTTATTTTACCTGCTCTATGATCCACTAATTACACTAATATGTACTATTGTTTACCTGCAAAGAAATTAAGACATTTTCATGCAAAGGCTGATAAATGAATTATCTTACAGCTTTATTCATGATACTTAAAAGCAAAAAATAACCCACTGTATAAATGCAAGCTTATGGATAACACACACATAATACATTTTAAGAAGCTGTCATAGGCTGTTAAGGAAAAATTTAACAGAGTGATTGATCTTGGCAAGGATACTGAGGTTTTCTGTATACACAATAGTCAAGAACTTTTTGCACATCTTAATGAAATTAAAAATCAAAGGATGAAGAAAACATTTTGATGAGATTTGAGATCTATTACTCCAAGCTAATTACATTAATTTTTCATAAAAGCTATTTATCTATGAAGTTCTTTTGAACTTAATTAAATGTACTATAATAAATAGGATTAACTGCATCTTATCTAGGGATAATTCTTGTATCTCCAAAATAAAAGATGAAAGTCAAATTTATACAACTTTACAAAAATAGTGCTATCATTAATCAAATGTGTTTCAAAACTTTGCTGAACAGTTTCTTTTTTTTTCCCCCTCAAAATTGTGGTGGCAAAATCATTGGTAGCCTGACATTTGGAGAAGTTGAATCCAGTTCTCGTAAGACTCCAGTTAGTTCCTAACAGCAAATTTTAATAAAAGTGTTAATCTGAATCTCCTTTCACTGTGCTGTATGATCTCTTCCTATGTAAGTTTTATTTTTGGGTAGTATGCCTTACTTTCTCTATTGAAAGTTTGAGAATTATAATTCATTTTGGAATCTTTCATTTATATAATTTGATCAGATCACAAAGACATTTGATCTGTTGAAAGTTTAAATCATTTTAAGACAGTAAATAAATGGTTGCTAGATTTCTGTTATGGTTGTTGCTTTTAACTTGGTACCCATTGATGCTAGAGCTTTTGCTGGCATGAAGTTCCTGTTAGAAAATATTGATGTCTTTCTTTTGTGACACATAAATTGTCACATAAATGCTGTTTAGAAATCTCATTTTTGTTTATTTTCAGCATTTGAATGTAATATGTTATGCTGGATGTTTCTTTTAAAATCATGTAAATATGAGAGATTACCTCAGTGATTGCTTTTCTATTACTGTGAATAAAATGAGAGCCTTGAATTCAACTTTTTAATCTTAGGCATTTTTCTAAATAGCAGCAATTCAAAGGAAAACAACCACACAGTTCAATACTCATGGAACTTACATACTAACGGTCTCGTTTGAACTATTTTATAGGTTTATAAAGCAGTGTGTTAAATCCAGTTCTGGCTTTTTGCACATGCTGTTATGATGAGGCAGAGGAGTGCTACCTAATTATTTTCAGGTCACAAAGTGATAACTATAGGATAGGGTCCAAGAACTAAGTCAAAAGGGTCAGTGTAGTTACACAGGCAGAAGTTCAGCCAACAATAAATGTTGGCAATATTGGGATGCTGATGACAAACACACACATTTCCAAACCGAAGAGGCGAGTCTGAGATGAAGGTTGCAGAATCCAAGCCAAAGTATGTATTTCAGGGGAAAAGGGGGAGTCAGTAGGGATGTGGTGGGGCCACTACATACAGGTGAATCCTGTTCATTTGGATTTTAAAATGGGATTTTAAAAAGCAACAAATATAGAATTTCCTTATATTCCCCTTCCCCCACATATGTATGGTCACGCCACCACCACTACTTCAAAATCCCATACCAGAGTGGTTTGTTTGCTACAACCCATGAACTTATACAGGTGCATCCCTGAACCCAAAGACCATAGTGCAGTTGCTATTCCATCTTGATACTGTTTTCTTTGGATTGTATAGATTCTTATTGGAATTGATCCCTCCGGTATAGTGTCACACAAAATGTTTTCACTGCATTGAGATTCCTCTGTGCTCCTCCCAGCCTTCTCATTTTCTTCCTATCCCTTGTAGACAGTGATACATCACGCTTCCATCATTTTGCCTCCTCAAGAGTTTTACACCCTTAAAATCATACAGTATGTAACCTTCACATAGCCTTTTTTCAGAAAGTACTGTAAATTGCCTCCATGTCTTCTCATGTCTTACAAGCTCATTTAGTTTTAGTGAAAAATAGTGTTCCATTCTCTGGGAAAAGGACAGATTATTTATCCATTCATCTAATGAATGACATATTATTTGCTTCCAGGTTTTATCAGGTATATATCAAGCTATTGTAAGCATCCATGGATATATTTTGTGTGTGTGTGTGTATGTGTGCTTGTGGAGCACAAGTTTTCAACTCATTTGAAATACCAGAGTACAATTACTGATTCACATGGTAAAAATATATTTACTTTTGTAAGAACTATCAAATTGCCTTCCAAAGTGGCATATAATTTTGCATTGCCACAAGCAATGAAAATGAAAATTATTGTTCTGTACATATTTGTCAGCATTTGGTATTAGTAACATTTTGGATTTGGGCCATTATAACTGGCATTAGGATATTTAATTGTTTTAATTCACAATCCCCTAGCCTATAATGTTAAGCTTCTAATTTTTACTATCTGTAAATCTTCTCTATTGATGTGTATATTAAATATTTGGCCCACTTTCTAAATTGTGCCTTCATTGGTGTAAATAAAAGATAAGTTCATTTTACATGCCGTAGTTCTTTATAAGGGAGTCTGTAGAAGAACTTTTTATACACTGCAATGAAATGGACAAGCATATCATGCGAAATGATCACAAATCAGTGTATGAAAAGTATTTCAACAGGCACAATGGATTGATATTTGTTGTAGTGGCACAAAACACATACCTTCTTTCATTCAAATTTTAAATGTTATTGATGACAATCAATGCCTGGCAATTAAGAAGTTAGACACCCAGTAGCTCAAGGAAATATACATAGGGAATGGTCATCAATTATAATGTTGTCTTAAATGTAAAAAGGCATTTGAAAATTTTCTTCTTGGCAATTACGTTTCTTAAGTAGCAACATATCAGCAAAGACTGAGACTCAGCCAGTCAATTAAAGAACTTTGATCTACCTGGTCAGCTTTGTCACGCAGTGATGTTCCAGTGTCTTTCAGGTAACTCCGTGAGGCAACATCATTTCTGCACCATTTGACATACTAGCTATGAAGGTGTCCTTGATAGGCTGTGTATGAATATTCTCATAAAATGCTTTATTATTTGTACTAAACACACATATATTTAGAATTCCAGAAACTTCTTTGTACTCTGAATGTATTTCCTCATTGATTTTGAAGGAAAGACACATTTTAATATAGTATCTACTGCTGGGGAAAGGAGAAATATTTGAGGAGAAATCAGAGTGGTGGCATGGCCAGATGTGATTTTTTTTTTAGCTGTTGACTCAGGTTCAACAGATGCAATCCAATAATGAGATTCAAAGAGAAGCCAGATAGAAAGACAGTGGATATTGTCGGGGTCAGAATTGCAAAGGATGTCGAGAAAGATGATATGATTGAATCAGTATTAATATTCATGAGTTGATGAGTGATTGGAAGTAGCTTCAAAGCTAGGAGAAAGAGTGAAAAATGATTTCTGTTTCCTGTCTAAAGTAAAAGTATTTTATTTTTAGAACAAAGAAGGGCTCTTACATGCTTTACAGCTTCTGCTTGCTTTGTCAGGAAAAAGCAAAAAGTCAGCTGGTATGGATTATTCTCTCCAGATACAACCAGATTTGTCTCAGTGCTACCGCTTATACCACAGACATCCCCTTGTACTCTGATTCTGTCAAAGATACTCATTATCTCCTACTACCATATAAAGTTAGTCTCAGTGAAACACTCCCTTTTTATGCTGTTCCTACATTTTAATGTGAATAACCACTTTACCATAAGATTAAAAATTCTACTTGCACTTCATGATGACTGTTGTGTGGGTATGCGGGTTTGCTGCACTGTCCAGACTGTTTGGTTCATTGCACTGCATGTGTTGCCTTTAGCTGGGATGACAGCAGTTCAGTGAGCAGTGGCCTCAGTGACACCCTCGATAACATCAGCACCGATGACCTGAACACCACATCCTCAGTCAGCTCATACTCCAACATCACTGTCCCTTCCAGGAAGAACACTCAGGTGAGTCACCAGTAGTTGCATAAACCAAAGAAGATGGAGTTTAATAAGGGGTCACTCTGGCATCCATGGTGCTAAAATGTCTCCATCTTAGTTATTCTTGGAGCTGCCAGCCTCTCAGTGTGAACAGTGTTTGCCTCAGCATACTTTGAATATTGAGAAACAGCTAACATATATTCCTATGGGTTTTATTTTGATTGTATTCTACCCCAGAAAATTGCACACACATGCAAATGTATTTGAATATATATGTATAATCTAATTTGCTTAAAAGAGCTAATTCTGTACAACGCCTAATGAATTTCATATTCGTGTCTGAATTACATTACTTGATCTCATGTGAATAGCAAATCACAAATGGACATAAAATAATTAAGTTGTATCTTGCCTTACTTTTCCTTGTAACATTTGATATATAAAACATCTTCCTGTCTGGAGTGTTGAATTGAGGTTTCCTGCCCATATTGATCCTGACACTCATTAATGTATGCCAGTAAGAATCATGTGACTAAGAATAAGGAAACTTAAGTGAAGACATAGATAAAAATAGCCTTTAGAATTCTTTTGAAACACAAATTACTGCTTCCTTTAATAGCCAATTATTTGAAAGCACATTACAATGCCTTATTTCAAACTTGACAGATTTTTCTGTGTAATTTTTTTTTTTTCTAAAATCTTGTTCTTTCCAGTTGAAGACAGATGCAGAAAAACGCTCCACCACGGATGAGACTTGGGATGGTACGGAGGAGTTGAAAAAAGCAGAGGAGGGCCCTGAGAGCCAGGCAGATGGTGGTGGCAAGTGGAAGAGTGGCTCCTCGGGGCCTCCTGAAGACACTGAAAAGACAGGACAAAAAGCTTCCCTGCCGGTATCCCAGACAGGGTCCTGGAGAAGAGGCATGTCTGCTCAAGGGGGGGCCTCCTCTAGACAGAAGGCTGGAACAAGTGCACTCAAGACTTCTGGTAGGACTCTCATTTAGACCTGTTATGCATAAGTGCGTTAATTTGTCTTGTCCCAAGGAATGCTTGTTTTCATTACCAATTGCTTTGTTTTTACAAATTAGATTCTTCTCCGTATAATTACCTTTCTGTCTAAACTTAGTATGTTTCGTTATATACGGGCACACGAATATGATTCTCTCATGAGCACCCTCGTAGTTTGGTGCTGCTGAATGCCCTGCTGTGTGGTGGTGGTAATTTCTGATCATGTGGAAACAAAATATGGCCACTACATAAATAATATTTTTCTTGTTCTGACTTCCTTTAGGAAGTTTGGACTTTGATGTTAAGTACCTATTGAGTTACAGCAACCGAAAGCTGTCATAGAAGTCGAATGGATTGAAATGCTGGGAACTTCATCTAGAGTCTGGGAATTACGTATAGTGAAAAAGAGAGGCAAAGAATCCTGAAAATTTTAAAGAATTAATTTTTTTTTTATTGGAAAGGCAGATATACAGAAAGGAGGGGAAACAGAGAGGCAGATCTTCTGTCTGATGGTTCATGCCCCAAGCAGCTGCAACAGCCAGAGCCGAGCCAATCTGAAGCCAGGAGCCAGGAGCTTTTTCTGGGTCTCCCATGCAGGTGCAGGGTCCCAAGGCATTGGGCCGTCCTTGACTGCTTTCCCAGGCCACAAGCAGGGAACTAGATGGGAAGCAGGGCTGCCAGGATTAGAACAGATGCCCATATTAGATCCCAGCAGGTTCAAGGTAAGGACTTCAGCCACTAGGCTATTGTGCTGGGCCCTTTTGAAAGAAAGATTTATTGATTCACTTGAAAGGCAGAGTGATTAGGAGAGCCACACACAGAGAGATACCTTCTCTACGGATGAACTCCCTAAATTGTTGCAGCATCCAGCACTGGGATCTTTATACTAATTTCCCATGTGAGTGTCAGGGGCCCAAGTAGTTGGGCCATCTTCTGCTGCCTTCCCAATTACATTAGCAGGAAGATGGATTAGAAGCAAAATAGCCAGGACTCAGTTGCTTCACTGTGGAAAGCCTGTATCACAAGCAATGAATAAAAACACTGTGCCATATTACTGCCTGGTATTTTTTTCAAGATTCATGCCATGGGCCCAGAGCAATAGCCTAATGGCTAAATCCTTGCCTTGGTTGCACTAGGATCTCATATGGTCACCGATTTGTGTCCAGGCTGTTTTACACCCGTATGTAACTCCCTGCTTATGTCCTGGGAGAGCAGTAGAGGATGGCTCAAAGTCTTGGTACCCTGCACCCATGTGAGAAAACTGGAAGAAGCTCTCCTGCCTTTGGATTGGCTTCGCTCGAGCCATTGTGGCCACTTGGAGGGGTAAACCAGCAGAAGGTTATTTTTCTATATATTTCCTCTCTGTGTATCTGACTTTCCAATAAAAAAAGGGATCTTAAAAAAAGAGATTCATGCCATAACCATTTTTGGTAAAAGGCAAAAGGTTTACATGCTCTGAATGCTCTGTAACCGATTTTTAAAACAATGCCCAATTTTAAATAGTGGCACCTGTAGTGCTGATGTAACAGAACATTCCCAACATAATCATTCCAGAGATTCGAGTGAATTCTCTCTTCTTAGCTTCAAAGGTTAAGTACTATCCTTATAAAGGAAGAGATTGGTAAGATATAAAATAATAACAAATAGCAGAAAGATCATTTGATTGATCTTTCATTGAATTTCATTTAACAGGCAAATTTCTGTAGCCATACACTAAATTTTCTCAAAACATCACAGTGTATCCCCATTGAGATTTAAAGCAATCAATATTTAGGAGCCCAAGTCATTTGGAGAAGAATTTACATTTAAGACATTGTGTCAGAAGTGGTACTACGATATCAAAATGGTTAGGCACACATCCTTGTGTATTTCTCATTAATTAGGAAAAACCGATGATGCCAAGGCTTCTGAGAAAGGGAAAACTCCCCTGAAAGGGTCTTCTCTACAGAGGTCTCCTTCTGATGCAGGAAAAAGCAGTGGCGATGAGGGGAAAAAGCCCCCCTCGGGCATTGCGAGATCGTCTGCCACCAGCTCTTTCGGATTTAAGAAGCCAAGCGGAGTAGGCTCATCGACCATGATCACCAGCAGTGGAGCCACCATAACCAGTGGCTCAGCAACACTGGGCAAAATTCCCAAATCAGCTGCCATTGGTGGGAAGTCAAACGCAGGAAGAAAAACCAGTCTGGATGGCTCACAGAATCAGGATGACGTCGTGCTGCATGTGAACTCAAAGACCACACTACAATACCGCAGCCTGCCTCGCCCTTCCAAGTCCAGCACCAGTGGCATTCCCGGCCGAGGTGGCCACAGATCCAGCACCAGCAGTATTGATTCCAACGTCAGCAGCAAATCTGCTGGGGCCACCACCTCCAAACTGAGGGAGCCAACTAAGATTGGGTCAGGGCGCTCCAGTCCTGTCAGTGTGAACCAGACAGACAAGGAGAAGGAAAAGGTAGCAGTGTCGGATTCAGAGAGCGTTTCTTTGTCAGGTTCCCCTAAATCCAGCCCCACCTCTGCCAACGCCTGTGGTGCACAGGGGCTCAGGCAGCCAGGATCAAAGTATCCTGACATCGCCTCACCTACATTTCGAAGGTAAGGATATCTAAAGTGATGTTGGGGAAAAAATATATATATAAATTGATATAAATTATATGTCTGTATAAGCTGATTTATATGTATCTCACCTGTATATGTTCTGAGGTAGACATCTCTTAATATCTTTTAAGGTACAGGGATTTCTAAGAAGCTGAACATGTAAGTAGCTAGTAAAAACCAAACTGTGCGCCATTGAGATGGTCAGATGTTGTTTCCACCATTCAAATAATAGCAGCACTAGTAGCATCAATAGGAAATCTAAAGCAGATGGCAATATCTAGCTAGGGGGTTGTAATAAAAGAAAGTAACAGCTTGTAATTCTATCGGCATAGGTTTTCATCCATCTTTTCTTATAATTAAGAAAGCAAGTAGGTCCTACAAGTATCAACATTCATTTTCAGTATTCATTGTCTTACTGACTTTTTTAATGAGTGAATAATCACGAAGGTGGAAGATTACATTGTATTACTTTATACGGTACTATGGCTTGACATTTTAAAGTAAGTCAAGGTTATCCGACAGAATTTGAGAACATTTGGGTGTTTTGTTCAGGATTGCAGGAGTAGACCATTTTCTAACTTTTAATCAGCTTTCTTTGGCATGACTCTATTAGGTGATATGATGTAGTTTCTCTTCTGACGCTCTGTTTGGTATTAAATGTGTAAATTTCTTACTCTCAGAGTATCACTGTTTCTAAATACCAGTATGCTTCTAACTAGCAGGAAAATACAATTAGAGATTTGGGACAGATAGCTAAACAGCTCTGCACTTGTTTTGTCATCTGTGAAATGATTATGACTAATGGCTTATTATGTTACATTTTTATTATTATGCTATTGACTAAATCAAGAAATTCGATGTCTCAAACATTAGAATTCTTGAAATATTTTCTTTTACATTGAAGCAACCCCAGATAACATGATTTTTTGGAAAATCTAGTTGTTTTAATATTTGGTAGATAAACTGGCTTTTTGAAAGGTTGATTGTCTAAGAAGAATTTACTATGGCTTATAAGGAGAATAAATGTTACTTTGGCTTACGTGAAAGTCAATAGTGCCCTCCTGTGGCCCATTACCTATGAAACAATTTCTCATATTTGTCATATATTTAACTGTAGAAAATATGTATCTCATTGTGACTTAATTAGAAATCATTATGCCATTACTTCATACCACTTTATTTCTACATTTGCATAAACTCTATTATATCATCTGTTCCATTTACAAAACTAAAATGTTTTCTGATCTAAACTCCAACATCTATCTTAGCACCAACTGTGTTTCCAAGCACTACTAAAAATATGTGTTTGAAAAGCAGTGGCGAGTGATATAAAACTTGATTGATTTTGAAAGGAAAAATGCAGAATAAAGTGACACATTGCCAATGTTGTCAATGTCCAATACTGTTCCCAACCGTTTACCCCCTAATAGTGACCCAGGCAACCACATATTCAATCTAAGTTTTGCCTTAAGTATTCTATTTAGATCCTGAGTAAATTGCTCAAAACCAAAGGAAAAAGGTCAATTTAAGTTTATGAGCCTAATGTGTAGAAGTTGTTTCATTATAATGGTTCTATAAATAGGGAATATCAACTTAATTAAAATTATTTGAGTGGGAATTTATCGTGATCACTTATGTTGTTGAAGTCAGGAGTTTTGGCGACTGACTTCCTTTATTTTGTTTATTTTTCTCCAACCCTGGGTAGCAGCCCAAGACTGACTTACCACTGAGATGGGTTTTTCAGCACTTAGTTAAGAAGTTCAGCCTTAGAAGGTTCATTAACATAGATATAGCAAGTGCTTGGTAACTCAGTAAACCAAAGCACACTTGCCTCTGTATACTGTAACCCTAAGTATAAAATGAAAATAATAGTTGGTTGGAACAACTGAAGTTGTTATCTGTTTTTCTTTTAGGTTGTTTGGTGCCAAGGCAGGTGGCAAATCTGCCTCTGCACCTAATACTGAGGGTGTGAAATCCTCCTCAGTACTGCCCAGCCCTAGTACCACATTAGCGCGGCAAGGCAGTCTGGAATCACCATCATCTGGTACGGGCAGCATGGGCAGTGCTGGTGGGCTAAGTGGCAGCAGCAGCCCACTCTTCAATAAACCCTCAGACTTAACAACAGATGTTATAAGCCTAAGTCACTCCTTGGCTTCCAGCCCAGCGTCGGTTCACTCATTCACATCTGGTGGTCTCGTGTGGGCTGCCAATATGAGCAGTTCCTCTGCTGGCAGCAAGGACACTCCAAGTTACCAGTCCATGACTAGTCTCCATACGAGTTCTGAGTCCATTGACCTGCCCCTCAGCCATCATGGCTCCCTGTCGGGACTGACTACTGGCACTCACGAGGTCCAGAGCCTGCTCATGAGAACGGGTAGTGTGAGATCTACTCTGTCAGAAAGGTGAGCTTTTCTGGAGCCATTTATGAAGTCCTCAACCCTTCCTCCCTGCCCTGTGCCTCAACCCCCACCCCATTAAATTCCCTTGATTGCAGTGTGAGTGCCTTGTAAGATTGAAAGGACCTAAGACTGATGGCACTGGGTCTTTTATTTGCTCTTAGTACCAAATTTACAAAGTGATTCAACTGTTGAGAGTAGGTTGATTAGGTCATTATGTTTCTAAATATGAATACATACGTTTATGTCCAGTAGGCAAACTGTGTAAAATTCAGAACTTGTATTTCTATATTTTCTGATGTCTTCTAAAGATATTTTAATGAAATGGCTTAAGTCCAAAGCCATCACAAGCTCTTTATGATTATTTAAATATATTAAAAGAGCAAATTTAAAGGAATTCTACAATTATATTCTGAGTTATAGGTTAAACTTGTTTTATTTTCAATCACACCAAAAATGACAAGTGGATTACTGGCTAAACTGAATAAGTGAAATCAGTTGTCAGCCATGAATTCCTGGAAAAAAGTGTAACACCAGTGCTATTTTTAATAGGTCCCTTTAAAATTAATCGTATTACAACTTGTTTCCCTTTGGGTGTAGATACGTAGATAGATGATAGATGATAGATAGATATAATTAATTTAAGAAAATATAATAAAGCATTTCTTAATATTCTTAGCAGAAAGCATCACTATTTTAATAAAATGGCTCTACATTTTCTGCTATAAAACTCTTTTCAGACCTTTTGGTAATCAACAGACTATTTAAATAAACTTTTCCCCTCATAAACTACATGATAGTTCTGCCTTGACATGCTTAAAGTTTTTGAACATGATCTTGGCCACATGAATTGTTATTTGCAGAAAATAGCAATCTGTGAAAATGTCTGATACCTTTTCTTAAGATGTTATCTTTTACTCTGATGCGTATGCTGGCATATCTTTTTTCAGACACCCAACCTTAATCCCAGATAATTTTTGCAAAACTCAGTAAAAGGCCTTACTGAAACACTCTGCAGTATAATAGTGGTCCCTGAAGATTTCCCACTCTCCACTTCCCTTTTTCTTACCATTTTGAGAAAAGAATCCGAGTAAAATTGTGTTTCTGAACCACTTTGCCATCTCAATAATGAGAAAGGACATTCATGTATGTGGAACTTAGTAAACAGTTTTATAAGTGATTGAATTTTAGGTAATTGACATTTAGAATACTGACTGTTATTTCAAAATACACCATTTTTTTTTTATAAACCAAAGAACTAGACAAAACCAAGCAAGATAGCCAGAAGGATTCTTTTTATTTTTACTAGTATAAAACTCGTAGGTGATTTTTCATCATAAGAAGTCAAGCTTCCCATTATATCATCTTTATATGTCATTTATAAAGCTTCTAAAAGTAAATCAGATTAAAGTATATTAATAATCTCAATAAGTAGATGCTAGATTGTATTCTCATTTGTGAGGAATTCAAACATCAGTTGATAACAAAATCATACTTGCTGGGATTAGGTCAGCATCTATTAACATTAAGCACTCTACAAAATATTATTTTTTAGTTGTAAAGCTGTTTGTAGCAATTTAACTCTTTATGCATCAGACCATTACTTAACCACCTAGACATAAAAACACAAGTAATTATTTTTATCAAAGTAAATCTCAACTTAAATCTAGAAAACAACATAAATGAGTTTTATAGCTATAACTGAAATCTAATTTTGCTTCACTCTGATCTAGATGTTTATTGACGTTTTCACAGCAGATTACATACTAAACAATTATAGTTAATTTTACTTATCTAAAAAGTTATTTTGCTCACTTGAAAGGTAAAGAGACAAAGAGAAGGACAGACTCAGATAAACAGAGAACTGTTGCCTGCTCACTCATTCCCTAAGTACCCACAGGAGCTAGGGCTGTTACAGACCAAAATCAAGAGCCAGGAAGTCCACCTGAGTCTTAGATGCATAGCAGGAACCCAATGATTTGGGCCATTAGGCACCACCCTTCCAGATAGATATTACCCTGAAGCTGGGAACAAGAACGACTTCTAGCACTCTGACATGGTATAAGGTAGCCCAAGTGTTCTCTTTACTCCTGGGGAAAATGCCAGAGCCAACAAAATGATGTTAATATCTAAATAGTTATAGATTCACTGATATATTTTATTAAGAACCAAAGGCAAAACATCCTCATTTATTCAAAGTCACAGTAAAGTTTATTTTAGAAAATTCATTTATTCAAAATTACTTTAAGGTTTATTTTAGAAAGTCCTCAACTATTTTAATACCAGAATATTTTCATTTATAAAATTGGCCTATTTTAAAGATTGGACAATTTATGTTACAATTGTCCAGTAAATTATGTTTAAAAAGCGTAAGTTGGATGGGCATTTGGCCCAGTTCAGTTTCTTTTTTTTTTTTTAAGATTCATTTATTTTTATTGGAAAGTCATATTTACAGAGAGAAGCAGAGATATAAAGATTATCCATCTACCGGTTCACTCCCCAAGTAACCACAACAGCTGGAGCTGAGCCAATCCAAAGCCAGGAGCCAGGAGCTTCTTCCAGGTACCCTCAGGCCACAAGCAGGGAGCTAGACGGAAAGTAGAGCAGCCAGGACATGACCTAGCACCCATATGTAATCCTGGTGTTTGCAAGGCGAGGTCTTTAGCCACTAGGCTATCATGCTGGGCCCCCAGTTCAGTTTCTTAAAGTACATTGAAGAATGTTTATCATATATGTAAGAGAAAATCTAATCAGGTCTCTTATGTTAATTATAGTTAATTATGTAGTGGAATGTTGAGAATGCTAGGAAACCAGAGAGTCTTGCCACAAAGAAATTTTATTAAAGTGCAAATCCTGAAGATAAATTGATTGGATAAATATATCTAATGGCGATACACATTAATTTGGCAATTTACCCACTTATCAGTTTAGAATACTTTATTATATTCTAGTACTATTTAAAGTCAGTCATTTTTATAAAGATTATTTTGTTTATATTCCTCTATATTAAAATGAATGAATAACATAGTACATTCTTTTATGATGTTCCCTGAATACTGACTCCAGCGCACTGGTAATATTCAAGCTGTAATTAGCACATGTTTGGTTTTTTTTTGCTGTCACCAAATAAAATTTCAAATATTTTAAAGTAGTAACCAACTATATGAACTGCTGCTCTGTATTTAAATGTCAGATTTTATAAGCCACTTTTAAATATCTGCACAGCACATCCATTACTGATATTCCCACTTTGTTCAATTCCATTGCCCACCTGGTTCTTGCTGCCCTGAAAGCTTGCATTCCTTAGGAACTTGCCAGGGGAGTGTACTTTATTAAATCACTGATGCCTGAACTCAAGAAGATATTTCTATTTAAAACTGGATTATGTTGGTAAAATAATTTTCCATTAATTGCCCCTTTATATAACATAAAATTTTTATGCTTTAAAATTTTTTCTATTATGTGTTTGGAAGCTAGATTTTTTTTTTTTTAAGATTTATTTGATTTTTATTGAAAAGGCAGATATACAGAGAGGAGAGACAGAGAGGAAGATCTTCCCTCTGATGATTCACTCCCCAGGCGGCCGTAACGGCTGGAGCTAAGCCAATCCGAAGCCAGGAGCCTCTTCTGGGTCTCCCACACGGGTGCAGGGTCCCAAAGCTTTGGGCCGTCCTCGACTGCTTTCCCAGGCCACAGGCAGGGAGCTGGATGGGAAGCGGGGCTGCCAGGATTAGAACCGGCGCCCATATGGGATCCCGGGTGTGCAAGGCGAGGACCTTAACCACTGCGCCACCGCTCTGGGCCCATGGAAGCTAGGTTGTTTACAAAAACAAACAAAGAGAGAAAGATCTTCCATCCACTGGTTCACTCATCAAATGGCTACAACGGCCAGATCTGAGCTGCTCTGAAGCTGGGAGCTTCTGGGTCTTCCACATGGGTACACGGGTACACGGGTGCAGGGGCCTAAGAACTTAGGCCATCCTCTGCTGCCTTCCCAGGCCACAAGCAGAGAACTGGTGCTGCAGGCAGAGGATTCACTTATTATACCACAACATTGCCCCTAATGTATTTTTTTATACTACTCAACATTGACCAAGCAGTTGTCTATTTTTATTGTAACATTAAACTTTAATTTGCACATAGGAAAGATAGAATGCTTAAAATGGCCATCATATGATCATGTAAACACCTTAACACAATGCAGGTTTTATTTGGAGCCTTCTCATATTCATTCAATGTAATTCCTTCTTTTTGTTTAATTATGCCACTAAGAAACTTCTATAAGAGACAGTTATACCCTGAAATAAGGCCCATTAAATGGTAATTTCTTTGTATGGACATTCCCAATAAATGATGATGAAGTTAAATAAAGCTTTTGGATGCTTTCCAATACACTGCTAAATAATGGAGTGCACATAAAAGAAAACATTTTAGCTTTGATTTTAAGTAGATTTGAAGTCAATGTGTTTGGATACATGTTATATCATTCCCATTATGCATATATTGTGTATATACTTTGATCATTTGATTTTTTAAAGGAAGAGAGCTGTAATTTTTTAAATTCCAGTAAATTTTACTTTTTTGTTATACATATGCCAAACAGAATTATGTAGACTTTTCCCATTTAGTCTTGACACCTTCTTCTATATCTAGAGAGACCATTTTTCATTTTCTATACACATGTCTTTTCATCTCTTCCTATGACCCTTTTAAATACATGATTTTTATTTCTAAACAGATTTGCCTTAATATCATATCAACGTATTTAAATAATTAGTGCCAAAAACTCATTGTTTTAAGTAAATATTATATATTTTAGTAAACTGCCTATAGTTTGTGAGAAAAACTAGACATAAAGTATTAAATGGTATTTTACATCTCTGTTTATCAGAGCTTGCCACTTTAACTTAGAGCGGATCTGTTTCACTGCTACATCTCTGAGTTTTCAGTATATGAAATTATAGCAAAAGTCAAATCAATAGCACAAGGACATCTATAGCATTAGGTGGATACACAGGGGAATTATTCTGGCATATAATTAAATTAATCATCTCACACATCTGTAACTAAATTATTATTGATTGGTGCAGGGTTAGAAAGGACCTCAGCATGCGTTTTTTTTATCACACTTAGTTGGCCTTTTCCAGTGAATAGAGCATTGCCAAAAATATTTTGTGTTCTTCAAACAAGTATTTTGTTGGATACATGATGTGAAAGTTTTGTTTACATTATGTCCTTAGGGGTTTTCTTTGTTTTAACAGCATGCAGCTTGACAGAAATACACTACCCAAAAAGGGACTAAGGTATATATTTCTCTCAGCATAATTGCTGTTTTCTCATTGTTGTGTAATCTTCGTGTGCTGTCTCTTCCTCTTTGTTTGTTTGCAATGTAATCACTGACAACCAGGTTGAAATCACCTTAATCTTGATGCTTTCTCTAACCCAAACATAGTGAGGTAAGCCCTTCCTACTACAGGCTGAGAGCAAGATATAAATACCATTATCTTCCAGTGATAAGGCCATCATGCAACTTGTCCCAAGGCACTGCTTTATAGGGATGTACAGCTGGCTTACGCACATTAAAATAAAATGAACTTCCCTAAATTTTACATGTTGGAAACATATGCTGGCAAAACCTCAAAACTCATGTAGAAAACTCATGTGGCCAACTGATGTTGAAAGGTTAACAGATCCTATAATTTGAATCAAAGAACTCATTTTCATCATCACCTGGCAAATACCATAATTAAGGTATATTTTTATAGAATTTATTTGAAAGGAACTCAAAATAGTTCTAATTTCTATTTTTAGGAGTACTTTTATCAGATCAATTAAGGTATGAATCAATGTAATAGCTATTAATAATCCAATGCAATTTTCAGTCCACCATAGAAAGTAAAATTAATATTTAATGTATGACCATACTTTACTACACTGTCATGTAAGGCGAGGATGTGGAATGAATTGCAGAGAGATGTAACACCATGTAAACAAGATAAGTCTCCCACTTTTTGATACACCAGTTACATTGGCAAACAATGAGTACTAGGCAAATAAGACTATTTCCCCATTTATTTCTCTCTAATTTGTTAGCAAAAACAAGCCACTGATTAATACTGTGTGTCAGTATTTGTTTCAGAAATTTATCTTCCAATAAATTGAGAATATTTTCCCTTTCATTTTTTTAAAACTCCAAAACTGAAGTGACATTTTAACCAGAAAACCAGTTTTTCTTGCCAGAAAAATAGCAGTTAGCTTGTGTTCCCTTTCCTGTCCTTTTCTATGACCCTTGCTTCATTTCCCTTGGCTTCTAACCTCCCACGCTAGACCACTTTTAATCCGTGTTTTCGCCCTTTTCACATCCTTCCAACCATTATGCTGTAGAAACCTTCTTAATCAACTTGGCTGTTTGCTCATTGTTTATGATTTTCGGCTTCATTATTTCACAGAAGCATCATTTTCTTCTCAAATATCCCGCCCCCCCCCCCCGTTTGTTTTTTTTTTTTTTTCTTGTGAGACTCAAACAGATGGTGTCAAATCATCTGGAAGAACTGAGCAGTTATAATTAGATTCAATCTGTTTGCAATTGTTGTTGAGTCTGAATAGTAAGCTTCTCTCACTGTGTTCCCGTCCTGGTATTGCCTTGTCCTTGTGAACATGCTGAAGTGTCTTAGCTGTGCTGTTTTGCAGGTATACCCCATCATCTCGGCAGGCCAACCAGGAAGATGGGAAAGAGTGGCTGCGGTCACACTCCACTGGAGGGCTGCAGGATACAGGCAGTCAGTCACCCCTGGTCTCGCCTTCTGCCATGTCATCTTCTGCAACAGGAAAATATCACTTTTCCAACTTGGGTAAAACATTCTGAAACACTGATTCCATTTTGTTCTTTTAGCATCCATCCTCATAAGAACTGTAATTATCTTTCCATATGAAAATCTCAATTTGCAGAGGAGATAAAAGTTCATTAACAGCACTTTTTCGGTAGGAGTGTTTATTGTTTATAGAAGAATTTCCAGATAGGAGGGGAATCCACTGAAAATGTATGCTGTTAAAAATAAAAGGCACAGATTTCAACCTTTTTTTTTTTTTTTGCAACGAGAGTGAACTTGGGTTTTAATGCTATCTTCGCATGAGCTTCCTAACATGCCTTCATCTAATTCAATCCATTGCTCATGATAAATGCTTAGCAGAAGTAATATTGTTATGTTAAAATCTAACCTGTAAGAGATTCGGGAAGGCCCAATGACTTGAAAGCAGTTTCATCACTCATGAGCAGACACAGTCATTCATCCTAGGACATCTGGCTGTGAGCCATAGATCTTCCCATAAAAAACTAGTGAAACATTTCCTTATGTTTGGTACAAAATGTTAAAAAAAAAAATCTTCTAACCAGATTAATGATCTTTCATAGAAATATAGAAAATGAAGATAGAAAAAATACCCACACTTTCAAGGTACCTTCAGTATTGCTGAAGTCAAGACTCTCCTTAAAATGTATATATAAATATCTGTTATGAATATACTCCATGATCCTTTGTAGATTTTTTTTGAAAAAAAAATTTCTACTCTCTTAGCCTTGTATTACTTTTAGCTTAGCATCGTTTATAGGAATATTAAATCATTTGCATAAATGCCACAGAAAGTGCAGGGAAGAGTGATGAAATAATTAAGGAAGTCTAAACATGCCAATTATCATCTAATAGATGCAGAGAACTTAAAAATAGATTTTTCTATAAAGTCACATATAAACTGGTGTCTTTTTTTTTTCTTTTCACTTTGAAAAAAATCTGTTTCTGATAATGCAGCCACAAGAAGTCCACAATCTTTATAATTCTCAGCTCAGTTAGGACTTACAGATATTCATTTATTTTTATTGTGACTCTTCCCGTTTAGCCTGGGTGGGGAAATTAGTGTTCCAAAACAGCTAATATGGTCTTCATTCCCGGTAAGATAATGACTTCAATATTATGCACCAGCTTTTCGTTGCAGTATCTGCATAGTGATAAGACCTCTTGTCACAGTGATAAGTCCCTTTTTCTAGTACCCATATGCTTGATTTATTTAGTGTTGTAATTATAACTCACAATGAAAGTCCTAGTATTTTAGCTTTAAAAAATGAATAAAAATGTTTTTGTCAGATATAGGGTCCTAAAAATGAAACAGTCAAATTCTGTGCAATATCTAAAACCAAACCAGTTGAAATTCTCCAAGTTTACTTCCTGGATACCTCATGCCCCCTGTCAGTTTTTACACCAACATTATGCTTAGTTGGCTCTTCACTCCATTCTTCTCACTCATGATTCTTAATCTGTCTGTTCCATTATTCATTGAGATAAATATACCACATACTATGTCCTACCTTGGTAAACTCTTTTAACCTTCATTTTCTCACCTGTTAAACAGATACAGGATTCTTGAGTCATGTTATGAAAAATGACTGATGGAATGTGTGCAGACTGATGATGAGCGTATATAAGATCTGAGAGCCTCTGTTAAACCCTCACTTCCCTGGGAAAGCATATCTTAGCACAACCAGAGAGCAGCACTCATTACATATGCCTGAACCTTTTCTGCATTCAGTTGGATGTAATTCACACAATAACTACACAAAGTTATGGAAAGAAGATACACAGCTAGATTTCTGCAAGGCTAGTATTCAATTAGGACAGTCAGGAATCAAGAACTCATTTAGAAGAATATTAACTAATCATGTAGAAGTAACCTTATGACCTGGTTTGCATAAATGGAAATTAAGATGGCACTGAAATAGGATAAATGCATAACTACAAATACAATTTTATAAACTTAGTATATAGCCCACTTAAAAATGTATTTTTACATAGATAAAACGGGGAAAGATTATGAAGAAGTGAAATGTGGATCATGGTCTTACTGTAATAAACTATCTCGCTAGAATTTCTATGTTCTCATGACTTTTAAAACTACCAATCAAATATATCTCTTCTGTTTTGTTGCTATAGAAACCAAGTCTAGAAGATAGAGTTTCCCTCCCTAGGCTGTAAGTCTTCCCCTTAAGCTGCTCTGCTTTTCACCAAGAATCCCTCAGCAGCATTCCCACCGTGCTGCCATTGCAAGCATTGTCCCCATGCAAGCACAGTGTAATACAACCCTCTTGATACTCCTAGAAATGTTTCCACTTATACTTTTTTTCCTGGGTGACTGATTTTAACAAAGCTTTGCCATTTAATATTTAGACAGGATCACTGTGGAAAGTGAAATAGACTCTTTTATAATTGTTCCAGGCATTACATAAAGACTAGGTTGAGAAATTCCTCTCTCATTTGCTGCTCAACTTTATGCATGTATAAAACATTTTTTCCCTTCTTTGGACTTTTCCTCCTCCTGAACACAGCTTCTGTATTCTCAGTCACAACTCTAATCCATACCTCTCAAATATTCTGTCATTCCAAGATTTCTTTGTGTTCTAAAATTAAATCACGTCAGTGTGCTAAACATCATAGCTGTATGAACTGAAGTTTATTCTTTAAACTCTTCTATTTCCAATATCATTTTATGTGCCACCTTTTGTCAACCGCTATAACATAAAATGTCAGTATAATCAACAGTCTTACTTGAAACTGCACAAACCATTTTTTCATATTTTACATTTTCAATCAGGTGAAATCTGATTTGGATATATCGTACCCTTTCTGTTTTATGTGGCATTGACCTCATTACATTTTTAACTCTAGATAAGTACAGTATGTTTCAGATAGATCTGACTGTGCTAGTTCTCAAATCTCTCAGCATTGAGAAGTGTGGAGGAAACTTTCTTATCTGCATCAATACCTTCTCTTATGCCTGACAGATTTTATAAACTTAGACAGTTTGAGATTTCTGTTTTATTTTACAAAAAGGATAAAATCACTACTTTTAACAGCAAAAATGATTTTTAAATGATTTTGCACATCACCAACACTTTACTTAGGAAAGAGACTGTGAACTTACTAAAATTCAATCATAAAATAACCACATTTTTAAATTATATGAAGTGCAGCTACTTAGGAGCACACGTAGCGGTGTTGTCAGTCTTTGTGCATATCGCCTGTTTCTCAGCTTGACCCTTGAGTTGTCTGAAGGATCAATAAGATGCATGATTATTACTAACGTTGAAGAATCGAGTTATCAATACTTTATTCTTCCTTTCTGCCTGCTAGAATACATGATATGTTAAATAGAATTTTTATTCTAAAAGTCACATGCATAATCAATATTTGAAAATTAAGAACACATAAATTATTTCACTGTGAATAGACTACTGTGAGCTGTTGCCAAAGCAAGGCACAGGAGTTTCTGTAAGGTTAGGTAGCTTCTTTAAACAAAAGAAAGTCTCAGATGAAACTTAACTTACTCTTGGTTACATTTCCTATGAGGCCTCTACTACTCTGGTGAGACTGATGGGATTAAAGTGTCTCCTTCCTGGAAGAATTACCACATAGAAGCACCAATATCAGCCTCTCACCTCCAGCTTCTAGTTATTGAATGAATAATTTGTTTACAAACAGGGTGTTTGCAAGCATTTTGGTATGGGAATTTTCCATACTTCTGTGCATAAGCTTTCTTCCAGTTTGAATGTCCTTTTGCTCACCTCTGTATGTTCATGCCTGAGCCTATTCATGATAAACTTCTTTCCTCTATTGTTAGAGAAGCATATTTTACAGATAGAAGACAGAGAACTCATTCAGTCACTCACCTATAAATTATGCAGATTTTTAACATCTTTAGCTTCTGTTCTAAACCCACCAATGATAGAAGCTATTTAAGTCCAGAAATAATGTGCTGTCGAAGTTTGTCCTTTAAAACAGCAAAGGAAATTTTCCTGGATCTGCATTTATTGTTGTTCCTACTTATTTAAGTCACATTTCATAAAATAAGTAAAAACTGCATTCTAGCTGAAAAGTTTCACATCTAAAACATGACGAACTCATAAGTTAACAGGTTCATCTACTCCATGGAATACTACTCAGCTATTAAAAAAAACAAAATGCAGTTCTTTGTGGCTAAATGGGCACAACTGGAAACTATAATGCTAAGGGAAATGAGCGAATCCCAAAAGGTTAGATACCACATGTTTGCCTTGATTTAACCTGTAATTTTTTTGTTTGGTTGTTTATTATTTTTTGAACCTGTCATTGATACTGTCTCAACCCAGATGTTTCGAAGAATGGAACTTGCATTATTTTTAACATATAGTTTACCCAATTCTATGTCAATTAATTCCATAATGTTGTATATTGATACTGAGGTTTTGTTGGGGCTTTTAACTGACCGGATCTTTACTCTGTTAGCCCTACCTTCAGACCAGAGAAGGTCTCCCCAAGAGGCCACTGAACTTAACTGGACAATAAGACGCTGAACTTTATGCTAGGCATGTGTTTGCAAGGAATGAATCTCAACTGAACTTGAACTATGGTTATGCAACAAGGTGGAGGAATCCACCATGGAGGGAGGGGTATGGGAGGGGTGGGGGGAATCCCCAGCGCCTATAAAACTGTACCACATAATACAATGTAAACAACAATAAAAAAAAAAAGAAAGTAAAAAAAAGAAGTAAAAATTGGAGTGAGGTGGAGGTGTTTAACACTGCAGCCCACGTCTCTACCACTTGTCTTTCAGGTAACTGTGGGTAAACATATAATCACATGTAACAAACAAACAAACAGTGGCTTTAACAAAACAAATAATGATTTTTCCCCCTAACACAGCGCCACATCTGTTTTCTGTTTTGAAAGTCCTAGATGTGTTCTGGCTTGAGGTACATCTGGGAAGTCATCCACTGCCTCATTCTTTTTTAATTCATGAAACAAACTGATGTGTTGGATTGAAGTTAAAAGCAGATGGAAAACAAAACCACCACCAGAATTCCTTTACCGATTAGTGCTCCATGGCAGAGATGCTGTGTGTTACCCTTGTCACCTCTGATGCAACTTCTCTTGGTCCTTTTCACATACTATCTATTCTAGTTTTCAGATACCTTCCTTAGTGGGCACTCTTGAAATCAATGACCACGTTGTGTCTGTCTCTCTGTGTAAGTAAAACACCACAAAAAGCAGAACAATCATAAATATTAACAAACTGAAGTTCTTAAATAGTGTAAGTGTACATGCAATGGAGAAAGAGTCCAACACATATGCAAATTCAAATTCATTCCTTTAAAACCTACCTTACCCCTCATTAATCTTTCACTTTGTACATGTTAAGTTTATGTTTTCAAATTATGCAAGGAAGAAGGACATTCACTTGAATATCTTTGCATTCATTTTGGCAAGAATTATGCAAACCATACACTGAATGAAATGTCCTCCTACGTAGTGAATGTGTCATTCACTTTGACAAGTCCATGTTAGGGACCGGAATAGGATAATTTACCTTAATCTACGTGCCAAGCACTTTAAACATGCATATTCAAGACTTGAATGTCCTGCAGTCTGCCTTCTAGCTGTTTTCAGGAAGCAAGTTGAGTTGGAACTTCAGTAGTGTCACGACTGACAAAAAAAAATGTGCTTGCAAAATAAATTCATTCATTTATTCTCTTTCTTAACCTCCATTTTCTTTTGTACATGCTGTCATCCTTTTTCATTTCTTTCAAATGAATTACATGCTTCTTGTATTTCTCCAATATACTTCTCATATGAATGGATATTTGAGCTTCCTGGGCCTGTGTTTGGTTTTATTCCATTGCATAACTAATGCTATCTTTGGATTGTTCAGTGTATTATTTCAGTGAATACCTGTAAAATATCGACCAGTGTCCTGCCCAAAAAGCTGGATGCCATTAGAACTATTTGGCAATAGACAATAGGCAACATTTATATCAAATTTCATGTGTGATCTAATTGTAGTAGCCTCTTCTTACACAGCAGAAAAGAGCTTTATTTTTATTAATCTAAAGAAATACAGGCTATCTATACCATGTGTATTGCATTTTATTTCATTTAAAGAGAAGGTATGTTTTTGTCTTCCTCCTCATAATCTCACTCTTCCAATGCTATACCTATTTGTGGACTTATATGAATTTAGGCCTCAAACTGACAACGTCCTTAATATATATTTTATTTTAAGTTTAGTTTTTAGTTTTAAAATTCAGCAATTGTAAGCATTTTTCATGCTCACTGTTCACTTCATATGTAGGCCTTATCTACACACACACAGATACTATTTCTTCATGAAAATACAGACTTTGCTTGGAAGGCTCTAAAGGCTCTTCTTTGGAAGTTCATTCATTGGGTAGTTTACATTTTTGTTCATTTTACTCTACCTATTAAAGGAATGATGATTCAACAAAAAAAAACTCTGGGCTATAGAAAGACAGTCTTTTCTCCAGAACAGACAACCCTATTTACAAAATTATTTTACCTGTAGCATGGATGTTAAATGACTTGGTGGTTTTGATTAGTATTGCTTTGCAACTGATATATTGTTTGCTATGTAGATGCTAGAGGAAATGAAGAAATGTACAGCTTTGTTATTGAACGTTTTAGAGGGAGACTTGTCCTACCTTAATGATTAATACCCTATAAATTTAGGTTTCCATAAGAATTGGTGTCACAATCTCACTGTTTGTAAACCTACTATATATATTTAATCGCACAGTAACAGGCTGTGTGTCCTTTGTTTTCCAGTGAGTCCAACCAATCTGTCTCAGTTTAACCTTCCTGGGCCCAGCATGATGCGCTCCAACAGCATCCCAGCCCAGGACTCTTCCTTCGATCTCTACGATGACTCCCAGCTTCGCGGAAGCGCCACTTCCTTGGAGGAGCGGCCTCGCGCCATCAGCCACTCAGGCTCATTTAGAGACAGCATGGAGGAAGGTAGGGGAGGAGATGAAGTTGAATTTACTTCTGAAACTAAATGAATAAGTCCAGTTCTCATCTGAGAAATCTTTATGCTGAAAGTGAATTATTTAACACCACTGTCTTTTTCTCAGCACATGGAAACATGTCAGTATCTGTTTGGATTGATAGTTTGCTATAGAGCAGTTTAAAATAAATCCAGTGTTCTCATACAGAAATGTGCATCATTACAAAGCCTCTGGTCTGGTTCAGGTATATGAAGTTATCAGAGCAAAATATTTTGTTAGACACATCTGCTAAAGCAGCAAAATCATTTAATGATACCCTTTTACCTTGATGACTTTTATCCACTGAAACTCTCTGGTATCAGTTTCTTATCAGATCATTTTAAAACTAATATTGTACCTGCTTTTTGCTTTATGACTTTTCTTTGATCCATTGCAAGTTTTTCAGCTGACTTAATAAATGTCTTTAGAGTTGCTCTGGTTTGGGGTGAATTCACATTGTACCTACTTTTGCTTTATCTGTGACTTCTCTACCTCAGCAAGCTGAATTTATCTCAAATGTTTAAATTTCTCATAACTGTATAGGTTCAAGTGGTTTTTTTTTATTTCTAATTATTTTATGTGCTCAAAAGGCAGACAAATAAAAAAGAGAGAGAAAAAGAAACTGAGAAAGATTTTCACCTGCTGTTTCAGTTCCCACTTGCCCACATTGTTGAAGATCAAAACCAAGAGCAAGAATTCAATCCAGCTATCCCATGTTACCATTCATGAGCCAGACGCTATATCCGAGCTGAGCATAAGTGCGAGGCTAGGATCTGAAGTAGAATTGTGATTTGAACCTAGAAACTTTGACATAGAATGCGGGCATCACACCAGTCATCTTAACCTCTGTGCTCAATGACCACACTTGAATTCTGAAATTTCCGAATAATACTTTTTTTTCTTAGATTCTGTTATCTTTTCAAGTGTCCTTGAAGGAAATTTGTGGTGTAAAGAAAGTCTGTCATCTACAAATAAAATAAAACTAAGTGTGTAAATTAAAATTTACAAGAAAAAAGTGAAGCATATTGTAAATCATACTGTGCTTAATAATTATGTGTAGAAAAGGAATTCCAGATTTGAAACATGCTAGAGGTTTAAACCTGTAGCCATCCATTTATTCCTGGTACGAACTTGGGAAGGTTTCTTAGTTCTTCCTAGCTGTAGTTTCTACATTTGTCACTCCTTAGATTTATCACAAAAGTTGAATGGGAATAGGGAATAATCCCATTTCCTTCTCAATCCAATTTCTATCTCCTTATTTAAAATACAATCTGATTGAAAAGTTAGCCAGTTGTGAAAATTGGCTGCTGTTTTTTAGGTCATTACTGTGCGTTTAATCTTCTCGTACTTAATGTGTTAATTGAAGTCACACTTCTTTTTCAGATTTTAACCAAAACCTTAGTTCACCAGGACAGAGAGTGAATTATGCTCAATGAATTTGCTGATTGTCATGGGGTAATCAAATAAAACCACTAATCTGTGAGGAAAGAGCATTGCTTTCTTGAAATGCTTCTGTTGCTCCCAGAGTTCTAATACTTTCTAATTCATCTGCTAATCATATGGATGGATTTCTAGAGTGCCTCATTTACGAATAGGATGATGTTTAGAGGCTGAGGAATTCTGGTTTTTCATGTGCTAATAAATAATAAAAATTGTGAAAAGCCAGGGAAGATGAGATGACTGATGCCCGAGCATTGACTCCTGAACCACCATAACCCTAAAATTGTGTCATGGAATTAAGGCATAATTAAACTACTTTGAAGAAACTTTATTAATGTACTGCCAGATGAAAAGAAGCATCCACATGTTCTAAAGACATAGACCTATAAAAGCGCATGTGAGAGAAAAATGGGTTCTCCTAAGGCCAGTGTGGGGCTCAGCACATTAAGCTACTGTTGTACATTTAAAAGGCATCCCATTTTGGTACCAGTTGAAGTCATGACTGCTCCACCTCTAGTCCAGCCTAGGGACCTGGAAAAGCTGCAGAAGGTTTCCCGGGTGTCTGGATTCCTTCAACTATATGGGGGTCCTTCACCTGGATAAACTTCTGGACTTCAGTTTTTCTCGGCAAATCCCTAATCACTGCTGTCATATGGGGAGTGAATCAGTGGATGGAAGTTCTCTCTGTCTCTCCTTCCCTCCCTCTTTAACACTTTCAAATATCTTATTTTTGCACAAAAATGTTAAATTCCACACATAGCTTTTTTTTTCCCTTAGTGCACATGTTCCATTAACTCTTTGAAGATCTCATGTAAAAATTTATTCAAAATGTTTGTTCCCTCTAGGAGCACACATACAATTTTGAAAAACAAAATCTTTGTTGAGCAAAAGTTAAATGAAATCTGTACTTTTAAAAATGCATTGCAACCTGAGTTACGGTTTTTTTTTAATTTATTTTATTTTATGGGTGTTTACTGTAGCTTTCAATATGTACAAAACATACCTGCATGACTCACACTTGCTAAGTTCTGTCTATAATTTGCTGAATGAGATACTTCAGGAAATCATTATGATGCTGTCCCATATCTCAAATCTTAATCTCTAAAACGTTATACAGGACCTGTTGTCAGAATCTCCTAGCCAGGTGTTAGTATTTCATTTCCTTAGCCTCTTATTCTGTTATTTGTTTTTTAGTGCAGACATTACTTAGTGTAGACAGTTCATTAATGTAACTGTTGCTACTGTTTTTCTTTCCAGTTCACGGCTCTTCCTTATCATTGGTCTCCAGCACATCTTCTGTTTACTCTACAGTAAGTATTAGCTGCAAAGAAAATGCTTCTTCCCTTTCCACGCACCAGATGATTGAATAGATTGGCATTACACAAGAGTTGCTTGATTCTTGGATACTAATTGCAACTGGTGAATGGTGGAAAACAGATTTATGCAAAACCCTATAGATTTATAACTTGGAACCCATGGAATTTATAATGATAACTTTTCTACTTGTTTTACTCTCTAACAAAATTACCAACTGATATGTTGTATGTTAGGTATTTGTCTTCCAAAATCTGAAGAAATTAGAGATTTTTAAGGTTCATTGTAGAATAATTACTTTAATATTTTTATTTCAGGTGTGATACCCAATTTTAAATTATTTTCCCAGTGTATGAAGTTGTAGTTAATTTTCCAAATGTGTTTCTCTGTCACCTAATAATTTCATCTTAAAAAAATTATAGTCTATAAGAAGATAAGTTTTATAAGGGAATACCCTCATTACTGGGTAGCAATTGGAAAGATTTGAAAGCAGCTTAGTGAGTCTCAATATTGAGTACTAGGAATAATCCCTAATCCTGTATTGAAAGGTGCTTGGAAAGTTCACAGTCTCTGCTCTCACTAACTAATTAAGCGTTCAGGCACATTAATCTCTCACTGATTTCATTAAGTTTAAATGCTATCACCCTTTGTCTTTAAATAATTGCATATATTCATGGCTTTAGGTAACTTCAGATCAGATTATCATTGGCAGATGCAAGTTTTCAATTTATTATTTTAAAAAGGTTCCATAAATAACAAAATCACTATCAGTGTTTTGGTAGACCTATTGTATAGGTTAATTTATAAAGAAGTGAGGAATATGAACATGTATGAGCATGTATAAAAATGTGTTGAGATTTATTGTTCCTTCGATTGTGTCAATAATATATTGTGGAGATATTTGCTGATACACTATTAACATTAAATCTATACATGACATCAAACATTGAGGCATTAATATAATTATATATATAAGTATACTTATATTCATTCATATTATATGAATATATATATATTTGGGTGAAACTATGAATCCTGGAAAACACAGAAGTAAAGAATATGGATTTGAAGAAAGCCAACTAATCTATGTCAGTGCCCAATGGCCTTTTCTGTAATAATGAAATTGTTCTATATTTGCACTGTCTAATGCTGTAACCAGTAGCCACACATTACTGTTGGCTACTTGAGATTTGTCTGATGTAAAATGAATTGAATTTTTTTACAATAGTCAATTAAACTTTCAATGTATGTGTTAGATGGCTATCGGATCAGATAATCCAGTTGTATGGAGAACACAGGGATTATATTCAAATATTGCAGGTAGACATGAATGTCAATAATTAGGGCAGTTAGAAAGCATGAATAAGGGCCCAACGTGGGAGCCAAGTCAATCAACAGACAGAAGATTTTCCTGTCTCTCATTCTCAGCGTATCAGGCTTTTTAATAAAAAAAAAAAAATCTTAAAAAAGTATAAAAAAGGAATAGTGAGAATATGTGCTAAAGAGGGAATCAAAGTATAAATAATGAGAGCGTGTGTAGAGAGATACAGATATGCACACATTTATAGAACATTTCTTTCAAGTAAGAAGAATGGATTAAATGAAAAGAAATGAGAAGGTGATATTGTTAAGAAATACAGTTTTCACTAGAAGTAATGGAAATTATGTACTTGAACAAAAAAAAAAGCTGAAGTAAAATAATTCAAGTCCAAGTAAATGGATATTCAGAAGACCAACAAAGTCACAGGTGAACTACAAACATTTTATTCTCAGATCTGCATGAACATGCACTGTGGCTTAAAATCAATAAGAAAACAGCTGTGAAAGAAAGTGCTTTTGAGGTGATGCTGTGAAAAGTCAGTTCATTATCATTAGTGTTATTATTCTGCCCACTTAAGGATCCCATGTCATGATTTATGGATGTGTGTTCTTGCCTGGTTCGAAGCATAATTATGATGTGACATTGGGAAAGTTGCCAGATTTCTTGCCCCTTCACCTGTAAACTAAAACGTGAAAGCATCAATCAAACTTCCCCACGTGTCTCATGGGATTCCTCCAAGCTGGGTGGAAACCACAGGCCCTATTGAATCCACCAGTTTATAACTTCTGGAAAATCTAGAGTTTGTGTTTTTGTTTTAAATTCAATCCAACACTGTGAAATCTGGAGCATTACCTAAGAACTTCAGTTTATATATTCCTTGATAAAATAGTTGCAATATTAGCACTGAGATGACCCCTTTTGGTGTGGTCCTGGGCTTTCAAGTGGTCTGCAGTGTGTGGCTCCTGTTTTTATTTTTCCTGAACTTGAAGCTAAGTTTGGGTTGTTGGATAACACTGTGCTGATCCATTTCTAATACGGGAGAGAAATTCTCCTCTCTATCGTGTCTCTTTTTAAAGGGCAACAGTAAAAGCCTAAGAAAGCAAAAACAAATTTTGTCTTTCTTTTTCTTTTTAATACCCAGAGGAATTTTGTTCTTCAGACATTTAATGTTTTTGTTTTATAAGATATGTTTATTTTTCTTGGGAAGTCAGATTTACAGAGAAAATGAGAGACAGACAGATCTTCCATCCACTTGGTTCATTCCCCAAATGGCTGCAATGGTTAGAGTTAATCCAATCTGAAACCAGGAGCCCTCTCTGGATCTCCCACATGGGTGCAGAGTCCCAAGGCTTTGGGCCATCCCCACTGTTTTCGTAGGCAACAAATAAGGAGCTGGATGGGAAGTGGAGCAGCTGGGCATGAACAGGCTCCTAAATGGAATGTCTACTCTTACAGGAGGAGGATTAGTCAATTGAGCCATTGTGCTGGCCTCAATATTTTAATTTTTCATCTTCGCAATAAATGCTCAAATACTTGGGCTCTGCAACCAAGAAAGAGACCCCTGTGAAGTTCCAGCCTGGCTCAGTGCTGGATGTTGTGGCCATTCAGGAAGTGAACCAGCAGATAGAAGATATCACTCCTTCTCTTTCCCTCTGACTCTCCCTCTCCTGCAACTCTGATTGCAAAGCATATACCTCACCTGTATAATATATTCTATATAATTTCTCTGTAACCAAGTTTAAACAACCTGCTGCTTCCTACAGAAGACCTCGTTTCCATGAGTGTATGGTCAGAGATTTTTTCCCAGTCACATTTATTAGTACATTAACAATTGGTGTTCTAATATTTTGCCCACTTGTACTCTAATAAGCTTAATTAATAACCACTAGAGATGTTAAAATGAACACCAGTATATTTGATTTCCTGTGGTTATACAGAAAGACCATTGTTTTCCTCGAGATTTTTTAAAATTATGATGTGTTAATTAAAAGTAAATTCCAACCCCCTACATCTTAGCTAAATATCTCTTATTGTATGGGCTCCACATTATCTAGGCTCTTTTTCAAATCCATATTTTTATGGACTGATATATTCAAACCTACAATTTACAGTTTTTTTGTTGATTGTAGTTTTGATTGTAGAATTTTTAATTATATTACTTGCTCTTAAGGTATATTATGTATCCATACATCAAATTATCTGTAATTTTAAAATAAATTATGGGACCCAGTGCAGTAGCCTAGTAGCTAAAATCCTTGCCTTACATGCACCAAGATCCCATATAGGTGCTGGTCCTAATTCCAGCAGCCCCACTTCCCATTTGGCTCCCTGCTTGTGGCCTGGGAAAGTAGTGGAGGACTGCCCAAAGACTTGGGACCCTGCACCTGCGTTGGAGACCCAGAAGAGGCTCCAGACTCCTGTCTTTGGATTGGCACAGCTCCACCGGATGTGGCCACTTGGGGAGTGAACCATCAGATCAAATATCTTCCTCTCTGTCTCTCTTCCTCTTTGTATATCAGACTTTCCAATAAAAATAAAATAAATCTTTTTAAAAATAACATCATTTATATGCAGCAGAATATTCACTTCAAATACTACACGATCCTGTTTTAATTATTTTAATTAAACAATTTTTAGAAAAAATATTTTTTTCTAAAAGCTGTTTTTACTTATTTATTTTTTGAGAAGCACAGTGGAAAACAATTCCCATTGTTGCTGAACTTCCCCAGTACCCACAACATCCAGAATTGGAACAAGCTGAGGATAGGAGCTAGTAACTTCATTTAAGTCTCCCACCAGGAAGACAAGGGCTAACTGCTTGCGCTGTTAAATTTTCTTTATGTTTGGGCATTAAAAAATTAAAAAAAAATTTTTTAATTTTAAAAATCAACATTTTAAATAAACTATCATTATTGTCTTCATTTATGTATACTGAGTTGGCATTAATTTTAATAATTAAGTCATTTCCTTTAATGTTTTACAGGCTGAAGAAAAGGCTCATTCAGAGGTAAAACACATTTTAACCCTGTTCCTGTATGGTTTTGGTGATATGACTGTAGGTACCACTAGAGGGCTCTCTGACACAATGGCATAGCTACCAGACAGCTTAAAGAAGTTACTCAGCTAGTTGATGAATGATCTTAGAGATTGTCTTTTAAAAGAAAATAAAAGGTAATATTACAAAGTTATTTTTCTTTCTGCATTCAAGATGGAGTCTTAGCTCACACCTAAGGAGTTGTTTAAAGTGGTGTATACTCGTTACAGTCACTGATGTCATGTAGATGAGTGTGAAAGTCCTCACCGTGCACATGAGATAGATCAGTGCTTAGGCATGAGATCCTCACAGGAGCCCAGCCCAGCTATTTTGTGTTGTGAGCTTGCCATGTCGACCCCTGTTTATGTTCAATGTGGTATGTGGTTCTCATCAGACTCGTTTCAGAAATACACACCCAGTTGCAGTCCTTGTATAAATCAGCCTGCAACCTGCAACTTTCAAAAAGTCATCCTGGTCAAAGATAGCAGGACTTTAATTAGATCTCTAGTCAAAGTGAGATAAGAACTCTACTGGGTTTATGTAGGGCTATCAGACCACATGAAGGACACAAAGCTTTGGCAAGGGTCTTTGCATAGAACTTGACCTGTTAAAGAGAAGTATGTACAATGTGGAGAAATACTCAAATTATCTCAGTTGCATCATCTTCTCTTTATAGGCTGATATTGTTGTTTGGGCAAAGATTGAATCTGATTTTAGAAATCCTATAAATATCACATGGATATGATACACATGTAATATCGATCATCCAGTTGCCTTGTTATGAATTATCCAATGCTGTTTTTATTATTCATGACTTTTAATGGGTCATAGTTTCGGGAAAAAATTAACTTCCTAGATTACATTTTAAAGGAACTGTAATCATGTAGCAAAAAGTATTCATTTGGGAAGAGCTTTTTGGATACTTGTTCCTATTTTAACAAATAGATGTTGCACTTTGTTGAGGGGTTGATGCTCATCGTTGTTTAGGCAAATGTTATTTTTGAATGGGGTATTCTCTTTAAGAAACAGAAAAGAAATGGAATCATAGTTGGTGAATAAAAGTCCACTGTCTCAACTTCCAATGAGGAGTTCTCTTATTATTCAGAAGCCTTTAATATTGACACCATTTCTTCAGTATAAAATCTAATGTGCAGGGGAGACAAAGACAGTGATCTATGCCAAGAATGTTCCTTTACCAAGACAACGTTCCAAAAGAACCAGCATGACAATAGAAGATTTGTTTTTGAAAAAAGGAAGGCCATCAGAGTAGATTAGGATGTCTGTAAAATGGTTTATTCGTTGTAATCACTTTTTAAATTTACCAGCAACATTAGACTTGCACGTGAAGTTGCAGTATGTGCTTAAATTAAAATTTTAGATATGCTACCATGTAATTTCCTCTTTCCTGTTCCAGTTTTGTTGAGGTTTGAACTTAAATCAAAATGGAAGCATTTTAGATTATGTTTATTGTTTGTCTAGTTAGTTGCACAGTATTACTGATTTTTTTGTGTGTATTTTTGAATAGACTATGTGCCATCCATAAAGCATTGCCACACAGAGCTAATGGTAACTCATTCAGTACAATACATTATAATGAAGATTTGGAAAGACTTCTCCATTAGACAGTACGATTATTTCCATGGACTTATTTAATGTTGAATTAAGCCTTACTTTCAATGACTTCAAAATTGCCTTTTGAGAAGTTGCGTAAAAATATACATGCATATTTAATTTTTTAAAAAATAAATCTTCCATGTGAATTTTACTACAAGACTTCTAGGAGGATAGAATTAATAGAGAAAGGCAAAGCCTCCAAGGTCACTCCAGGACAGCACCTATAGCAGCAAATGGGCATCACTGGACTGGCAGATTTGTGCTCCACTTATTAGTGTCATTATAAGCTACTTATTATATTGTCACATCAATCATAAGTTAATGTGCAGCTTGTGTTCACCTCTCTTTTATTCGTTTTTAGCAACTGGTAGCGATACAGTAGAGATGGAATAAGCAAAATACAGTTGCCTTACTGCCTTGAATTCTTAGTTTTTAGTAAAAGTTCACTAGTGCTCTAAGTTGATTATTTTTCATTGTATTTAGCAAATCCATAAATTGCGAAGAGAGCTTGTTGCATCACAAGAAAAAGTTGCTACCCTCACCTCTCAGCTTTCAGCAAATGTAAGTTACGTTTGTATTTTAAGCATATTACAAAATTTTATCTAGTGCAGTGCATTAGTTTCAATAAACTGTAGGGGTGTTGCCAAACAATGTCCTATACTGGTTGCAGGCATTGTCATAGAACCCTAAAACCGGGTCCATCTGCACAATGAGGAGAGTCAATCACGCACATGGTTGGTGGGAGAAAGTAATTATGTATTGAAAAATGCAAAGCAAAGAGCCAGTCAGCTGTTGCTTAACCTCTGAGCTCCCTACGGTGTTGGGGATGAAGGTTCTTACAGACAGAAATTGGGGCTGAGAGAAGCCCATGTGGCAATCTGCTTGGTCAGTGAAGCTTGTAACCTTTTGATTGTTCAGCAGTGCCCTGATCTTTAGGGAATGTGTAGTGGTTGGGTGGGTCGCAGCCATGTAAGTGCTACATGAATGTAGTTACTATTTCTCCAGGACTTACCCCAGAAGAAACCCTCTAGACAGTATAAGCCAGTAAGGTTCCTACCTACAGAGAGGCAGATGACTCTGTGATTAGAATCTTGTAGGATCAGTTTGTTCCTCCCTCAATTTAGTGAATTTATTTATTTTAGAGGAAAGGCAAGGATACCTGGGGCTAAGGAAAGGGCCCAGATCTTAGCAATGCTTTTACGTTATAGGGCTTGAATTTCAGGAGTACAAAATTATTGCATGTTTATTTCATGACTAGGGAGACTCAAAGTTAAACTCGTCTACATACCCAACAATAAAGAGTAAACAGAACTTAAAGGGGATTCACAGGATCAATGAATTTCATTTCCTCATAAAATTATAAGAGGTGATTCTTTGTTTATTTTGGTCACCACATATACCCTACTCTCAGAAACCAGAATGCGGAAGAGTGCTAATGTTTGACTTTGGAAGATAAAAGATTCATGTGCTTTGGTTTCTTGAATTCGTTTATTGAACAAGTAGTTAAACATTCAATAAATTTGAGAAATATAATTTATATCTAGACATAAGCAAATTAGCTACATTTTAAAGAAAGTGAAGCTCTATTTAAAAAAAAAAAAAAAAAGAACGAACGAACTTGGGAGTTTTCCTAACAGGGTAAAAAGATTCACATAATGGTTTCAAAGTAACCAGGAATACAAAAGACAATGCCAGAGAAGATCATCAATTCTATAAGCATTTATTGCGTATCTGTCAGCATGCCAGGGAATACTCAGAATTGTTGCAAAATAATGAAAAGAAACATGTGGCTTTGTGCCCAGTTCTAAGGAACAACAGTGTTAGAATCAACAGTGAGGGGTAAGGAAACGCCTGCTATTTTGCCGTATGTCCAATTGCCCTGACTCAGCGTGAGTTCTGCTCAGCTCTGTTCTAGAAGTGAGCCCACTTCCTGCCTCACTGCTCCTCCTCTCTGCTCCTCTGTGGAGCTTGATGTCTCCTAGATAAAACTTACAGTAAGTAACCAGATACAGGCTTGCACGGTATGACTTAAACAAGGGACATTTTTTTTCATAATAAAAGTAATGCATAATATAATTACACAATGAGTATATGTCATTTTATCCACCATATATACATTTTAGTATAATGTTATAATTGATTTCATTTTGAAAATTAATCTAGTGTTGATTCCTTACTACAAATATTAGTAGCAGATTGCTAAAAATATTGGCAGTGTTTTGAGAATTGTGTTACTAGGTAACAGTGCTATTTAACCCATATTAAAGATAAAGAATTTTATTTATCCTAGGTCTTGTCTGACAGAGAGTCTTAAAGAGATAGTTCAGTGGCAACTGAAAACTTTGTTATATAAATTCCATGTGTTGTAGAATGAAGTATTCCTAGCTAAGTTTCTGAGTTTGAACTGTGTGGGGATGAAGTAATATAAATGCTAGAAACACGCAGGGTTGTGTTTATCGGCACTGAGATGATTCAGTGGCAGACCCTATGCCTCAGATTGTCAATATCTCTGCATATATCTTGAGCAATTACTTGGAGTTTTATTTTCTTAAGTTTCCCAGCTGACCTTGTCATATAGGTCAAATGTCGCGAAAACTAAATTGCCATAAAACCTAATGGGGTATAGGCTGATACAAAGGAACTTTTGCAAATCATTTCCATTTAAATTGTAATACCTGAACTTGTATTAAAAAAAAATTCCAAAGGATAAATAAGCATAGAGGAAATGTATGTTTTTACCTCTGAGACTCCTGCTCTCACCCAGGACTATTATTCTGTAATGTATCTTTTCAATCTTTTTCCTATCATATGTCCGTGTATACATACACATGGTACAGGTGCAAAAGCTTGTATGTATACATGCAGGAGGATACAAATACCAGCCTAAGGGAACAGTCCCCAGGCAGATACTGCAAATAGTTACCAGCCATTGGCTCCCTGCCTTTCCTGCTCTAATCTTACATGTCACACTGTGTTCGTTCATGTTTTCATAACCTTGGAGCATGACTTCTCAGGTGGATGCTGACATGGCATCCAAGATAAAAATGTATTCTTGGGGTTAAAAAAAATGCTTTGCCCTTTTTACATGTAAGCACAGATATACATAGAGTACACAAATAATTTTGGGAAATGTATAGTAGTAAAATGTCAGTACAGGATGAGTGATTAGGAAAAATATCTGCAGGGTTTTTCTAGGGGGATTGTATCTTAACAAATGAGAGTAAGAAGCAAAATTTTGGGAAAAAAAGTTCAAATTTACTATTTTGTGTTAGTCTTGGAGAAAATGCCTGTGTTTTTTCAACTTCCTCCACCTGTATCTTAGTTATCATTGGTAGCCGGGCACATAGGCAGGAGTGAATACATATTTTACTTTGTGGTCTAATTTTACTTTGTAAGATTTTTATAAGTATTATCAAATTATAGAATCGTTTAAAGACATATAAAACATTGCAGCCATATAACAGATAAAACAGTAGGAACAAAATGAAAGGCAGAAGAAAGCCAAATTAAGGTCAGTAGATAAGCAAAATGCTAATTGTATACTGTGGAATACTGCTGAATGATAACAAACACGCGAACTGTTGGTATAGGCAACAACTTGGGTAGATCTCAAGGGCATTGTGTTCAGTAGGAAAAAAATCCATTTCCAAGATATTTATAATGTATATTTTAAAATAAAGGCCGAGAAAAAAGAATCTGAAAGTTTTCACTTTAAAGCAATGATAAATGTTTTAGGAGTTAGACATTCGTTTTGTTATTTGACATTACAAAGTGTATATGTGGATCAAAGCAACTTAGGCACCTGTTTCAAAATATGCATTTTCTATGAACTTTTTGGAAACTCCACATAATCATTTTATGTGTGTTTTAGAGGGAATAATCTGATTTTCATAGATTCAGGAATTTAAATTAGTTATAAATAATCTAATACCTGCTACCGACATTCTTGACTTGATTCGTTCTCTCAGTGTTTAGTTTGTGATGTCACTTTAGATTTCACAGACCTTAATGCAATGTTAGGTCATACTAATATTTCATATTTGCACATTTCTAAGGAATATTTTTGAAATCTAATTCAAAGCATATTTCATTTCATCTTATTGTACGCAAAATATTATTGTATTATTGTAATACAAAATACATGAATTAGTCATAGGGACTCGATAGAATTATTTCTACAAAGAATTTATTCCAAGTAATAATTTTTAATAATACAATTAATGTTGGAGCAGATACAAATTTTCATGTTAGTTTACTTAGACTTTAAATAAATCTACATTTTGCTCAAATGTGTGATCTCAATGAGGATGGTTTCCTAGAAATCTCTTACTGTAATTTATAAAGATGAATTTCAATGGATTTGATTTTGTTAAAATTGTGTATTTACAGGTATTAATCACTTAAGGTATCTAACTTCAATTTTCCTCATTTATGAATAAGTCAGTGAGGGCTTATTGGTTTTTCATAATTTTGGCTTAATTTTTGTAGTTGACATAGCAGAAATTTGGAATGACCACACAATAACCCTTTTTCATTTTAAAAATTTGAAATGCATCCACTTCTTTGTAAATGCACTTTTCCCATTTGTTAGAAGCAGCAGCATCAAGGCAGTAAAGATGCTTTGTCAGCCCACCTCTCATCTGACTCGTAGAATAGGGTCTCCATTGAGTAGATTGTGTACCAAGACTTCACTCCTCATCATGCAGTTTCTCTGAATAGAACAGTATAAAACCATGAGGGGACTATAAAGTTATTTCTACCTCATGTCTTTAGAAAAAAGAGAGGATATATTGGCATAAGGTACTGCCTGGCCTTTTCTGAATCAATACGTCACTAACAGCAAAGAAGCAGAGATGCAGAGAGAAAGGCAATTGCAGGTGCGTGGGCACATCATACTTTAAGCCAAGTATGACCTTTTCCTCATGCTTTCATGCTGTCAAGTCAGCTTGTTTTGTGTTTGGCTTTTCATTCATTTCACCACAAACAGCATCCCTTAGATAATTTGGAAATGAGCATTAGGGCTACTTATTGCTAACATTTTTTCAAAGATACAAATGAATGAATATGTAAGAAAAAAATACTTTTTTTTTTTACTTTCAGCAAAGAAGTTTTTTAATCAAAAGTCCTTTGAGTATTATTTCATTGGAGATCATGCCCTACTTCTTTGCTCTGTTTAATATTTAACATTTATATATGACTTGGCTGGTAAATAAATATCCACTATGTGATATTTTAAACCAGTGAGCTTAGTCATTTTATATGTCTTATTTTTTTCACAGTTAAGTTAAAGAGAAATGGTATGTGGCCTTATATTAATTCCTGAGAAGCGTACTGAGCTTCATGGAATGATATCCCTGTATGGAAACTATCTTAAATTAAGATTTATTTATTTCAATTCTTTTTTAGTGTGTCATGTGCCCAATTAAATCTGATAAAAATTTGATAAATACATTTTTAAGGCAGTATGTTTGTGAGAGAAGGATTGTGGGAGATGGGGAAAAGAAAGAGGGGTATGACAGAAGGGAATGGGAGTAAAAAACAATTAAGAATTCTGATGGATTAAAGAGAACAAAATAGTCTTTGCATTTATTCCCTGCATATTCCAGTGTTAGATAAAGTCCTTGCTGAAATCAGAGCTTGGACCAGTTATTTTTGCTCAGGATGTGAATGGTTGTCACTCATGCATTCCAGCTATTACTAATAATGGATTTAACTTCCCAATCAATAATTCTTTGAAATCTGCAATTCCATTTATGGTCATCAGCTCTACATTTCTGCTCTACTGTAGTCAGAAGGTGGTGCATTTTATTTTAGTCCTTTCCCTTCTCTTGAAAGAAATGTCAGTGGTTTGACAAAGATTACCAAACGTTGCCCTCGGCATAATTTATGATAGATTTCAGTTATGAAATGTGTCCAATTATTATATTCTTTCAGGGGCACAAAAACGATATCAATTTGAGATAATGTACCTGCAGTTCTTATGGCCCTGGTGAAAGATTGAAGTACTTCTTCAAACTTAATATTCTGGGTTCCAGCTGTTGTGTAATAGCATGTCAATAGAAAATGGCCTATTTTAGAGCTGTAATAAGATTGTCAAATACTTCTTAATCATAAGAGTTGTGGTTATGTACTGCCATATATATAGTTCTATGGAATTTAAGATAAAACTGCTAAGCTGCAGAAGCTTAATGCTAAATAAAATAAGACTGAATGATGTTTCTTGCTGGTCTGCCAGTACTTCTATCATTATGGGGAATATGGGGAATAAAAACTAGAATGAGAAGTCCTTTTTTAAAAAAAATTTAAAAAAAAAAGAGCTTTGGAAGAGAAGACTTTTTTTTTGAAGTTAATTTCATCGTAAGTAGAAAAAGAAGAAGCGTAACATTATATAATCTGTTGGTAGGTGGCTCACACTAGAAGGAGAATATAGTTAAAAAGAGGGAACAATACCTTCAAAATTCATCATGGAAGGGCTGAAAAATGAGGCTCATTTGTCCACTGGGTATTTCAGTTTCCTCCTTTTGGGACTTCTGTTTTAAAATCTTAGCAGCTCAGAACTTTATTCAGTGTTTTTGGGTGTCACATACCTCGATGGTATGTAGAGCTGTTATTGTTTGTCACATACTATCCCCTTTCAGAAACTGAACTTGCATTAAATGTCAGGCTTCACTAGTAGTGAAAAATGAATGTGTGTGTTAAAGGCAAGTCATCAGTGGCGGCTGGCCGTGACAGTCCTCAGATTTAAACCAGTAGAATGCCTGAAATAAAGCTTCTGTAAAATGAGGGGTTTTCATCTGTCCAAATAAAGTTCTGACATTTCAACTGTGTTCCATCTATTCTGTTCACAGGCTCATCTTGTAGCAGCTTTTGAGAAGAGTTTAGGGAATATGACAGGCCGGCTGCAAAGTCTAACAATGACAGCAGAACAAAAGGTATGTTCAGAAATTCACTGCAATTTGAAAAAAAAGCTTAAGTTTAAATAATGCCTAAGTAATACAAGATATGAAACTCTATAAAAAATTATACTACTATAGAGTGTCTATTCTGCAGTCACCTCAAATATGTACAAGATAATACCTTTTCTCTTCAGATTTTCACATGGGTATTAGTCCACGTTGGAACACACAGTTGTTTTTCTATCAAATAGAACTATTAAAAGAATACCAACTGTTAAGAAAGAGAAGTAATTGCATAAGAGAGAGAATATTCTTGGCATCAGCTGTTTTGTAGTTTCAGGAATTGCCTTCTTCCCAGAATATTCACAAACCCGTTGTCAATTAACCCGGTCATGGACGGTGGCTGTAGGCTGACATGCCCAGGAAGGTTTCCAAGAGCAGATGTTAGGATACTGGAAAGCAAGAGACTTCTGATTGCAGCCACTGTGAGGCGAGAGAGACTCCTGTGTGATTGGTGAGCCATAAACAGAAGCTGGCATCTGGAGATGTTGCCTTGGAAGTTATTTACGTTCTTCAAATGCTTTAAAATAAACTTGAATGATTTTATGGCACGGTACAAGGAATACTAAAAAGAAAGGGAAAAAGTTCACAGAGGCAATTGCATTAAGGTTTATGCTGCTTAGGCAGAATCTGGGCATTTTCACTATGATGAACAGTTAATTTATGTTCTTTTTTTCTTTTTTTTTAAAAGATTTATTTATTTAGTTGAAAGAGTTACTAAGAAAGAGTGAGAAACACAGAGCTAGAGACCTTCTGTCCGCCAGTTCATTCCTCAGGTGACTGCCATGGTCAGGGCTGATTCAAGCCAATATTGGGAGCCAGGAGCTTGGTTCAGGTTTCCCCAGTGGAAGGAGAGACCGAAACACTGGACTTCCTTGCTGCTTTTTCCAAACCATTAGCATAGAGCTGGATTAGGGGGTCAAGCATCTGGGAAATGAATGGTATCCATATTGGATGTCAGTGTCGCTGCTAGCAGTGTTACCTCCTTCACTACAATGGCAACCCCGATTGATTTGTTTTAGTTTAGTGGTCTTAACCTCCTGGTATGGGTTGAAACCTTTGAAAATATGTGTAATTTTTCTTTGCAAAAGCTATATAATATGGGCAAATGTCCACAGACTTCATGTAATTCTGAACAAAATCCATCATGTATAAAGTTTCAGATGTTTTTGGAAACTTTCTATGTCGGTAGGAATGACTGATTTTGTCTTTAATTTCTATAAAAGTATATATGTTATTAGAATTATTACAATTTTTGTCAACTTGTGCTTTTTGTTTTCCTTTCAAAGAACTGAATATAAGGTCAAACATTTGTCTCATTGATTAAAATCATTGCTTGGGACACCATCACAATGTATCAAGGTGTAGAGGTTTGATTCTCTGATTCTTGAATAGCCTGACAATCCAGCTTTATGCAAATGCACACACTAGGTGTCAGTGGTGATGGCTTAACTACTTGGATCCCTGTTATCAATGGGAAGACTCCAGTTGAGGTCTGGACTCACAGCTTCACCTGACCAAATTATGGTTATAACAGACATTTGTGTGAACCAGCCAATAAATCAGTTAGTCTCAGTCTTTCTTTCTTTTAGAGAAATATAATCCTAATTTAAAAACAGAACTGAATGTTAACAATCCAATTAACTCCACAGAGAAAAGTGAACATACTATGCTTTGCTGGTATGGCTAGCAAACTGGGCTATAATTATTTTGTTTCATATATTTTCATTATTCATGAACTAGATTATCCAACTCTGCCAAACCACTTCTAAAAGGCAAGTTAAAAAACTGTTTTTGCATTTATATATTTTTTGTGCTTGTACAATTTCAAGAAGTAGCAGTATGAGATCTTTTAGGACATTCACGGAAGAGAGAATACAAACATCAGAGTCCAGTAATCTGAATGTGAGTCATGACTCTATTTCTGAAGATCTGTATGATCTCGAGCATGTTCTTCTGAACTTTTCACTGTTCAGGCTTTCTTCATTTTACTTGAAAGGGACAGAGACAGAGGAAAGGAGATTTACCTGCTACTGGATCATTCCCCAAATTCCCTCAACAGCAAGGGCATTACAAGGTGAAAGTTTATGTCCTGGAAATTAATCTTGGAATTCTCTGATGGATGTCAGAAACACAAGTGCTTGGCCAGTCATGCTCTGCCTTCTAGGAACATTCACAGAAAGCTGGATTGAAATGGAGTAGCCAAGACTGCAACAAGCCCTCTGATGTGGGAGGGGCGCATCCCAAGCAGATATTTAACTTGCCACTCCACAACTTGCCCCATCTATCTTGCCTAAACTTCAAATTCATCCCTTTGAAAGGGGAGATAAGTACCTTGCAGAATCACCGTGAGAGGTATATGAGATTCAGTATTATGCCAATGGGCAGATATATACCTGTTTATGTGTTTATATGTGTGTGTGTGTGTGTGTGTATCATCATTGAACATGCCAGGCATATGCTAAAGTGATAATTAATATTTAAGTGACAGGAGCTTTACAAAGACAAAATAATAGAAAGTTTGTGCTCTCCTGAAATTTCCTTCAACTATTTAATTTCTGTAAAATGTCTTAAAGAAGCTTGAAAATATAGAGATGTTAATCTATAATATAGATGAGTATTACCTGGCCGACTGAAAATATATCTCTCATAAACATATAGCATACCATTGTGTGTGCACTATCCTTAACTGAAATTATTAAAATATGAAATTGTAGCCAAAGAAGTGATAGCATTTAGACACTGGCAAACGATATGGATACCATTCATTTCCCAGCTGCTTAAATGCTCTTCTAATTAAAAACTACAAAAGCATCAATGTTGAAAGTCACTTATTTATTAATAACTTATATAAATCCAGAGTTCTTTTGGAAAGTCTGTAACATTAGCTACAATATTAAATAATAAAATTCAGTAGCAGAACTTATATGAAAACCAATAGAGTACCATGTATAGTGAGATTTCTGAGCCTGGGTAATTTCTATTGCAAAGTTCTGAACAGAGTTGAATGTCAAGGGAGCTAAGGCACAAAGGGAGATTGCTTCGTGTGTTTCATGCTTATTTTCTCACCCAAAGAACATAATTTAGATTGAAGAGACAAACTTTTTGGCCCTGAATTCAATGACAAATTTATTGCAAAGGTTGTTAAATTGGGGTCATGAAATAACAAAAGACAAAATCACTGTTCAAATAGCCATTTCTCTAAAAGCTGAGGGCATAACATTTAATCATATTTCAGCAAAGGCATTTCTTTAGGGAGCTGAGATAAAAGGTTATATTGCTCCCTAGTGATCCAACAATCCTGAGAAAGAGGTTGGCGAAATATACAACAGGGGTTTTGAAAGTCTATTCCAGGAGTTCCAAGGTTCTTTTATCCATTTAGTCAGTCATCAAATTTATATTGAATTTCAGCTAGGTTTAAAACAAGTACACACGGAGTATATGGAGCCAGTGCAAAGGCTTAATTGGCTAAACCTCCACTTCCGAGTTACAAGATTACATAAGGGTGCTGATTCGTGTCCCGGCTGCTCTACTTCTGATTCAGCTCCCTGCTTGTGGCCTGGGAAAGCAGCAGAAGATGGCCAAAGCCTTGGGACCCTGTGCCCATGTGTGACACCCAGAAGGAGCCCCTGGCCCTTGGCTTTCCATCGGTTTAGCTTTTGCTGTTGCAGGCATTTGGGGAATAAAATGGCAGACAAAAGATCTTTCTGTCTGTTTTTTTCTCTGTAAATTTGCCTTTCCAATAAAAATAAATAAATCTTTTAAAATCAGTTAAAAAAATATGGGAGGGGTGGTGGGAATCCCAGTACCTATAAAACTGTGCCACATAATACATTGTTATTAAAAAATAAATAAATTTAAAATTTAAAAAAATCAGTTAAAAAGTATAGATAGGTGATAGATGGATTACAATCTACAACTGTAAATATAGGTAGCTATTAGAATATGTGTACTATGAAGATCATAACATTTAAGGTATTCCTTGTATATGATATTATTTATTCATATATATTCTTCATGGTGTCCATATTCCTCATATAGATAAAATATATATGTGCATATTATATACACACATATATGTCCTATTCCACTTAGAATTGGTATTTGTGTGTATTTATGTACTGGGGTTTAATTAAGACATTTATATTATTTAAAACTAATAGGACTTTAAAAATTGTTTACCCAATTAATAAATTTTGAACATGTATTTCAGATATTTGAAAGGCAGAGTAACAAAGAAAGGAAGAGAAATAGAGATAAAAAGAGATCATCCATTTGCTGGTTAGTTCCTCAAATATCTGAAAAGATCAGGGCCAAGTGAAGCCAGGGTTAGAAGCCTGGATTTCCATCCGCATCTCAGTTGAGTGGATGCTGCATAGTACTAGGACCGTAATTTGACTGCTTTCCCAGGTGCATTGACAAGTAGCTGGATTCGAAGTATACTACCAGGGCTAAACCCGCACTCTGATAAGGAATGCCAGCATCACTTTCAGTGGCTTAACTCACTGGACCACAGTGTTTGCCCCCAAAGAGGCATCTTTCAATTCTATTTTCCCACAAATGTTTTTGAAATGCCTTGGAATACATTCCATATAGAATTTATATGCTACTAGGTGACATGATGATTAAAAACATAATTTAAAAATAGTATATTATATTGATAATAATAAACACTGTTTTAAAAATAAAGTACATCTAAGAAGGAGGATATTGGGAAGCAGCCTTGGAAGCCAACCCATGAATAAAGGCCAATGTGACTCTATGTCCTGGTTATATGCTTGTGAGTAGATAAACTAAACTAATGCTAGTCTCTCTTCATTGTGTAATTTTCAACAGTCGTATAGTATTAAATGTCTGAAACTAGTCTCAAATTTTAGTATGCGTTGTGTACTAAAATCACAGCCTGGATTAGCATTATAACAATTTTCCTTGTTTCTAGATGCCAAATAACACAGAGTCCCTTGCCAAATTAAATGGCAGCACATTGCCTTTATACACTTCCAGTCTAGTAAGAGAAGAAAGACAAGCGTAAACAACTTAAAAGGCAGAAAATTGTTGTGTCATTGGAAATGTGATGGTTCAATGTCATGAAGATTCTAAGATCACTTTTGTGGCAGGTTGGAGATGGCAAAAAGAACTACCCAGGCTGAGATACCAGGGTGGGGAAGGATCTGGAAGTGAGTCATAGAGGAAGAAACTACACAAACACCACAGAGGAAAATGATGGGAAATTTCACTCAAATTTTTATGCCAAGATTAATTTCCTGGATGAAATACCACTGAAAAAGACTGTGATACAAATCACTGAAGTGGCAAGAATTCTACAAATTTTTGATTTTTTTATGAATGAAAGATTACAAAACTGCTGAATCTGTCATTTCAAATTTACCCAAGCTGCCCTCCATGTTATGTAGGAATTTAGAATTGAGGAGACATTCAAATTAGTTCCTTATGGCTGCCCAAACTGGACAATTAGGACAAATCTTAGTATGAAAGTATTGTGGGTTAAATTTCTTTGTAGTTCAGAGCGATACAGAAGAATATCTTCTTGTATTAGTGGTGGAACTCAGAAATTGAACCTATTGTTAGTTAGTTTCATGCTTCCTCATTCTTCTGTGCAACTATTTCAGGGGGGACTAAATGAATAAAAACTTAAACTTTAAAAATGAAGTCAAATCCTTGAGGATAGAAGCGAAAAATTTAGTTGCCTTGAGTCTTCACATTAACACCTTCTTTTTTACATTAAGATGCACATAATCTAGATGTGATTTAAAAATTGTGTCACTAGAATCAGACAATTATTCATTAATCTTTTAGGGGAAAAGATCATATGAATTCACAAATTTCAAATAACTTTCATTACTGGAACATGGTGAATTTAGTTCATCTGAATTAAATAGAGTAGTAATGGCCTGGCTCTTTCAGTATAAAAATTAGCAAAATTTCAAGGCAAATGCAAAGGCAAGTAGTGGAATGTGTTCAAAGGAAGTACAGCTGGCCAGTGTGTAATTAACTGAGTGTCAGTGTGAAGAAGCCAAAGACAGATTCAGTGCAAAATTTTAACAGTCTGGCCTAAAAGGTCAAATATTTGATTAGATTTGTTGTCAAGCCTGTGGGCTTCTTAACAAAGCCTATATAGTGAGAAACAGGGAGAGCACTCAGAAATAGTTAGGAAATTTGATTGGAATGAACATCAAGCAAGGCTAGTATTATGACACAAAATTGTTTTGAAGTATTTCAAGTATGACCTTGATAATTTCTTTTGCAATACAGAAGCATGAAAAAAGAAACATGGCATTGATTGCTCAAAGGTAGAATTCTCACTTCTCAAAACAGTGAAAAGACATATGGATGGTATCTAACTGCTTATATGGAAAAAAGTTATATTGAAAACTAAAATCTCATGGTCAGCATGTATCAGAGGCATCATTATCTAAATTGATCATCAAAGGAAAGTGAAATGGCATGTTTCAGGGGCACTTGCTTATGCTTAATGAAATTCTCCTAAAACATGACTAGTATGAATTTGGCTGCAGTAAGTTTCTCATACATGTGATTTTCCCAAGTTGTGTTATACAAACATTTCTGACCTATTAAGTCTCCCTTTGGATTAATTTTGCTACATGGAATAACGACACTGATGCTAGGATCAGTTGTTTTAAAGAGATACCTAGTTCCAGAAAGTAATCATTTTTGTATGTCATACTGAACAATGCCAACCTAAGGTGAAATGCCTAAATATTCTGCTTCAGTGTTTTTAAAACAGCTTCAATAATCAATAACTCTAGAAAAGGTTACAGTTTTGACACTGAAAATGTCTGATAGCTCACTTGTTCAGGCATTTATATAAGAACACACTTCTATGTTTCTTTATTAAAGCTACAGCCAAATATTTTAGCCAATTTTCATCCACTGTCCATTTTAGTTACATGTATAGATTCCATGCATTTTACATAAAAATTCATCTGAGCTTGTTAAAATTTAGTTAGTACCTAACAGCCTCATATTTATGTTTTATAAGTAATATTTGAATAGTATGTGTAAAGTGTACATAATAGTTATTTTTATATTAAATGTCTGGTGAAAGCATAATTTATTTCCAGTAAATTCTATCCAGTATTCTCTTGGAATATCTATTTTCAATGGAAAATATGCTAAATTCTAATACACATATATGTTAGTATTTGAGCAAGAGACAAAGTATAGAAGTGAAAGAGACAGAAATTGTGATGACTTTTGTGTCATGACATTGGAAATTTTCCACCAACATATTTCCCTGTATTTCCTTTATGTTAAATTCAAATAAATTACAGTCAAGGTGGTTTCTTTTTAAGATTTGTTTATTTGGAAACCAATAGTTATACAGAGAGGCCTTCCATTTGCTGGTTCATTTCCCAAATGACCTCACTGGAGCGAGTAGCCATGAGTGGTAGGGGCCCAAGTACTTGATCCATCTGTAGCTGCTGTTTCCAAGCTACTAAGAGGGAGCTGGGTAGGAAATGGGACAGCCAGGACACAAATCAGCAGATATATGAGTTTGTAGGCACTGCTGGGGTTTGAATTACTTGCATACCACTGGGTCAAGTTTCTGAAGGTCCATCTAAAAACCTAACACATTGCTACTGAATTTTCATTATGAGAATCTTTGAATTACAAGATAGTAAATGTTTGTGAGAATTTATTTTTAAATGTAACTGTCATTTGTTGAAAGTACATCAGATATTCAATGAAAACAGATCTAAGGAACCAGGTGTCTATCCTATGCATTTTTTTTTCTTTTAGGTTAACATTATATGTTTTAAGAAATGTCTTCAGTTAGAATAGTTACACCTTCTTTTTTTCTTCTATTTGGGGACACATTCAGGTGAATGAACTGTTTCTCATGAAGAATCCAGGCTTGACTGTTGGGCTTTCTGTCAAAGATGTTAGAGAAAATGATAAATGACAAATCCATTACCAAGTCATTCTCCCTCTGAGAGTCTGACAAGGATCTAATTTTTAGGATGACATCACTAACAAACAACATAGTCCTCATTATTGAATTTGTGTTGAGAAATATTTCCTATCTGTATCTTCATTTAGTTCCTTTTTAATTGCTTTGAGAGTTTATCTGCTACATAATGAATCATTTCTAATCAAGTAAATGACTTCATAAGTAACTGTAAAGGACCAAGTTAATACAATAATTTTCCTTAGGATATATGTTTAATCACCGCAAAGTTAATGAGAAAATGTGTCTTTTATAAACATTTGACTTTTAAACTCTGACATAGCTTGTATTAAAAAACTTCGTTTTCTATTTTTTTTTTAATTTTTAAAATGTTTTAGTGGTTTTTTTCAATGATTTTTAAATTATTGTGTTGCTTTGTGAAACTTGATCATACCAGGAATTATATTAGATAACATATATCAGTAATAAAGATGACCTTGATTTCCAGGAGATATTTTAAGATGACATTTTGAAGAGTGAATTTGAGATAAGTTACAAGTCTCATATCCGAACACAAACAAAAAATATCCAGTGTAAAATACTTTGAAAAAACTATGAAATCCCTTATTTGGCAAAAAATCCAATGCTTCCGGTTGACATATACTTCTATATAAAATCCCTACAAGATAACACTTTTGGATAGTATCATTATGCAAAAATGTTAAATGTTTAAAAACATATTTATTAGAGAATGTACACATAGCAAGCATGATATAGCTTCCTACTATTTTATATTCCTACTTTTTAAGGAAAACAGTTTGTTTTTCTTTAAAAAAAGCTATTAATGCAATCTTGATAACTAATTGTCTAAAGGAACCCTAAGAAGTCTGTTAGAATTAGTTACACCTTGCTCAGGTTTGTGCTACTTGACTTTGAATGCCACCGTGTGAAGTCATAAAGGTTATCCACATAATTTTTTAAAATAACTAAGAAAAATTCTTGTTTTTAATTCTGTTGCTAGAAAGGTGATGGATTGGTACACTTGACAGATCAGCAAAGCATCCATAGCCCTCAGGAGATTTGCACTGCATAAGACCAAATCCATTTGTTAGTGGAATGTGAACAAGGTCGTGTTATTTTTATCTCTAGGAATTAAAATTTCTGTGCTCTGCTTATTCCTCAGGAATCTGAACTGATAGAACTGAGAGAAACCATTGAAATGCTAAAAGCCCAGAACTCTGCTGCCCAGGCAGCCATTCAGGGAGCACTGAATGGTCCAGATCACCCTCCTAAAGGTATATTTTTAAAATATTGCCATTTTTCACCTAATATCATACTTTATTAATTGAGTAGAGCTTATTTTTAAAAACCAGTGATACTGCCTTTTATAATGTGTCAGTGTCAGTGTGGTCAGAACCCTAGAATTTGACAATAGGGTTTGTTTGCTGTCTGGACTTGGTACATAGAGCCAATAATCATACATGTGGACTACTGACCCATAGTCAACCACCCGAGTTTATTCACAGCATCAGGCTTGTATGCACTGATGGTCACATAGGGTAAGGGAAGAGGTTTTGAGGAGTTTACATATCAACAATAGGGTGTTGACTTGAGATCATGGGAGTTCCCATCAGTCTGTCTGTAGATCCCTTCTGTTGTTCCCATACTCTTGCCTGGAAGAATCCCTCTAAGTTTTGTATATCCAATCAATTGTCTTCCTACAGTGTTTGTAATCAAGGAACTTTTAAATTGTCATGAAAGAATATCCTTCTTTAACACTATGCACACGTTTCTTCACTGAACTTGATAAAGTGAGGATGGAGTGGTTGGTTAACACATGCATATCTAATGTCAATGGTGAGAACAAGCCCAGGAGTGAGGAACCAGAAATTTGTATATAAAAATGAAATCATCAATATTGCAATACATTAGAAGACTTTGGGAGTGCTCCTCTTAGAGACAATAAACTGATACATTTTCTGTAGATTTTAAAGCAATAAGAAAGCAGACTAAAAGTCAATCTGTCTCCTATTGTTACCATGTTTTTGCCATTTTTAAAAAGAGATAATTTTTTATTCTCTCACCATTTGATTTACAGTGAAAGAATGCTTATAATTAATGCTGTTTTAGTATTTTTTTAATTTGTGTAAGTCCTATTTTTTCATGGCCAAGCTCTTTTCAGCACATTCATTATATATTGTCAACTCTTTCACATCTTAAAAGTACTTTGATAAATCCAGAAAGTCACGTTGTTTCTCTCCATTTCCAGAGAAATTCTGGAGAAATTTTTATACAAGATTTCATTGTCTTCAGTTACAGTAGCTCTTTGGGCTGGTGGAGTGCAGCTTCATTTTCCCCTACTCCACCATTAACATCCTGCCCAGCACCAATAGTGACTTATATGACACTAAATCTAGTGACAATTTTGAAATCTTACTGACTTAGAGATGGAAGTATTATTTGATACTGATGCCCATCTGTATCAATCCTGTGTACTTGAAAGATTTCCTTTTTACAATATCCATAATGTCACACATTCTGTTTTCCTTCGGATCCTTTGAAATCCTGTTCAAACTTTGCTTTTGTGTATTCGTTCTCTTGTATCCGTTTGCTAATGGTTGAAATCCTAAGCTCTCCTCCATTATGATTCTGATGTTTATGGATCTGTAATCCTGTCTGAAATTCTATACAATTTCATCTAGTATGCCAGCTATAATTGTTACTCATGTGCTGACAATTCAAATCTGTATCTCCAGGCCAGGCTCATCTGCTGAAGGTTAACTTCACGTAGAGCGCCTTTGAGATATATTGTGATGTCTGCTTAACAGACTCAACATTGCTAAATTGGAATTTATCATGTTTCCTTTTTCAGTGCTCTTTGCTTCACTAAGTAATATCACCATATTTCCAAACAGCCAGGAATCTAGGTGTCATTCATAATTCTTCCTCTTCTAATTTAATAAAACTCTCTGCTGATTTCTGCCCCTTAGATATCTCTTATATCTATTTTCTGAGTGTGCTACACTCTCCATCGTCTATCCATTGAACAGTGGCTGCAATAAGCTCCCTTATAGCTTTGTTTTTACTCTTACCCCAGTTCATACCATTCCTCATACTGAAGCCAAGGCAGTTATCCAAAAACACATATCAACTGGTATCCCCTTGATTTTAGCATGACATACAAATTGGTTAGCATGATGTAACTTCTTAGCTAGCTACATTCATACAACAAATAAATTGATTACTCATCACATACCAAATTCATTCAGATTTTGCTCTTTTGTGGAATTATATATTTCACGTGTAAGTTCTAGTACATTTCTTTCAGTTCTTTGTTATTTACTTATAGCTGTACATTTTTTTTTCAATTGGAACATTTTACATGGTGTGTTCAACACAATAGTTGGTTTAGATACTGCAGAATATAGACTAAATATGCCTTCTGCTTTCCACCACCACTCAAAACACGGATGAGGTTCCCTGTGATATGTTTCTCGAAATAGCTGTACTTTCCTAATCTAAATTTTTAGTATACTTTGGTGTCTTTGTTTAAGGTTTGTCAGACTTTTCTGATCTGCAGTAGAAGGGTTTATTTTTTTTTACCCTAGTGGCCATAATGATTTGCACATAAAAGGGACTTTATTACAATTTTCTAGGAAAGAGAAATATAATTTTAAATATACTTTAAATTTTAGGAAAACAGCTAACTGAAGTGAAATGTGCTTAAATTGAAGTACAAACTAGTTCTCTGTGGGCTACTTCTGTAAAGAACTTAGCAACTTTCCATGTGGGAGAGTTGATTTATATGCTGCATGGAAAATTACTGCATATTTAAAGCTTATCTTAGAGCTATAATAAAGCAGCTTATGTTCCAAATCTTCATGTCGTAAATAGGTCCAGAAGGGATTTAAAAAGGTTTAATCCTTTCTTTAATACAGCACAAGTCACTGAAGTGAAACTTTGTGGAAGGATTCCTTTTATCTTAAGCAACAGGTAGCTTCATATACCTTTTGGAATTTAAATATTGGAATTCCTTTTCTTAGAAATGTGGAAGGGTGGTTATTATGATGAAAAAGCTAGTAAGTTAGTATCAAAATGTATCAAGAGTCTTAAAAATTTATTTTCCCAAGTTTTAAAATAACATTGAGTTGCAAATCATTAGACATACAAATTATTAAACGTATAAACTCAGTTCAAATTTAGTGAAGAGTTGTTCTTATCACATTGACTGACATAACATGGAGAGAAACAGTTGTACATTCCATAAATTTGTATTCTGAAATCATATCAAAATTCAGTTTTCTAGACCTTTAAAGTACTTTTGTGATATAAATTTTAGCATTCAGAGTAAGGAAATACATTTTCATTTGAGAAGCAGACAGGCTGTCATGTGTTGATTTACTCCCCAGGTGCCACCATAGCCACAGCCAGGTGCTAGCAACTCGAACCTAATCACCCAAACCCAACTATTTGAGCTATTACCTCTGCCTCCCAGGGTGTATATCAGAAGAAAGCTGGAATCAGGAACAGACCAGAATGTGAGCCTAGCACTCCATTATAGGATTCATACATCTCACCTGACAGTTTAGCTGCTAAGCTAAGCACTTACATTGGAATGAGGCAATATTTTGTAGGTAAACTTTTGGAAAAATCATATGCCAAATTATTAATACACTTTTCTATTTTCTGTAAATCTGTGTATCATATTTATTAGCAAATAATAAATCTATAATACAATATGGATTCATTATAAGCACATTGAAGCACCTGCTGCATACTAGGCATTCTATTAAATGTTGAAAATAAAAATTAAAAATAATGACTTTGTACTCAGGGGGTACACATCCACTGCAGCGGATGGGAAACTTTATGCACATATGCCCACACAGAGGGAAATACTCAGAAACAGAAAAGTTGTGCAAAAATAATTGTAATGTGCTGACAGTTGAAGGTAACGGAAAATGTTGCTTTTATAAAAATAAGGAATGCACTATTGATTTTTAAGTCACTACTTCTGAATAAACATGGAAGCATTTTTTTCTTAATATGTAGGAAATACAGTTAAATACCATATGTATTCTATTGCTCTCAAGACTAAATTTGAATTAGGAATAATGATAGGCAAGCAGTTGCTTCAATGCATAATTAGAATACATATACATAATGCATAGATATATATACACATAAAACAGCTCCATATTGATTTTCTTCTACATGGCTTACTCTGTACAGGTCATAGATTTATAATGGTGAAGAAAGTAGGCATAACTATTACTCCATTGATTTTTTTTGGTCTGGTGGAAGAGCAGAAAGTAAAAGAATGTATATAATCATTGATGAAGCATTTTGTACATCCCAAGATAATGATAAGCTTTCAAAGGATGAGAATAGGCACCACAGACAGCAAGTGCAGAGGATTCTACTAGTGCTTAACTTAGTCAGGAAAGGCTTTTCCTAGCAAGCAGATTTTAAGGGGAAATTCAAGGAATGATTACAAATTATTATTGTCAATATTGAAGGAAGAGGAATCCAGGAAGCTCCTATGCAAAAAAGAGTTTAGTGCCTTTATAGAAGCAATGCAGGGAAGATAATGTTTGAAAGTAAAGCAAAAGAGCATTATTACAGAAATAATCCACATTGTTGAGGGATTTTGGGCCGTATTTAATAGCTAAATCATTTCTTCTATTATTAAAATGAGAATACATTGAAAGATCTCAAAGAGTAATGGTACAGTGTTTTTAAGGACTTCTGCAGTTATTGTTTGTAGATGGTTTGAAGGTCGCTACACAGGATAGCTATTTCTACCGTAGATGATGAAAGTGATTCTGGTCACTTGAATTGGAACAGGGATCATTCAGAGGGTGGGAAGTAGAAAATGAATGAGTCAAGAAGCATATAATTTCTACTTTAAAAGAGTTCTCCATTTGCTCAGATTTTTTAAAAATATGTATTGGTTAGCCATTCTTTTCGAGTCATTAGGTCTCCGTGTACAGAATCAAATTCCTATAAGCACTAGGAAGAAAATATTAGAGAAAACAAAAGTGCATTCCTTCAGTCCATGATACTAGTGCTATGCTTCTAGCCTTCGTTGGTTAATGCACTCTTATATGAAGACAACTACTATCTCAAAGGGCTACTGTTTTTCCATCACTATATATGTCTCAATATTGAGAAATAATCAAGTGTTATTTATTAATTCTGAATATAGTAAGAATTCTGAATATTTTAATACTTTATATTGCTGCTGTATTTGTTAGTGTTATTAGGAAAAAGCTATGTCTTATTCAGAGGAGCTCATAGCTAACTACAGCAAAAATCTGAAGCATTAACAAATAACCACATGTTCTCTTCTATTAACTATTAATATGAGTTCCATGTTAGTTGATTAAAAGATACTATGTTTCTCTGCTGTTGAATTAAAAGAAGACACATGTCTTGATTTGGGTTTGGTAATTGGAATTGCAGTTTACATTCAAAAGCACAAAACATTCTCGTCATGTTTTTTAAATATTTGTTTTTTTGAAAGACAGACTTTTAGAAAGACAAGAAAAAAGATCTTTCATTTACTGATTCATTCCCCAAATGGCTACAATAGCTAGGGCTGGGTCAGGAGCTTCTGGCTCTTCCGTGTGGATGTGAGGACACAAGTATTCTGAAATACATGCTTAGGAGAGCTTCAGTAAGTTCGTTAAAAATGCATGTTCTGAGGAAGTTGCATGAATCTGAATTCTTTCCAGTAAAATTAAGCCACATTTTAGTTCCATTTCCAAGAGCTTGTTGAAATAATCTCATATACACATATAAGTACGTATGTGTGTATGTATATATGTGTGTGTATAACAGGCCCACATATATGCTCATTTAGTATATGTTTTGAAACTAATTATAGGATTATTTCCCTGAGTCATTTTTAATATTTAAGAACGTAGTCTGTCGGAAGGTTTAAATTTCTACTATGCTTTCCATGGAAGTTTTTTGAAAACTGTATAACAATTATTTCCACTGAAGTATATGTGTGTATATATACACACATTTTTTGCTTGGTTCATTTGTATTGATGCCAATTACATATGGGTGTGAGACTATAGCTCCCCTATTTTTCAGAAAGGTGATCAAGTTTAGATTACTAAACCCATTTTGGTCATATGGTTTAAGAATAAAATTAGATACCCCAAAGGCACACAAAAATGTACTAAAATCAAGTTTATCATCACTTGTTGTTATTAGAGCTACTCTTAACTGTGGTAAGTCACAGATAGGGACTAGAAGTATGTTAGGAAAATTGTACCATATTAAATACGTTCTTTGTTTCATTTATAAACCCAATTAACATTGTTTCAGTCCTGAGGAGCTTTGCCTTAGTGAATCTTTGACCTTGATCAAAGTATTTACCTTCTTTGTTCTTTAGCTTCTTTATCTGAGATATATTGTACTTCTATGACTTTCACTTTATTTCGACTCTAAAATGGACTTTATTCTGTAAAATGAAAACTTACTGTATTTAACTTTGGTAACTTTATCCAAGGCACAAACTTTTACAAAGCCACAAATGAGTTTCCATTTACTCCACAGAACTACTCATTTGAAGTACATTCATTCAAGAGTGCTGTTTGGTCAAGGTATTAAATAGAAATCCACAACATATCATTTCATTTTTTTGGACACAACTCATAACTGATTAAACCATCAGTATTTCTGACATGCGTGAGATTCCTCATTGACTATTAAAGTAGATAACTCAGCAAACAGGAGCAAATAAGATTGTATTTTATTAAAGTTATAAAACCGAGACAGTATCAAAATGATCTGTACAATGCCCTGTTGGAGAGACCTTTCCCTGAGAAAGCGTGCAAGACCCACATGCCCAGTTGAGGTTGCATGACCAGATGTGATATTCTCTGTCTTTTGGTAGATCTCCGCATCCGAAGGCAGCACTCCTCCGAAAGTGTTTCTAGTATCAACAGTGCTACAAGTCATTCAAGCATTGGCAGTGGTAATGATGCTGACTCCAAGAAAAAGAAAAAGAAAAACTGGGTAAGCTGTCATCACATGCCATTCAGCAGCTTTTTATTGGAAAATGAGTTGGGCTTTTTCCCCTAGACCATTAAAATTTTAGAAGAGAGCTACAGCACTTTGCTAGGAGACCTGTTTCAATGACTGGCAGCTTTAATGGAGGCACTTACCAGGATGACATGGTTCTGTAGAGTACCCACTTTGGAGTTGGAATTAAACATGGGTTTGAATCTCCACTGCTCCTTAGGCAGATTTCTTCATCTTTGGAAGAAACTAAAGTTTCTAATTTGAAGAACTAGGAGAGTAAATAGTGGCTTTAAACAGCTGTCATAAATAAAAATAAGCTAAAACCTGTAAAGAAGTGGGTTGGACCAGGTGCTTATTTTAAGAGTGGAGAAGAAGAAAATGATGTGTTTCTGCTAGTGGTGGTGGAGGTAATGACAGTAAGGTTAGAGAGAAAGAACTGGAGTCTTGAAAGGTTCCCCTCATTGCCAGAATCATAAGATTTCACCTCATATGATGGTGAATACATCCACTAGTGTATACTTGATTATTTTTTAAACCAAGAAAAGATAGCAGAAATATAGAAATTAGCAGAACTGTGCCACAATTTGCTTGAAATATAGTTGGCAATAGTAAGGAATTATCAAAAAAAAGAAAGATATCATCATTGTGCAAACAGTGAAATAAAGGATTCCTTTTAATACATGAAATGTAGATAGGTTTTTATCACAACTCGTGATAAAACATAATTGTCAGAGGATTTCACTGGCATGCTTTCTATAAGTAATGAAAGAAGTATGTTTTTGTTTAAGAAAATGTTTATGCAGGTAATATTTTTAAAAACCCTGATCAACCTTCATTTCCTTGATTTGTAATTCCACTCTTTCATGTTTCTGCAAGGTGAACTCTAGAGGAAGTGAGGTGAATATAAACTGGACAATTTGGCATGCATCCCTTTGAAAAAAAAAAACCTATTTTGGCATGAATGCTATTCATTTTGGCAGTAGGCTTTTATACCTTTTAAAAACAGATTACCTTGTATGTCTTTTTCTTTGTGTCTTTTCATTTTAATCTCAAATTTCAAAGAGAAGTAAAGCCACTTTCTGAATAGAGCTGTGGGGGACACCATTTCTGGATTTGAATAGTCTGGGAGTTGAAAATTTGAATGGACAATCACAATTAATGAAGTGTTAGGTGAATTTGATTTCATTTTGCTTTTTAAGTTTGTACTGCCAGCAGGATATGACTTGACTGTAGTGCTAAAGTGGCCATTTAAAACAAATTGCCTTGAGGAGAAAAGCATTGGGAGTGGAGATCCCTTCAAGGTACTTAGTTTTAAATGAGTGCTCTGGCAGCGGTGCCCTTGACCTTGCACTATTTCAAAGCCTTCTTGTTTGCGCTGTGCTGGATTAATATATAAGTATAAAATGTAAATACAAAAACATGGTGTCATTTACTTTAGAGATACCGTGCTGCAACTGTTAATACTGTGCTTATACCTATTGACCCCAGACAGTGTTTAGGGTGGCTCCTGCAAACCCTGCCCTAAAGTCAAAGCTTTCCCAGTGCACATAGACAAGATGGGTAACTTCTGTCCTCATTGCAGCTGAGGAGTTCTTTCAAACAAGCCTTTGGAAAGAAAAAATCCACCAAACCTCCTTCCTCACACTCAGACATCGAAGAGCTTACTGATTCATCCCTTCCAGCTTCCCCCAAGTTGCCCCATAATTCTGGTGACTGCGGTTCTGGAGCCATGAAGCCCTCACAGTCAGCCTCAGCGTAAGTCACGTCCTTTACACATTCCTGACTGTATTCTTATGAAACCAGTTCAGGCCCAGCTTATGTGTATGTCTTAAATGCAGCTGTTCTCAAAAAGACAAAAGATCCTCATCTACCCTGATGGAGATCTTGCTGAGAATGGCAGACAGCCCGTGACTTCCTTATCTCTTGATAGATATTAGAATTTCAAAGTGTCTTGATCTCACTCTCCCCTTTTCCGAATCATTGTTCTCACTTCTTTTCACTTGCATTTGTTCTCGTATCTAACTGTGCATCCATACAGGTCACCCCTTGTCTGGCCACCAAAGAAACGGCAAAATGGCCCTGTGATCTACAAGCATAGATCCCGGTAAAAATGGAGTGTGGTGCATGAAAAATACAAAGACCCAAGTTCTAACCCAAGCTGTGTTCTCTTTTCTTTTTCTAAAGTCGCATGATTGCATCTCAGCCACTACATATTCTGTTTCTGTGCCTTGACTAAAATTTGCTTTCCTAAAAGCAATCTTCAATCCTGTTTTCTAATATGGCATTACAGTAGAAGCACTTTTTTTAGTACCAGAAAGAAGACCACAATTACAGTAGAGCAATGTAGTAGCAATGTATCAAACAGAGTATGTTCATGGTACTGAATAGCGTAGAATAGCCATATAAAACCGCCATGTTGTCTGTAAAATTATACAAAGAATAAATCATACCTTTGGTGATCAGCAACCTTGATGTCAAATTATGAATGGAAAGTATATTTTTAATATAAAATAGATTCTTTTTGACAAACTGTTTTACATAACTGCCCACAAAACAACAAAATAAAATAACGATATACTCTGAGAATAATGTCCTGAAATGTTCTAAGTAGCTACTATTCTGCATAGATAGTCACACCTTTCTGGGACATAGGAAAAACTCACAATGGTTTGGAAATTTAATGTTCAGATACTGTAAATTATTTAATATTACCCAAATCCAGTGAAATGGATGTATTACTTCCCTAATGTCTATGCCCCACCCCCATCAAGAGGAACGGGAGCATCAAATGGAATGACATCCACCACAGTTCTAATAATAATGTCATTGCCCTGAGCCCCCTCCCCTGTGCTGCAGAAACTCGTGAAGCAGGTGTTTATGGGGAGTCTACTATGTGACCGGCACTGTTAGGCACCGTGATAGGAGCAACGTATGAAATTAACAAGGTCCCTATTCTTACCGCTTTTCTATAATCATGTGTTGCTTTTATACGGTGAAAGAAATCAACAGTAGGATTAATAAATACTAACTTTATGCATATTAGGAAATCCTTTGGGTAGATTAGTCATATTTTGAAGTTCTTACAGTTTTCCAAATAGTGTTGCTTTAAAAAGGAAAACATAATTGAAATTTTTTCCTGTATGTGCCTTTAAAAACAAAGAAGAATATGATCTAAATGACCTTCGCACAGCCTCCCAGCTGGCCTGCTTTTGGGTTGAAACCTGTGATTTAGCTTCATTAACCACAATCTTCTAAATCAGCTGAGCCTAACAGGAAGATTATATAGCACACATCCATTCTTTAAATGTCCAAAACAAGTCTCTCTAATTTATTTTCCCACATAATTTATATTGGATTTTCATGGTAACTGGAAGTCATTGCTGAAGAAAATACGGTTATCCTTTGTACAGTTTTGCAAAGGAAAAAAAAATTTGAGGATATAATCACTTTGCTTTTAAACAAAAATATTTCACAGGTCATGAAAAGGGATTTAAGTCCCTTGAGAAATGATAGAATGTAATGACATAATGGCATGAGTCTTCTGCAACCATGAAACTTGGAAGATAACTTTATTAACAAGCGACTGCTTGGGAATCTTCGAAAATAGGATATATTTTTTCAAGCATACCTATTTCAGCTTCAAACTTGCAGATGGGTTACTGTTTTAAAACCCCTTATCCTTTCTCTAGGTCTTACCAGCAGCCAACACTACCTGTACCTGCTGGATAATTTTGCAGTTCGGCCTTTACAAAAGGCATGCTTTTCCTAATTCTCTGCCTTCCACAAGACCACCAATTTCGGTTTGTCTCCTTCCTCAGGATCTGTGAGTGCACAGAGGCTGAGGCAGAGATAATTCTGCAGCTGAAGAGCGAGCTCAGAGAAAAGGAATTAAAGCTGACGGATATCCGGCTGGAAGCTCTCAGCTCTGCTCATCATCTGGACCAGATCCGGGAAGCCATGAACCGGATGCAGGTCGGCACTGACGTACCTTTGAGGAAGAAAATGAACAGATAAAAACCCTTGCATTTCCCCCTTTTCTGGGTTGTTACAGAGCAGCTGCAGCATTTCAAACCCACTATGGAAATATACCCTGTTTACACAATTTTTCTGTTTATTCTCTAACACCCCATTGTGCCTGCCATATGTAGAATTGGAAATGGGTGTGCCAACTCATCAGTTGGACCCAGACACTTGTGCTACCCCCTCCAGATTCAGCTTGACAGCCAAGTCTTCAGAAAACCTTCTACAATACATGGATCTTAATTTTTCCAGGGTTTATCTTTGAGTTGGCCCTTTCTTCCTGTTCCTTTTAAATCTGATTTTCAAATGCCTTCACTTACAATCCATTGGAAAACAAAAGTAATGGGGAAGCTAAAGAAATTTAACACAAGCTTTAGAATGCCATCTGTAAAAGTTAAAGTTTTGTATTTTTTGGAAGCATGTAAAGGCTAAATTCAGCACCAGTCTGTGCTCAGACTAAGTTTTCATTTTGTTTTTGTCAACCAGTAATCACTTGGTTCCACAGATGACTGAAATAAGAAAAGCTCCTTACTGAGTGGATTCATCTGCAATGTATATATTTATCCAAAGATTTTTGCTATTTTTATGAGCTTATGCCCTCTTTTAAAAGAGGAAGAATTTTTTTCAGGGATTAACTGGGGTTCTCAATTGATTTTAAATCATCGGATTAATATTATTTTTTATTTTGCTCTTTTTCAACTTTTTGTGAATTCATAGTATTAACAGTGGCAGAATTTCTCAGAAAGTTAACATTATTTTCACAAGGAGAAGTTTTATGAACTATTCAATTATATTATCCATAGTTCAGATATGGTAGAGTCCTGGAAAATCTGTCAAAAATGTGATATATGCAAAAAAATTATAAGAACTGACTAATGGTTGGGGTGGTCATATGAGTGATAGATAAAGGAAAGGTTAACATTATTTCTTTGGAAGGAAATGTTTTAATCATCTTATATATATATATATATATCATATATTCATGCTGTTGTATTTAGGAGATGAACTAACTCTGATAAAAGCCTTGGCACTATTTTCCCAGTGAAACTCACTAAAGGCTTCCCATGTGTTCTCTTTACCTAACAGAATGAAATTGAAATACTGAAGGCTGAAAATGATCGGCTAAAGGCAGAGACTGGTAATACAGCTAAGCATACCCGGCCACCATCAGAATCCTCAAGCAGTACCTCCTCCTCATCTTCACGACAGTCATTGGGACTGTCTCTGAACAATTTGAACATCACCGAGTCTGTTACCTCAGGTAACTTAGTCTGCACGCCTGCCTAAATCACACCGTGCTTAGGGCTGAACAGGGATGTGGGACAGCCTTGAGTGTGGAGTGTAGTACCCTTTAAAAATAGATGTGGCTGGTAGCGGACATTTAGCACAGTACCTTGATGCCCAATTGATCCCTTGAAGTGCCTGAGTTTGATTTTCAACTCTGACACCTGGCTTCAGTTTGTAGCCTACACCAATCTCAGGCAGCAGCAGTAATGGCTCGAGTCATAGAATTTCACCCTCAGTTCCCCCTGGGACAATTCGTGAATTGCATTCTGCATTTCAGTCACTGTCTAGACCTGGCTTTTAGGGAGTGAGCTAGCAAAGAATTCTGCTAGCTAGAATTCTGCAACTTTCTTTCTATTGCTTACTCTCTGTCTTCCTACCTCCCAAACAAATGAATAAAATTTTTTTAAAAAGTAGAAAAACTATAACTAAGCTGTGATGGGATTATTAAAAATAAATTCCTATACGCTATTATTTAATATGGAGATATTTATAGAACTTACATATAATATGATGTTTTTTGAGAAATAAGTCTGTCTTTATCTTTTAAATTATTCTACTTGTAATTTTAAATTAAAATTTGCTGGAGTCCAGCTCCAGCTGAGTTCAGAACTTGAGAAGGGTGTGGATGAGGCGCAAAGAGAAACAGAATGGACCACTATGATTCCAGGATCATAATGGAAAATGCGAGAAAGCTGTCCCCTTTATTTATACAGAAGCGGTCAAACTCTGGCTCAGACTTTTTAAGTCATAGTCAAATGGGTGTTTCCAAGGATAATTCTGCTGTTTGTTTCAACTTAAAGCAGGTTGTTACCCATCCTGACCCTGTAGTCAGGAAGTTCTCAATAGATGGTGCATATCAATCAGTAACACATTCCTACTACAATCCTCATTCTACAACTTCCTCTTGAATCAGTTAAGGAAGGAAATGCATCACAGAAGGAGGGAATTAAAGGTCAAAAAAAGAGGGAAGAATAGATTCCCACTACACCTGGGGACTTAACACTCCTGATTAGCATAGGGTCAATGGGGACAGCCGCAATAATAAAAGGCCCTTTTGCTAAAATGATATCAGCAATATCAACTTCCAAGCTCCCATTGATATTTAACAATAACTCCGCAGAGGCAGACAATGCCTAAATAGATTACAGAAATCTCAATGGGGTTGTCCGGTGTCCACGCAAAGGGAGGTGGAGCTGCATTCAGGTGGTTGTAGAGACAGACATCCACCGGGCCCTGCCATACAGGGGGAAATTCCTGGCAGCCCTGCCTGCAATTGAACGATACTCTTCATACCTTCATGTCTTCCACACCCATCACACGGAGTCCAGCAAAAATTATTTGAATGAATAAATCTTGGGGGTGGTGCAATGGCTCAGTTTACTAATCATGAGGACATTGGTTCATTTCCTGCTTGTAGCTTGGGAAAGCAGCCAGATAATCCAAAGCCTTGGGACTCCACACTCACATGGAAGACCCTGAGGGGGCTTCTGGCTCCTGGTTCTAGATCAGCTCAGCTCTGGCTGTTGTAATTTGGGGAACAAACCAATGGATGGAAGATCTTTTGCTCTGTCTCTCCTTCTCTCTGTAAATCTGTCTTTCCAATAAAATGAATATATCTTTTTTTAGAATTGAATTTGAAATATACTGTTTCAACATTTTAAAAGATTTACTTATTTTTGTTGGAAAGCCAGATATATAGAGAGAGGAGAGACAGGAAGATCTTCCGTCCAATGACTCACTCCCCAAGTGACCAAGATGGCTAGTGCTCCACCAATCCGAGGCCAGGAACCAGGAACCTTCTCCAGGTCTCCCACACGGGTGCAGGGTCCCAAGGTTTTAGGCCATCTTTGACTGCCTTCCCAGGCCACAAGCAGGGAGCTGCATGGGAAGCGGGGCTGCTGGGGTTAGAACCAGCACATTAGAATCCTGGCACACTCAAGGAGAGGACTTTAACCACTAGGCCACTGTGCCTGGCCCTGTTTTCATATTTTTTAAAAAAACATTTATCACTTGTGCCTAGGTAGTATGAGAAATTTCTCCCTGATTATGGGATGAAGAAATAATGCATATTCTCAATGATAATTATTAGAGTTTCTGAATATAATACTGACACTCTTCAGGCGATTTTATAATATTTTAAGTATGACCAGAACGTTGAAAAGTGTGTTACAATCCATTTCTCAATTTCACTGAATAATCCTGCATGAAGCTGCCTCCAGAGAACATCACGCTACTGCATCACCCAGTCTGCAGCTCTATTAAATTTTCAAGAGACAGAAAGAACAACACGCTACCTTCTGTTATTGTCTTCAACGATACTAGTGATGGAACAAGAGTCCAGATTTGATTCAATTGCAAGTCAAATCGTATGACATCATGTCATCTTAACATCCGATGAACTGTTCAATTATAAAATGTAACTGCTTCTATGGCCATAAATCATTTGATAGGTATAGGACCCAGTTTAGATGTTTTGGTGGTAAACAGTGGTAATTGCAAGGTACTACCACCAGATGACGCTTGGAAACCAAAATTATACATGTTCCTGGGTAGCTGTTGATTCCATTATAGAACTGAAGTTCTTCTCTGCTTGCCATATACATGTGAATGTATTATAATATATATATGATATATAATCCATATGATATATAATCCATAAGGTGATGAGGATGTGGGGGACGATGACACACCGTGGTGATGTTGTTTACATTTCTAATGAATCACACATACCACGTTAAAAAATACGAACTTTTACAAATTCTGATTAGAGCTGCTTTTATATAATGTCAATATAATGATGGCGCCAAAATTACATGACTTCATAGTATTTCTAAAAGGCAAATAAGAAATACCTGTAATTCAGGAAAACAATAGATATAAAAATTTGGTACTGCAACTTACTTCCCACATGATTAGCTTTGATAATTCAAAATTTCTAGGGAAATTTTACCTGTTCCTCAAGCTCTAAAATTGGTTTTGATTTTAGCCATAAATGTCTTGAAATGTATTTTTTAAACTGCTTTCTTTGCGAAATTATGCATTTTTCACTGTGAGAATTATGCAAGTATTCCATCTTTGGGAGCTATCTTACTAAACTTCTGTTTCTGTGGTGTGGCATTGGAAACCCTTGTCTTTATATTTACAGAGTAATTCATCCTCTTGCCACTAAACACATGTTTTCTTACTGAATGAAATAGTTTCCTTTATATGAAGGAGACTATGTTCATATTAACTGGCTCTGACAGGATCATTGTTGAAAGAAATCATTCATTGAAAGTTTACCTTAGTAAGGCTCCAGACTGAATATTAATCTGCAATATATTTTGAAAATCTTTACTCAGATTTAGAGCTTAATATTTTAAAAGTGAGCTGGATTTACCTTGCTTTTGTAATGCTTCGATAGTTACTAGTAATGCTGTTTTGGTTCTTACAGCTGTGAGTATAGACAATACCAAAGATAAATCATGAATATATTTCTATTGGGAACTATAAAACCATAATTGAAATTCAATAATACCTACTGATGATAAATACAAATATACAACACAGATATATATATGTACAAAATGTTTAAAATTAATCTTAGATGATAACCGATCTCAGTATTTCTGCAGGAATTAATCAATTTTACTGGTATTGAGTTTGGATAATTTTGATTGTGTAGAAAAATAACATTGCTTTACAGTTTTTCATAGTTACATTGATGACTGAATGTTTCTCAAGTATTACATAGAGCTTTGTGTTAGAAAAATAAGTCCCTTATATTCTCATCTGAAGTCAATGGTCAGTGCTTGGAGACAGACCTCTGTGAGTGGAAACAACTTGTTCCATTGAAACTTTGGTTCAAGCACAGTAAATAATCCCAAAAGAGGAGTTGTTGTTTTCCAAATTAGTGATGCCAGAGTAGGAAGAAATCCTATTAAGGATGTAAAGCTGTAAGCATCTCTTAGTTCCCTTCATCCTTCCCCCTATCCCCGCCAAACACACAATGGCATAAGTGGTTAATTCTCTGCCTGCTAGCACTGGCATCCCATATGGCTGCCAGTTTGTGCACCAGCAGCTTCACTTCTGATACAGCTTCCTGCTTATGACCCAGGAAAGCAGCAGAGGATAGCCCAGGTTCTTGGGATCCTGTTCCTGCCTGGGAGACCAGAAAACAGCTCCTGTCTCCTGGCTTTGGATCAGTTCATCTTCAACTATTGTAGTCATTTGGGGAGTGAGCCAGCAGATGGAGGATCTTTCTTTGTGTCTCTCCTTCTCTCTTTAAATTTGCCTTTCCAACAAAAATAAGTAAATCTTAAAAATAAATGAAAACTGTGGGGGGTAACAGTGACAAACTAGACATATATGAGCTAAGTTACTTAGTTGTATATTTCCTTTGAAACTTCATAGATATTTTGCTAGATGATGCTGGTGATACGACGGGACACAAAGATGGACGCAGTGTGAAAATTATAGTCTCCATAAGCAAGGGCTATGGTCGAGCAAAGGTACATCTTGTATTTCAATGTTTATGTAACTAAAGAATGAAAATTACTGTGTTTAAAATGTATTTTGTATTTGAATATCTGTTCTGGTGAATGTCCTATCAAAGATGTTTGCCTTAGCTTAAGCTTCACATGTTATGTAAGTGTGCAAGTTAGGAACCTTAAAGAAATATCAGGAAGGGTTGCCCAGTGGTTCAAATGTCACTTAAATATCAATGTCCCATAACTGAGTGTCTCGGTTCAATGTCTGGCTCTGGTTCCTGTGCCTGCTGCCAATACAGACTGGCAGTGTTAGCTCAGATAATTGGACCCCAGCCACACACTTGAGAGACCTGGATTAAGTTCTCAGCACCCAGCTTCAGCCCAGTCCTGTTGTAGCTACTGTAGCTATTTGGAAAATGAAAAAGAAAATACAACTGCTATCTCTAAGACCAATAAAACTAAAACGTGTATTTTTTTATAATATGTGAACCATCATACATGTAAAACTGTCTCACATGTGCCACCTGTTAAGTTCCTATAAAGAATATTGACAGGTGCCCTTAGCTCTGAAACTTCAAAATACTTGCTTTTGACTAAGTATATTATGTAACATATTCTTTCAGTGTCACCTATAGAATATAAGTAATTATTATGATGCAACTTTGACTAGAAATGTCAGCATATCATTTGCACAAAGAGAAGACTGTATGATAAGTGAATGTTCTGGACTTTGAAAAAACTTTCTGCTGCACTTAGTAGGAGAAATTCTATGAGTACTACTTATATCATTTTTAAGTAATCCGACGTAGATCAAGCAAAATGCTTCAACTTTCAGAATTAAATACTACCTTCAGATTAGATTTATTCAAGGTATTCAGATTCTTGCCCCTTGCTAAAAAGTGGTGGTGGTGAGGTTGGAGCAAGGAGAGGCCTAGAAAAGAAGAGGCCAATACCAAAAATACAAATTTTAAGTATCCCAATTTTTTTTCTGTCAAACACAAATCCTTTGGAATTTTAAAATAATCAAAGAAGTGGGTTTGAAAAGAGAAGTGGTTGCTGTTTGATTTTACAGTGAAGGAATGTTTGAAGCAGTCCCATAGCACTTTATTTCTGAGTGAGTTGCATTTGGGGCCTGCTTTACCCAGGCAGGTCTTTGAGAGACCTGCCTTAATGAAACCTAAATGAACTCTCATTTAGCAGAAGATGCTTATAAAACATTATAGATGTATCCACATTGATTAGGTTCTAGGCATACTAGAAAGCAAGTTTTTCTTTTCAGAATAATTCTGAACAATGCCTTTGAATATTTTTTTTTCCTAATAAAACTTTCAAGAACTTATTTGTCCTGGTCTGCGTGGGTTACTACAAAATAATGTGGAAGATCATGGTTTCAATAACAGAATTTGTTTTCTCCTAATTCTGAAGTCTGGCAAGTCCAAGATCACATGCTTGCCCATTTGATTTCTGGAGGAAACTCCTGCCTTGGGTTACAGATGGTCACCTTCACCATCTGTCTTAGCTAAGCGTTAGCTGGAGTCTGTGGCCAGGGAGGAGCAGAGGCCACTAATCTCATCACACATGGCCTGCCCTTAGGATTTTGTCTAACCCAGCTTACTTCCCAAAGGCCCATACCCAAGTCTCTCCAATCTTTAATATTAGAAAAAAAAAAAAAGGTGGGAATGGGAGTGGTGATGAAAGAAAAAAGAAATCAGAGACTTTTCAACTTTGGAATTCTCTCAGGGTTTTGTTTTTTTGTTTTTTCTGAGAAAGACTTCTATCACAGGTAGTAGTTCAGTAAAGGTCCCACCCTTTTAGCCTCCCAGAATTAAATATTATATGTGAAAAAAATTGAACTGAGGCCATCTAAGTGACTTAGCTCAGGTCACATGTGGCAGATATAGTACATTGTAGAATCCACGTGTTCTTACGATTGACTCGGTGATGATTCGGTTGCTCTTTCAGAAGACAGACTTCTTGATTAGAACCAAGTTTGTAACACATCAATTAAATATCTGAATGTATTAGATATAATATATCTAAATATATATTCTTCAAATTCACATTTTACCTTTAAGAAAGATAGATTTATTGTCATTTGTAGCAATGCATTTTTTTGGTAGAATGAGTCTTGTTAATTCATTGAATTTTGTAACACAAAATCTATGCGAGCATCATTCTGCTGTGGACTTAACTATTTCTTAAGGCTGCATTGATGTTTAGATTGAAATTAAATGAAAAATCTGAGTTTGGGGCATTTCATAGGTAAAATCAAAATAGATCAAGACAGAATCCCAGAATTCTCACACTACAGTTTCATCCTTCCCCTCATCATTTACTTCATACCTTACTGCTTTTCTTGAACAATACACTCATTGCACTGAAACCTAACATTGTTCTCCACATATCCTTTCCCTTCCCTTTCTGCTGAACATACTATGGATCTGTTCTCCTTGACATGCCACTTTATCGAATCTCTTGCTTTTTGTTTGTGGCTGTTGTTTTACTTTATCTTTTTGGTTGGTTCATATGCTGCAGTGTTTTGTTTTTGCATAACCCACTGTAGAACCCACAGGCTTAGTGAGTATTGTAGTCTCCATCACCAACTATGGTAGTACATTTTACTGTAAAACGTAGTCATAAAATGATATACATGTTAGTGTTTTGTCTCACTTTGTATTTTTCTTATTTAGGATCAGAAGTCTCAGGCATATTTGATAGGTTCCATTGGAGTCAGTGGAAAAACCAAATGGGATGTCTTAGATGGTGTAATAAGACGTCTCTTTAAGGTAAGTTGGGTAAGGTGTAGCCAACATTGATTTTCACATGCATTTCTTTTTAGAAACTTTCTGCAGTAATATAGGAATACCTGCTTTCCTGCCTGTTCTCAAATACAAAAAGCTTTTTCTGCTTATGCATCTCAGAATAATTTTTATTTCCTGAATCTAACATTCTTGACAACCAATTTGATATCCCCATGGGTCTTGTGTTTGTTGTAGATGAGTTGAGACTCTGTCTTTGACTACTGTTCTGCATACCATTTTAGGAATACGTGTTGCGCATTGACACATCCGCTAGTCTTGGCTTGAGTTCTGACTGCATCGCTAGCTACTGTATCGGAGACTTAATTAGATCCCAAAGTCTGGAAGTGCCTGAACTGTTGCCTTGTGGGTACCTTGTTGGAGATAACAACGTCATCACTGTGAACCTGAAAGGTAAAAATCAGAACAGAAAGGATAGCAAGTTTGCAAATTTTTGTGTGCCGTTTTTCCCCTCCTCCTCTCTTGTTTGTAATTTCCCTTCAAATTGTCTTATTCCTAAACTCTACCTAGCAGTTTGATAGACTTGGTGTGAAGTGACTGTTGATTTTGAAATGACTAAGACCCAAGGAAGGTAATTTTTGAGTTTTGGAATGTGAAATTCAGAATAAAATTGTCAAGCTTTACCCTCACATAATTAATGTGAATTGCAGAATTCCAAATTTCTAGATTTTTTTTTCCATTATCATCTCTTATAATAGGAAGGTTAAAAAAAGTTATTGCTTATTCCAAAGTAGTACATTTGTTGATATACATATTGGTTCAAATTATATGGACTCAGTATTTATTGAAATGGAGAATAAAAGTTAAGAATCTGGGATGAGAAATTATTTCTTTACTTTGGATAATGTGATTAATTACAGGCTAATCAAAATGCACTTGTCTCCATAATCCCTTGTTTGTGTGTGTTAATGATTCAGAATACGTCTCTATAAGTTATATTCTAGTAGAGTAAATTGTCAATATTGCAGTTTATAATAGGGTAGTTGAGATGATAATTCCTGACCATACTTTACAATTTGTGTTCTTCAAAAGCAAAAGTGGTGTGAACAACCAGGATAGGTAATGAGACATAGATGGGTAAAGAATAAGAAAAAGGACAAGCACACACAAGGGATATACACATATATGGCTGCATATGTATAGGAATCCATCACATGTTTATTATCATGCAACCCACCTTCAAGAGGAGAGTGGATTTTCTGATGAAATTTAAAATGCAGCCATCCCTCTGGAAACCTAAGAATGTGATACAGGCAGTGAGGGAAGTCTGGGACAAAAAACACAAAACAAAAAACAGCTGGTTTCGTTAGGAAGCCACTCTGTCATATTACTGCTAGATTTGCAGTCTTAAAATAGTCGTGCTTGTGGGGTAGAAATATTCAGGAAGTTATTTTGCAAAGACTACATTACTGTGGCTAATGGAGCTCTGTGGTTGGTTGATACCATATTTTTATTTCTTCCATATGTAGAGTAATAAGGCATGCTATTCCCTTTGTTTATTCCTTCAGGAGTAGAAGAAAACAGTTTGGACAGTTTTGTTTTTGATACTCTGATTCCGAAACCAATTACCCAAAGATATTTTAACTTGTTGATGGAGCATCACCGAATTATACTCTCAGGACCCAGTGGTACTGGGAAGACCTATTTAGCAAACAAACTTGCTGAATATGTAATAGCAAAATCTGGAAGGAAGAAAACAGAGGATGCAATAGCCACTTTCAATGTAGACCACAAGTCAAGTAAGGTAAGTAACAGAATCTGAAAGACAATAGCCATGGTTTGCCTCAAGCTATCTTAATCAAATTTTAACTTATGTGAGGCTTCCACTGTGTATACAGAAAAACAGCTGTGTCTTTGGCTGAAATTATGATGTGGTGGCTGAGCAAAATTCATTTCATAAATTTAAACACAGCTGGTATTTTCAGTGACAATTACAGGTATTCCACAAGGTAAAGGGGGTTGCAAAACAAAACAAAACAATTCTTGTATGATTTATATTAGGCATACATTCAGGAGGTTAGAGTAGAAAGATGTCTGTACACAGTGCTACGGCAACAACAACAAAAAAAAAGAAAGGAAGTATATCTCTACCTGGAGAAACCAGAGATTTATTAAAAAAAAAAAAAAACTTAGGTCTTAAAAAATAAGTAGGAATTAACTTGAATGTTTCCACAAAGGAGATTTGGCAATAATCAGAATCTTCCAGGCAGAAATCCTGAAAGCAGCAAATTGCTTATGTCATATTTTGTTGGCTTTCTTTTTAACACCTAGAGGAAATGAAACAAAGTTCTATTTTACTGCCAGCTCTGACTGATAGAACATAATATTCAGCCTGAACATTCTCAGATATTAGTAGATGTGTGAGGTAGGCATTTACAGCAGCGGTTTCATCACCGCAAAAAGACACCCACATATTGTGTTTGAGTACCTGGCTTGAGCACTAGCTATTCTACTTCTTTACTTCTTTTTTTATTTTTAAGATTTATTTTTATTGGACAGTCAGATATACAGAAAGGAGGAGAGGCAGAGAGGAAGATGTTCCATCTGTTGATTCACTCTTCAAGTGGCCTCAACAACCGGAGCTGTGCTGATCGAAAGCCAGGAGCCAAGAGCCTCTTCCAGATCTCCCACAAGGGTGCAGGCTTTGGGCCGTCCTCAACCACTTTCCCAGACCACAAGCAGGGAGCTGGATGGGAAGCAGGGCTGCCAGGATTAGAACCGGTGCCCTTTCTAATGGGCATGTTCAAGGCAAGGACTTTAGCAACTAGGCTATCATGCTATGCCCCTAGTGATTCTACTTCAGACTCCACTTCTTGGTAATGTACATTCTAGGTGATAGCTCCTATATATGTGTTTCTGCCTCTCACACGGGCAACCTCCATGGAGCTTTAAGCTGGTTTTGGCACTGCCCAGCCCTGGAATTTATAGGCATTTGAGAAGTGAATCAATGAATGGGAAATCAAATAATCTGTCTCCATTTCCCTCTCTTTTTCTCTTCTTCTCTTTCCTCTCCCCCAATTATTCCCGCTCCCTCTATTTCCATCTCCCCATTTATTTTTCCTCTCTCTCTGCCTTTCAATCAAAATAAATGAATGAACAAATCTAGCTAGTGTTTTCATATAGTCCAAGTGAAATAAAGAATCCTAAACTGAAAATCCAAATGATCCTGGATAATATCAACTTTGAGAATATAACCCAGTTATAGATAATGTAAAGTGACACAGTGTCTCAAACACCTCAGGTCTGCAAATTTTTGGAAATAGGTGTGACTAATAGAAGCAACTCAGATTTCTTGACTTCTCTAAATAAGATGGATATATAGTTGAACAAAAAGTAGTTAATAGGCTACATTTCTAAAGTCTTAACACTGACCACGTACAGGATTTTGAAAGAAATATTGAATTTTCTTGTGTCTTGGTTTTCTCATCAAGAAAAAGAGGTAACTTTTAGATTATGACTTCGACTCCATGAAGGAGATAAAAGTGGTGATGGGATGAAAAGGACTGTCTAAGTAGTCAGCACAGAATGATGACTGCTTGTAATTATTAATCATGGCCATTGTCTCTCTGAATATTTCTTAGACACACACACACGCACACACATCCATCCATGTTCAAAAAGATTTATATGTACTCTTCAAAGGAAACAATTATATATGTAAAGCATAAAGGACCTCTTAAAATGTAAATAAAATTTGCATATGAATTCTAAATATTTTCTTGGAATTCAGCACTGTAATTAATTGTTGTAAATTGTGAATGAGTCACTCCTTATCATCCCAAATAAAGAGAAATAATAATAAAGAATCTGTGGTAAAACCTGTGACTGCCTCAAGCAGAAATAGCAAGAGCTCCCTGATTAGTGTCGGCCCACAGAGAATGGCTCCCCTGCACTGTGGCTGTTCTTGTCTTTTGCAAAAGCCTTTTCATGTACGTTCTTCCTTTTCAGCAAAGAAAATGATGAAAGGATGAGTTGTCTTTGTTATCTTTTGTGTTTGGCGTTCCCTTATATCAATGTTGATATAAGAGAACTCTTACATGTAGCTTCTTCTTGAGAAAGTGGGAAGAAAGCAGAAGTAAATGGGTTTATTAGAAGGGCCAAAAGAATTGTTATACAGTTGGAGACGATTTGAGTTGAGTTTCAAACTAGACATATTATCTTTGAGCTTCTTTGCAGATAACAAAGTATATTTTTTCATAAATTATAAAATATTTCCCCTAAAATCTTTTTTACATGTGTTCCTTTTAATTTAGTTTAAGAAAGTACCCTGGCTGCTTCAAGATGTTCATGAAAATGTTACCTGAAAGTATGTTTCAATGTGTTTAACAAATATTTCCAATTTTCCTTGTCCCGCTTTTTCATAAAAACATTGTCAGTTCAGTTTTTGTTATTGTAAAATATTGAAAAAAAAATCTAATACCATAGCCAAGACTAATAGAACTAAAGCTACAAGAAGACAGTACTAGGAATCATTTTCTATGGATAAATCCCATGAGAATCGTCACCAGAAAAGTACAAAATACAACCTGAAAACATGATTGATTCTTCATGGTTATGTGAGTGAGTCGTCAGTCATGCTGGTGTATCATTATTGGAGAGTGTGGCAGCCTTGGCTAGTTCTTTCCATGTTCACAGAGAATTCCTATGGTGCTCATGAGAAATGGAGGTGCAGGTCAATGAAGATGATCTGAAAGAAATAGGGGTGACAGGCAGACACTGTGTTACGGATTGCTGCTGATAAGACAGAATTGCTGAAGTAAAATGCTAACAAGACATGAAATCATAAGTCATATCCCAGTATGATAAAAAAAAAAACCAGAGCTGTTTGCTTGCTGCTGTATTTTATGCTGTGCCTTAGATACCCCTGAGAAGATAAAGGCAAACAGCACTTAAAGATTCAAAAGGAAAATCAAACAATAAACTACCAAATGAAAGAAAAATCTCTTCCTGTTTTCAGTACCTTTACATTTGACATTCTGTTCCTCTTCCTACACTGCAAGCCCTCCCTCAAGTTGCCAGCTGGAATATTTTGATTGAGAGCAGTGCACACGAAAAATTACACTGTGTGACATTTGATATAGCAGGCCCAGAAGGCTGGAGATGGGTTTAGTAAATATGTGGCCAACTGAAGCCACTTATATTGTTATGCGGCAAGAGATCAGAAAACAGAACTTGACAGACTCATTTTTAGGGTGTCTGAAATCAAAATCAGAAAAGCACCTATCAAGGCTTCTTATAACTGTGGTGATTTGTCTGTGTTTTCCAAGTGTAGACATGGGATTTTCTCATTGTCAACATCTGTATGGTAGATAAGTTTGCTTTCCTCTACCTAACTAAATATTATGAAACTCTTAATGGATTAATAGCACATCAATCTAATATTTCCCTCTATCAAGCTGCAATTAAGATGCTGAACTGATTTCAAGGGGGATATGAGAAATTTATATAGAAAATTGCTTGCGTATCACTGTTTCAACAAGTGAGTTATCTACAGCATTTTTAAAAGATTCTGAAAGAATCTAACTCCTCCTTTCAGAATGTAAAACCTGATTAGAATCTAATGATCCTATTTGTTCAATAATAATCACCTAATTGCTTCTTTGTTATCATGTTCAATGCCTTTCTTTTATACTATCGTCTCTCTCCCTTCCTCTCTTCCACTCTTCCTCTCTTTTGCCTCTTAATCTTTAGCAGGAGTAGCGTGTAATTGTTGTTCAACATTTGCTAGAAATCCTCCTGCCTTTTATGATTATCTTTCTTAATTCCTGGCAAGCTCCTCCTGTCTGTTCAGCTGACTCTTCTTCCTTCCTCTTCCAGTAACTGAATATATTCCACAAGCTTCTGTTCTCACTTCTGCTCTCCTTTGGATCACTCCCATGGCTTCATCTTGGTTTGGCTAGTGTGGCTGACTCCATTTGAACATAGTGATATCTACTCGCATACTTTGTTAGCTTTCACTTGGCTCATAAGTAAAATTCTATACATCTACTAACTATACATATTTTAAGTTGACGTTTTCTGCTCTGGGAAAAAAAATATTTCGAGTTTGTCCTCTTCCATTGCTCACTGCCACAGTCCCCCTCCTATCCACATGAGCACTCTATACTTCTCTTCCAAATACTTGATTCACAGGTTCTCTTACAGTCTGTTCTCACTTTTCCTGGCTTCATTCTCTGACCTCATGGAACAGAGAATAGTTTTTCAAAGTTAAAATCTTGTAACATGGAAAGTGTTTTCATGAATTTTTTTTTTTTGGCACACATGAAATATTTCAATTTGTTCCTTTGTTTATTCACGTAGAATGTGTTAATCTCAACAATTTCAATATTTTCTGGACTTCAATCTCCTTTTTCTTCCCAATATATTTACCAATCTGACAATTTGTGTGTTGAATTGTTCATTTACATTGCCAAAACATGTAATATTGCTTTATTGCCAACAGGAAAACTAACCCAGTAATCCTGGAGTCACATAAGTTTGTACATTCCCATCTATTTACCCCTCTTGCTTTCACGAAGCATGTACTATTATTTCTTTCCCAAATGGGTATCATTTTGCTCATGTTTCTGCTTGCGTGTATTCTTTTTCCTGTATTTAGAAACATCTTGTCCCATTTTTAAACATCAAAATATTAGCTAATCTTAAAAAGAAGTTTCAAAGCAAATGATATTGGCACCAGAAAGCATTTTTTTTCCAAAAGCTACAAGCGAGCTTTACATTCTGTAAGTTAAAATACATTTTTTCAGACTCTGCATTATATATCTTCACCTTCTCTTCTATCCAAGTTTCTTGCATCCTCTTTCCTTTTACTGGTTAACCCATATATTTTTCAAATCTCTGATATCTTTGATGAATGAATTGGTCTTGCTACTAAAAACAATTAAGAATGTCAGCATTTCATAGTTATGTACATAGTGAAATCCAACTTCCTCTCCATGAATTCAGTCTTTATTGTTTTTTCTTTGTACACATCATTACCACATATCATATTCTCTTGCTAAATAAAGTTGTTGCTTCCTATAACAACTCATACACTCACACTGATCACCTTTCCCTTTAATATTTTCACTGCAACAGTTTTATTCCACTCTCACCTGTTCTCTGAACTTTAAGGCCAGGTTCGAGCGCCTCTTGTTAAGTCTCCATATAGCATTTTGTGCATTTCAGTTAGCACCTTATGTTTTAATTCACTTGTCAACTTCTAGTCAAGTCAACCCTAAATTCTTAGAATATAGATTTTTTTTCCCCCAATCTCTGAATTCATGGTTCTGGAAGAACTGGCATAAAGCAGATGCTTGGTACAAGTGTTAGAAAAATGAATAGCTGCACACTTGTCCATTAGAATTCTGCAAGATGAATCTCAAGTGCTACCTCCCAATGAAGTTCATCAGGATCGCCAAGGTGGAATTAATTCCTCTTTCCTCTAGATGACAGCTCCATTTCAGCCTCTCGCATTGAATGTGTCACACTATATTTTTCCAGTTCATTATTTATGTATATACCTCCTGCCATCCCCAAGCTCCAGTGTTTAGTTCATTAAAAAAACTTGATAATTTTTATTTGACGTTATTTTTACAATATCTTTTTTTGTGTGTTTACCAAGTGGGTCAAAACTCTTTTCTTAACCTCTCATATCTGGTAATACACTTATGATATTATATTGAAATAATTTATCATGCTTGAATTTTAGTCCCTAATGTGAGAGTTCTTATACCTTATAAGGAAGGACAGAAGAATTAGGCTTTTTAACCACTATACCACCCCTAGCTCAGAAAAGTACTTGGTGTGGTTCATAATAAATGTTAAACTTTCTTGAACTCCTTAATAGCCAGAGTAAGTTTTGTTGGTTTTATATCCCAGAACATTGTTTAAGTAGCAAAACATAATATGTGTATATGTACATATGAATGAATAACATATCATAACTAGATTAGTGATACAAGTTTCATTTTGTCCTTTAAGATAAATTAAATTCTTGATTCTACCCTCTGATTTTAAACACGATCTCTGGTTTAGGAAATATTTGTTCTGTTTGACTAGTTCAGTATAAAGCAAATATCTTAATTCTTTTGTAAACTTTTATGTTGACTTAAATAAATTTTACTGAATGCCTCAAAACTCTTACTCTGCTTTATCATTTTGTTACTTTAGTCCTATAAATATTATTATAGATAGTGAGTGGTTTTCTCTAGGTGAACAGTTTGCAATATTTACCTATCTGCCAGAAACCAGGATTATGGAATTGTTTTTTAATCCTGAGCAAGATTTCCAAATTGAACATGTCATTGTGAGCATGCAAACATTATGGAAATGCTGTTACTGATTAGGGCAAGTCTAAGAAACCTAATTATGTCCCTGGCCTTCCCATCTGTGAGAATACTCAATCAGCAAATAAGCTATTAGTAATAATACCTGTAAATGAACCAAGAGGCTCAAGGAATACTAAGTTCTAAATAAAATTTACGTATTTATTTTTAAAGATTTATTTATTTTTGTTGGAAAGGTAGTAATACAGAGAGAAAGAATGTCCATCCACTGATTCACTCTCTAAGGGGCTCGGCCAACCAGAGCTAAGCCAATCCAAAGCCAGGAGCCAGGAGCTACTTCAGGTCTCCCATGTGGGTGCAAGCCTCCAAGGCTTTGGGCCATTCTCAACTGCTTTCCCAGGCCATGAGCAGGGAGCTGGATGGGATGTGGAACTGCTGGAAAATAAACCATGCCCATATGGAATACTGGCACATGCAAGGCGAGGGTTTAGCCACAAGACTATTGCGCCAGACCCTTCTAATAATGACCCAACTCTTTGAGTCTGTTACCCTTGAATAATGACTCCTTGAATCTCTGTTACCCTCTTAGAAGTCCAGGGTGGGATTCCTGATTCCTGGCTTCAGCTTTGGGGAGTGAACCAACAAATGGAAGATTTTTTTTCTCTCTCTTTCTTCTGTCTCTCACATGCTCACTCTGATTGTCTTGTTCTTATTCTTGCCTTCATTCTGCCTTTCAAGCAAGTGAAAACAAATGAAACAGACATTTTATATATCACAGTAGTTCAATGCAGATTATAAGTATATAATTAACTACATTTTGATCAGAATTCTGTAAGTTGAACTTTTACAGGTCCTCACCCCCTAAATAAATTAGAGTGAAACCATAAAAATATGGGTGGCAGCTGAAGGTACCATTTGGTATTTGATCTATATTTTTATGCTTTTCTAAAACCTACTTTTATTAATGGAAATATAGAAAGTTTGAACTCTTAATGCTTATGACCTACTGTAAGTGCATATCCAAAACTCCTTTCAGCTTTTCTTTGGAAAAAAAACTACTGAGAATATGCCTTCATTATTTACAGATTAGGTTTTGCTATAAGTTTTATAACATGGCTCTTATATGCTTGTATTTTCAATTATCTATTTCCTAAGAAAATGATTCTACAATCATTATATGTTTTCTGTTGTGTAGAGTACGATTTTATGTCAATATAATGGTTTACATTTTTAAATTAATTTTACCATTTTTTTGCCTTTTAAAATAAGTCAAATAATAAAGCCTGAAGAAGAATTCAATATGTTGTTACATAGGTCGGGTTAGGCATTTTTATAAATGTCTTCACTGCAATATACTCTGTACATAATCTTATGATCTTTGTCATGAATTGCATGCTATGTCATATTATATGATACATCCCTGCTTTCAAAAAATAATGTGTATGTATACATGTAATACTTATTTTTCAAGCAAATATGGAAAAATGATTTATATCATTTAGTAAAGGAAATGAGGTAAAATAAGGTCATACTATTCCCAAAATATTGTTTGCCGTTGTTATGTATTTATCATTGATATGTTTATACTTTTTATGGTTTTAAAGGAGCTGCAACAATATCTAGCTAACCTGGCTGAACAATGCAGTGCTGATAATAATGGCGTCGAGCTCCCAGTTGTAATAATTCTTGACAATCTTCATCATGTGGGCTCTTTGAGTGATATCTTCAATGGTTTCCTCAACTGTAAATACAGCAAATGGTATGAAAAACTAGTGATCAAATTTGGACTCTTGTGACTTTTTACACTTTAACACTGGTAACCAATTTGAAAAATCCTCATTAATATTAGACAATGTTCGCAAAGAACTCATATATTTCATATAATATTCTTTCATTCATTTTACCATTATGACTCAAATACTTTTATGGAAATATTACTTGTTTTATGACATTTACTTCTGCAGGCATGCCAAAAGTCTTGAAGATCAATAGCAATGATTTAATAGTTTGAATCAGGGAAATTAGGAACTAGAAGAAGCTTATAGATGTCTTGTTTTACTGTTAACTTACAGGAAATTCTCCTTTTCTTTAAAGATAGGTGAATTAAATTATAGTCCCCTAAAATGAACCTTATCTTAACTGTTCATAGTGAAAGGAAAGCTTAAAGTGGCATATTAAAAATGTGAAAAATTGTAAAGGCTAATTTTGTAATGATCTCTAAAGAAACTACACTTGACAGTGTCAACATAAATGATATTCATCTCATTGTCTCTATTCTAGTGAATTTCTACTAATGCTAAAAAATTCACAAATAGGATTTCAGCATCAAATAAAGGCTAAAAAAGATACAGATTATCTCATGTTTTTAAGAACCTTTAAAATAACTGAAATATTAAGTAGGAAAGAATATTTAATTAGATTAAAAGCATGAGAGTTAGGATTTAAAGTGGGAGAAGACCACATCATAAATGTTCTTAACTTCTTTATTTTGCAGATGAGTAAATGTAGGCTCCGAGAGACAAAAATGCCGGGCCTGAATCCCAGAGCTAAATTTAGAGCCGCAAATACTAATTTCTGATTGAATAATCTTGGTCATTATTCAGATTAACATTATAGAAGTACTTCTTAGAGCTTACTATTGAAATAATATCAGTTATATTTATCTTAAATATTTCCTAAAATATTTTTAGTGGCTTAATAATTTCTACCTGTAGTACGTATAATTTTTTTCTTTAATTTTTCAGTCCATATATTATTGGGACAATGAATCAGGGAGTTTCTTCATCACCAAATCTAGAGCTGCATCATAATTTCAGGTAAAAAGAAAAGTTAAAAGTCTGTTTTTGCGTGTGTTGTTTCTTTGTGTTTGCTTTAGCGGTTATTTTTTCATTTGTACCTTGACAACATTTTGCCAGTGGTGACCTGTGCTGTGAAAATAATTCTCACTTCTTCTGACACTCTTTCTTAAGCAGACATTTTGTGATTCTCAACCTGTAATCAGAAGGATTTCTTAAAAAAAATAAAAGATGTGTTTTTGCTTCTCACTATGTCCCCAGCTAAAGTAGAGCGCTTTTCGTCTTAAGTGTCAGTGTGAAGAGAGTTCCTATTTCGGGAGTTGTGATTCTCCTACAGAAAAGTGCTCAGCATGCAGACTCCCACTTACTTCTGACGCATGGAAGCTTCTCTTCAGCTTAAAAAGTGGAGCTAGCCATATCTTAGCTCTGATGCTCAGACCCTGGACACCTATTTGACCATTGAACCATAGTCATCGATTGAGATTGGGGCTTCATTACTCTGTATGGGAAAGGAGATCACTATGAACTTAAAATTTGACGTAAAAATTTCTGGTTTGGTTTATCTTTTTCTTTTTTTTTTTTTAGGTGGGTATTATGTGCAAACCACACAGAGCCAGTGAAAGGCTTTTTAGGAAGGTATCTTCGAAGGAAACTGATAGAGCTAGAAATTGAAAGAAACATACGCAATAATGACCTAGTCAAAATCATAGACTGGATTCCTAAGACATGGCATCATCTCAACAGTTTTTTGGAAACACACAGCTCTTCTGATGTTACTATTGGTGAGTTCCCAAATTTCCATGTGCCATTTTCCAGGAAATAAGAGTACTTGGAAAATATGACCAGATTGGATGGGAGAAGATAACAAACAAACCTAATATTTTTCAAGTTTCCAAAAATTTAAGTTGACTTATTTTATTCTTCCCTTCAGAAAACTTTCCTTCTTCCAAGCTTATTTCTCCAGTTATATTTATTTTGTGTTATAGTTATGGGTTACTAATATATTATTGAACATGTAAGTTCAATATAGATAACTATCAAATAATAAGATAACCATGTAAAATAATTATTATCTAAGGTAATTTTTATGCTAAAAAATTTCTGTAATTCCTATCCAAATATAGATGTGAGAAAACATTTTAGTTAATATTATTTTTGTGTAATAGACGATTTATGTGTTTTGTATTTTTGTGAAGATATAAGTATTTGGGTTATTTTTTACTAATTGTCATAAAAAAGTTTGTCATTGGCTTCCTCTTTAAGATGCCTGCATAGAAGTCCCTTTTCAATTGTGGTAGACTGTAAGAATGAATTCTACCTGGAGATCAAAATATCTACTCGGTCTGAAACCGGCTAGTAATAATGTATTTCATACTCACTGGTTCATTTCAGCACAGTGTTATCATTGGTGAAATTAGTTGACTGGTTTATGAGATTTATGATAACTCCTAATTTTATATACAGTTATTAAAATTCATATTTTATTGTAAAAAGAAAAAAGAATTGTAAAAAGGGAGAGGCTGGATTTTCAGTAAAGATAGTTATAATAATCCAGCTGACTAACATGATAGTTTCTTAATAAATATGCAGGAAATAAATGAACTATCCTAATGTGATAATTAAGTGTATATCTGGACTGTTAACTAGAATGCTTCTCAAACGTGGCCTGTTATTTGTTTCTCCTCAGGTCCTCGCCTTTTCCTGCCTTGCCCTATGGATGTGGAAGGCTCTCGCGTGTGGTTCATGGACCTCTGGAACTACTCTTTGGTACCTTATATTTTGGAAGCAGTAAGAGAAGGTCTTCAGGTACAGCACTCAGTTTTCATTACTGTTTACAAGACAGTCATTCTTTTAAAAGCAAAAAGTGTTCATTTCTCTAGGTATTTCTGGCAAAAGAAGGTAAGTATATGAACTCTGTAGATAGAACAATAAAAATTTAAATAATAGCTCTATATAATGCCTTTGCCTGTTCTAAGAACAAACATTTAACAAAAGAAAAAGGCAGACCCCCCTAGCAGTACATTTAACAACACATGTGTTGTTATGGTTATTTACTGACTATTGTTATTAAATAGCTTGTTCATCACAGTTATACATTTTAAGACTTGGTCACATTTACATGTGTCTTGGTGATTTATACCATTAGCACATAATTTTTCAACAAATAGTTTTTACTCATAGAGTCTCTGATTTTAGTATGCTTCATTATGCTTTAAATATAATTTAGAAAACTCTTTACTATTTCTGAAGCAGTATTCTACTTTTTGGGTGTTAGTTATTGCTGACATTTTGTTGTACCAGCATTTCTGTTGCTTCTCTCATTGACCTTCCATCATGAGGCCCTGCAGCCAGTCCTTCTGTTAATTGTTGACCAAAAAAGAAAAACCCTGTTTCTTTCACAAAACAGTATTCCATTTCCATTGGTCTTGAATTGCCTTAAATTGGACCTGAAGGTTTATGAGGCTGCGGATTTATAAAACTGTAAGGTTTGTGCTACATAAGTAGCCAACTTATGGAGGAAGAATCTAATCTTGTTTTCAATAATTCAGTCAAAGTATAGGCAGATTGTATTTAGTCATCTCTATTTCTGATTTTTCACACTGCTACTAGAATTAAGAAAAGACATGTTTTTCACATTCTTTCATCTGGAATACTGTGTTAAGCCTGAATTGATTATCTATTTTTTTCCTTCACTCTCTTTTATTATCAATCTCTCTTTATCTAGTTGTTAGTGACCATCATAAATATTGTGAAGATGCTCTGAACCCGTAAAGTTCAGGTTTAAAGAATACTGTCAGTGAGTTCCACTGCAGACTAAAAAATATAAATTTATGAGAAAAATTATACCAATAATTTTTCACTTTTCTGTTATAATACAGAATTTCTAGTTTCTCGCAAAAACTGTTACACTCCCTAGGATAAAATTGAGTATCTCAGTTTTGGTTATTTGTATCCAAAATATACATTTTATAAGCATTCATGTATAATAGTACAGAAATTCTAATTTAACACTAATATTTAAGTATCTACATGCAAATTTCAGTTTTATAAATCATATTTCAGATGTTTCTAATTTTTTTCTTCCAAGTTAGAGACAGAGAGCTTTCATTCAGAAACTCTTCATGTGCCCACAGTGGCTGGGGTGGCAGGGCCAGACTGCTCCTGAGAGCAGGGAACCCAGTTCGGGTCTCCCAGGTGGATAGACAGGAGACGTCAACTACCTGAGCCATTACTGCTGCCTGCCAGAGCAGAGCTAAGATTAAAACCAGGTAGTGCATGTGGGTGTCCTAAACTTGGGTCTCAAACACGAAGCCAAATACCTATGCCAAGTCTTTATATATGAAATTCTCCTTATTTTATATTCCTCACTGACAGATAAACAGGAAAGAAGAAAGCTTTTTTTAAAAGCTTCAAAACAGTAATGCCTGAAATATCTTAGCTTCCTTGTATTTCATTTTTAAAAGATGTATACATTAATATTTATATTTGTAGCACTATGACTTATAAAATTCTATTGAGAAATATGATTCTGTAAGACTTAGATTTAGGAAAGATTTTAATGACTGAAATAATAACCAATCTCAAACTAAAAGTGAAGGATACTTCAAAATTATTTTTAGAGAGAGATGGAAACACCTCAATTTTCCTGTTATAGATGTTTAGTTACAGGTTATTATGAGAGATGAATCAACCACAATAAGCAGGTGGGTGGATCAGTTAGGATGGGGATAAAAGGAAAAGTTTTGTACTGAGTGTCCTTGTATACTGTCAAAAGCAGTGTTAAGCCCTAACATTTCCATCAGTAGAATGTGTTCCCAGCCTGATCTTCACTTGCATTCTGGAAGAACAAGCAGTAAATGATTTAGTGATGACATGGACAACTCCTTGGAGCTATGGAAACGAAGGACCTTGAATAGGAAGAAGAGATTGGGAAGCAGAGTTGGGTAGAACTGAGGAGACATACTTACTTGAAAAAAAAATTAGGAAGTATTTTTAAAGAAGGCTGGAAATGCTAGCAGTGCCTCTGATCCTGGAAAGTTAGATTTCTTTTCTTTTATTTTTTTTTCTGTTTTTTAAAAATAGGAAATTGGGCCCATTTAGTTTTTCATTGGTCACTTCCAATTTTGCTGTCCCAGATTGTTCCTTAAGAGACTGATATCAGTTGATTCTGAATTATCATAGTAGTTTAGACTCCAAGATTCTTTTATTTGCATATAATCTAGCATTCCAGTAATTACCTGTTTTCCTTCAATTAATTTAAATTGTGAAAGAAACTGTATTTGTGTCTTCTGTTAAGTAGGCTGTCAAGTAAATATGAACTTCTTCTATAAGACAATTAAAAAAAAATCTTGCTCTCTCTGCCATGACAGCCTGTTTAAATAGATAACATCAGAATGTAAAATCCAAATGTGTAGACAGTCCTGAAAATCTACACATTACTTCTCTAGAGGAAATGTAAAAAAAAAAAAAAGAAAAATCAGTTAAAAAACAAAAAGAAGTCAAAATGACAGTGTCAAATCTTGCTTGCATTTTAAAGAATGAACCACAACCAACCCACACCTATCCATCAACAAAACCACCTTGCTTTGCGCAAGATCAAATGTGCCCCTGGCAACCAGGATGTTCTTTGGTAGAGCTCTCATGGGGAGATACACTAGAGAAAACTCTTTTCTACGGCCTTCTCTTAATTTTCACTTTTCTTTCTGTGCCCTTAGTGGTCTTATACATTTTTACAAAGTATCATCAGTCCTTCTGTTTGATATATCCCTTCCAGTTTTGATTGAATTTTATTTCTAGTTTAAAAACTATTAATAGGTCCGGCATGCTAGCCTAGTAGCTAAAGTCCTTGCCTTTCATGTGCCAGGATCCCATATGGTCACTGGTTCATATGCCACCTGCTCCACTTCTTTTCCATCTCCCTGCTTGTGGCCTGGGAAAGCAGTAGAGGATGGCCAAAGCTTTGGGACCCTGCACCCATGTGGGAGACCTGTGAGGAGGTTCGTGGTTCCTGGCTTTGGATTGGCTCAGCCACTTGGAGAGTGAACCAGCACATGGAAGATCTGTCTTGTATCTCCTTCTCTCTGTAGATCTGACTTTCCAATGAAATATATTAATCTTGAAAAACAAAAATTTTAACAAAGTTAGGATTCATTTCTGCCTTCCACCACCATTGCCATATCAGTCTTTAAATTTTTTCCTTAGAAAATTTTCTTTCATAACTCATTGTATTTAGTATTTATGCATACATTCATTGGATATTTGTGTTTCTTCTTTTGATAAATGCCTACTCAGCTTCTTTTCCCATTTCTTAGTTAATGTTTTTAAGTTTCTTAATTGAGTTTTTTGAGTTTTATATTTTTATATTCTGGATAAAAGAAGAGCAGCTTGTACATTTTTTTCTGTCAAATATCTCTTCACTCTGTTTTTCATGCTCTGCAGAAGCTGCTGCGTTTGATAGAATTCAAGTTGTCTCATTTTGATTTTGTTGCCTGTGCTTTTGGGTCCTATTCCAAAAACTCATTGCCTGCACCCTACAATATTGTCTTATGCTTTTGCTCCTCTTCTTTGTTCCAACAGTTTCAGAGTTTCTTTTCTTAAATTTATGGCTCTAACTCATCTTTTCCTATTTAATTATAAATTCACAAAGCTAAAAGATTTGAGATAGCAATGTGAGTTCACATATGACGTTCACCACATTGATCTGGTTTTTGTGAGGTGACGAGAGGTAAGGAGGCAGATTCATTTTCTGTATGTATATAACCAGTTTTGCCAGTACCATTGACTGAAAATATTAGCGTTTCTCCACTGTACCTTCTCAGTAACTGTCAAACCTTATGGCTGTTTATGTATGAATTGATTTATGGATTCCGTCTGCTGTTTTATTTATCTGTGTGTCAGTTTTTATGCCAATATAATGCTCCTTTAAATATTATCATTTTGTAGTATTCTTTGAGGTTGGGTATTGTGATTCCTCCACCTCTACTGGTGTTATCATTATTACCATCATAACTATTTTTAGCTCAAATTTTCATTGGTTGTTCTGGGTCTTTTGTGGCTCCAAATGATTTTCAGGGCTTTGCTTTCTTAGGCTATAGATACATCATTGACATTTTGGTGGCAATTTCCTTGAGTAGATAGATTGTTTTATGTAATATAGACATTTTAGCAATATTGATTCTTTGAATCCGTGAACATTGAGTATCATTCCTTTTAGGTGAATGTGTCTTATGATTCCTTTTATTTGTCTTTGGATAACTATATTCTTCAATATTTTGTGCAACCTGATTATTAGAAGAATTTTATCAGAAGAAAATGATAATCAGAGACATCATTCTGATTCAATCAGAATAGAGTTTAGTAGAGTTAATTAAAAGAACTGTCTTTACTGTCACTTATCTTTGTAAAGTGCTTTTCAGTAGAGAACTCTCTCTAGTGTTAAGCGTAGACATTCTTTTCAATTCTTCATAAGTAGAATTTTTATGTTTTGAGTTTTCCCTTTGTGAAACTGCTAATGAGGACTAGTGTGGGAAGTCATTTCTGCATGTATTTATATTAAATCTTACTCATACCCTTTCCCAAATGCTAATCATATACCCAAGTGTTCAGTCTTGTTTTGCCTACCCAGGCTTAAATTGAGCTACATAGAAAAATACGTGTTTAAAATCAGGAAAATTGCATACTGGTGCTTAATTCCCTTGAGATCCTAACATAAGAACTAAGTGTCCAATAGAAAGACTGAATTAATATCGCCTTGTTTACCAAGAGAATTGCATTTTGTATTTTGAACCTATGTGATTGACTTTTAGATGTATGGGAAACGTGCACCATGGGAAGATCCTTCAAAGTGGGTGCTGGACACATACCCATGGAACTCAGCATCCCTCCCTCAGGAGAGCCCAGCGTTACTTCAGTTGCGCCCTGAAGATGTCGGGTATGAGGGCTGCACGTCCACTAAAGAAGCCACAACCTCAAAGCACATTCCACACACTGACTCAGAAGGAGATCCCCTGGTAAGAACCTGATGTTTGATTTTTTTTCTTGGTAAGTCATACTAAACTATGGTCATGAACATGTAGCAATTTAAACCAAAGGCATTAATTATCCTGGATCTTGTTTGGAACTGTCCTGACACCCAGATTTTACTTTATTACCTTTTACCTAATTCCAATGATCAAAAATTTTTAAATGTAGACCAGATTTGTAGGTTTGTATGGTAAAAAGTAGTCAAGAAACAAACCAGTTTGAAATCTAGGATCCCACTTTCTCATTACCATGTAAATGATTAAGTAGATGAAAAAATTTCAAATATCCTGATTCAGTTCAATAGATGCTTAAGAGGAAATTGAATTTTGTTCTTAAGTAAAATATCAAAAAGAATAAAATCTATTTTATACTTGAGGAACAAATGAATATTTTACACATGTCAGCCAGCCAGATGAAACACAGAATTTGTCTTCCGTTCTACAGTACAGAGAAATAAACTGACCTGAAAATTAACTGGATTTTTTTCCTTACCTTGCTTAACTTTTAAGCATGTATAGTTTAGTTTTTAAAATACTAGAATAATTTTAATAAAATTCCAAAATCTAAAAATTATTAAAATATTAAGTACATTATATCATTCATGAAAGACTACTTTTATATTTTATTTTTTATATAGTACTTTTTTATGTACTGGTATCAAGTACAGCATATTAGTTGCCACACTAAAATTAAAAGGGTTACTGTGCTTATATAACCAATAATGAAATAAAAGATTGTCAATTCAAGGCCATTACGCTCCTATCATACAAAGTGGTGATTAAAACTGGTAACCTGTCCAAGGATATAAAATGAATTGATATTTTAACAATGAAACCCATTTATGTCATTATTATATTAGATATTCATTCTTACCATTTTGGGAATTACATGTGTGAAATCCCATAAAGTTTCAAGATTCTTTTCTCCAAGAAAAAAAATTTATACTATTTAGATATTTCCATATAGATATTGAAGTATGTATGAAGATCTGCTGAGAGTTGATGGATCCCCTCTGTAAGATATTTGATCCAATCTATCAATTCATCAGGAGCCCAGGGTTATAATTCTCTAATGTGGAAACTGGCTAGGTAAAATCAATGCTTGTGGTAGAACTGATTTGACTATAGCGTAATTATGATAATACACTACTAATTTCTGATAGGGTGATCGTAATTTAATTCATAAATGTAAATTTTAACCTCAATTATAACTGATTTAATCTAAGTTTCATAATTCCATTTCTACCTTTGCAGTTTTAGTATACAATAGTTGCTTCACATGAGGAAACGTGTTCATAAGATTGCTTTTAACGGTGGATCAATAACAAATAAAAACCCTTAAGAAATGCTCTAAATTTTCCTTTTCTTACATTCCAAGTCAGGTAACCTACTTAGCATTTTGTCTTTCCACCCACTGCCAGTTCTTCTGGTAAAGGAAGGAAATTCAGGATTTCCTATTCTGTTATGATAACTGGAATAAAGTGATTCCTGGTTCCTACTCTGCTGCTTTTTCTAAACATCTTAAGAAATAACAATTTATGTTATCTTACATGCTGAAAGACAAAAAAAAAAAATGAAAACAAATATGTAGCACATTCTGGTAGAGAAATAAATGTTCTGTCTGCTTTTTAAACTCACTGACATAAGGCAAAACTATATTTGAAATTCAGGATAAATAAGAAATTTTAGGGGAAATATGCTAATGTCAGAAATCCTTTATTTTGAATCTAAACAGGGATGCATGATTTTGACAAATCTCACATTGTATTTCTTAAAATGTGTGCCCATCATCAACAATTTTAATGCTTTTGTACTTAGTGCTAAGGCTGATGATCAGGACATAAAACAAGATGCTGTGTTTCATCTCAGTGAGCCCACAGTCCTGTATAAACTGCTATGCAGTAATGAGGCAGATACATGTCAGGTAATGTTGTCTGTTCAATGAAGAGATAATTAGAAGAATTCTGCTGAACGATGTGTGAGGTGGGTCATGAAGAATGAAGAGGATGTCAACATTTGAGTCTAAAGGACACATTCAAAATTCCGAGAATAGCATTTGAAATGATATAGAAAAGTAAAACACATCTAGTGAGCTCTGTACAAGTTGGTAGGAGGAATTAAAGTTATGGAAGTGTACAATTGCCAGATCATGCCAAGCCTTGTTTATCTTTGGAGGAAGTTACAACTTGACCACCCAAATTGTAGAGCACTTCCAAAGGTTGTTGACCAAGGGTTTACCTAACTAAATTTGCAATTGCTAAATCAGTAAAGATTACCTGGGTAGCAGTGTGGAGAAAGAATTGATGGCAGCAGGAGAAGACTTGAAAACTAGCAGAATTGCAAGTAGAGAGATGATGCAGACCCAATCAAAGTGCTGGAAATTTTAGACATTATGTTTGTGACTATGGGAAACACAGTGGTCATGTAGAGGATTATGATCTATCTCAATAATGTTGACTCATGTGTGGCCTCATCTTCCTCTCCATTTAAGTGCACAAAGCAATAACATGAGAAGGCAAAGAAAATCTTATATACTTACTGCAAATATGAATGTTAAAACTTAGGTAATTTATCTACTATGAAATATTATCAAAATTAAGGTTTGAATAATACAATTTTACATCATACAATTTTCATAACACTTAACATTCAGGTGACTTAAAATATCTGTGCTTAAGATGTAATCATGCTCTTTTTAAAGATCTCATTAACTTTGTCAATAAATAATGAGAGTGTTTGAGACTTCATTATGTTTTAAACGTCAGGTTCACGGAAGTGCCTGAATCTAGTAAAGGTTAAACTGGTAAAAGACAGAGAGACGTGGCACAGGAAAGCGCGTGTATGCACAGTATGTGTGGGATGTGTATGTGTGTATACAGGGAGAGAGAAAGAGAGAGAAAACAGTTGATGGCAGTGTCTAGATTTTTTGGTTTCATATTTTAAAGATTGTCATCAACTTCTTTCATTTTGTGGCCTTCTGTTGCTGACTGCCTACTTTCAGAGTGAGTCTGAAAATTGGTTTGGAAAGAATTGTCTTGTCAGAAGATGATTAACATCATTTCAAATTATGCTGTAACTGTTGCATTTTTGTCAGAAAGGCATTGTTGCTGAAATTGGTGATTACCAGGGTATCATTTATTTCATGAGTGTTTATTGAACACACAGTTTTCACTGAGCACCCAGCATGCGCAGCCCAGCAATAATAAAGAATCCTTCGATTCCTTTCTGTTTATGTAAGTTGGAAACAAAGAACAGCTTTATTACTTTTTAAAATCATGAAATTACTTTACACTAGGCAATACCCATATATATTATTACAGTTTATAGAAACCTTGATAAGAAAACAAGTCTTGTGTCCCCATGAAGATACACATGCATTTTTCCATGTCTTTTACAATCACTGAACCATTTATTTGCAGTTTGCTTTTAAGCTCCCATCTCTAACAGTGGAGCTGCAGATCTATCAAAATCCAAGCAACGTGACTGCCTTGTATTTCATAATACCTGGAAGAGCTGCCTGTCTGCCCAGGTGCTCTCATGCAAAGCTCATTTTCACTAGGACAACGCTCACCAATCCTCCGCCCTCCTGCCAGGTTGAGAAACTGAAGACAGCCACTCTGGTTCCAGGAGGTGGTTTGTGTTTTCAGTGATAGATCAATCATATTTCAGCCTAAGGTCTAACAACAACAGAAACTTGACAGCGATTCTCTCCTTCTCCCTTTTCGCATGCTCACGGTCTGCTTCATTCAGTCACCTCCTCTCGAGGTCAGTTCCTAAACGGCAGATGGTGTGCTATGCACGGCAGCTGGCTTCGTTCCACGCCCTCCCCGTCTTGCTGCCCTCCAGGGACTGTGTGCGCAAGCCTGTGTGCGCGCCTGTGTCTGTGTGAACCTTCACGACTTCCAGTTGCCATTCAGTGCTTACAGCTTCTCCAGCCAAAAATCTGAGACGCTTGGCGAACTCTGCAGCCACGGACCCAGATGTCCAGCTGTGATACAGTTTCCTTTCCAGTCTCCCTGCTGGAGCAGTATTCATTGACAACCCTCAAATAAAAAGAGTTATCAGCAGGCCCCTTTTCTGTCCTTATGGCTCAGCGTTATAGTCGTGTTTTGGAGAAATAGTCGAAGAGCCACGGGCGATGGGTGAAAATTGAAAATTGTTCTTCACAATGCTTTTGGCTGGCATGAGGGGGCTCCTGCGTGTGGCTCAGGGCTTTGTGATGGGACTGGCTTACTCGGTGCGCACTGCCTACATCGATGTCTCTTTTCCTTTCTTCAGATGAATATGCTAATGAAGCTCCAAGAAGCAGCCAATTACCCGGGCGCACAAAGCTGCGACAGCGATACCACCAGCCACCATGAAGACATTTTGGATTCATCTGTTGAATCTACCCTCTAGAGGGTGAAAAAAGTCAGGGGAAGAGACTCTGTTAAAAAAAAAAAAAAGGAAAAGAAAAGAAAAATGCTTAAAAGATAGGTATTTTCACTAAACCACTGCCAGTATGAAAGCACCTGGTCAAGGGCTCTGACTCAGAGGCCTGGTGGTCCCCAAGGAGGCAGCAAGAACTAAGTCTGAAATGCCAAGTTGCTAAATTTCAACAGAAGCTTAACTGTATTTTATTTCTAGGCATTTTTGTATCCATGGAGTTACCAAAGGCTCCATTACTCAACTGGAAAGGACCCTCGCAACAGGGCAACTGAATAGATGGCACATGAGATAGCCAAACTGGAGTTTATTTTCCTCCTCTGTAGAAGTTTACAATGCAGACTTTTTTTTTTTTGGTTCTTTCCTTTTGTTTCTTCTGAGGAGTTGTTCTCCCCAGGCAGGGTCCGTTCTTCTGATCCCTCCAACCTCCTTTGTGCCACATGGTGCTGGTCACAGGGCTCCAGTAGTGTTTGTGTTGTGCGCTCACCCCATTCCAAAATGAATCCGAGAGGTCAGTCCTCCAAAAGCACAAATGGAATTGTGCAACCACCAGAATAACACTACTGCAGCAATCTGGAGAAGTGCCAATTTAATTCTAACTGCCATGTTCTCATGATGCACTCCACCAACTTTTTAGTGTGTAAGTCACAGGTTTTATAAGGTTATTTTTACCACAGTGGTCTTTTTAAACCACCTGCCCACTCCCTTAACAAGAGTTTTATAACAATTATTAGTCAACAATGACAGAAGGCTTTTTTAAGGCTTTATTTGTTTGAGCCTTTTCAGTGAAAGAAGGAACATTTCCTATGGTGCTGTCTCACTGCCTTAAAACAGATTTCTACAACAGTTTAACAGTTGGTTTAAATCCTAAACCATTGGTAATTTCCACCATCTTTTCATTTGCAATCCAGCAACTTCAATCCAACACAGTAGCCTCATCTCTCTCGTATATCTTTCTTTTATTTATTTTTTTATTTTTTGAAGAAATGGATAGGAGAAAGAGCAGTATTTTTATCTTGTGAATAGATTGCTTTGCCTATCCACCCAATTATTCAAGTAACCCAGCAACCCACTTTGACTGTCACTTATGAGCTAAGAGACATGTGGCTAAATTCCACCCAGGTCTAAGTATAAGAGTTTCAGAAGGCGGGAGATGTTGAATTCTTACCCAGCAGAGCTGGAAGCACTAGATGCAGCATGAGCACAACCATTCGGCTTTCCTTCCCTATTCTGTTTTTTTTTTTTTAATTGTTATTGTCCAAATCGTTTTGGCGCATGTTGTTTTGATTGCTATTGTTGTACATGAGAAATTCAGCATTAAAGAACACTGAAGCGGGAAAGTCACTGTGGAAGCGGAAGCGTTTATACTGTAAAGGAAGGTTAGATTTGCACAGTCTACTGGGTAGGTATTGTAAATACTAATTTTTAAAACTTGCACAAATCAACACAAACAAAACAAAATTGTATTCTATCTTGTTGGTGTTAAAAGGTGTTTCACTTGCTGAGATTTCCTGTACGTTGCAAACAAATACAGAATGCAAACTCTCAAAGCTGTTGTTATCTGCTGTGTTTGTCCTGTATTTACAATTGTTATGACTATGCAGGAGCTATCAGTGCTAGAATGAGCATGCTTCAAAACTGCACACGAAGCCAATTCATTTTTGGAAGAAGCAAAGCTGTCTGTAAGTACATCTGTCATGGCAGGCTAGAAAGAGAGTGCATGAAAACTGATCAGTCATTGGAGAAGTTACCACCACATACAGAAGACAGGTTTTCAGTCTATAAAACCCAAGGGCTAGGCCATCGTGTAGACTTGTTCTACACACATGACAATGTGTTACTTTTAGGATGTGTAATTGGTGCTACTCTCTGTGACCACCATGGGTCAGTTGCTATTAAAAACCATAAGAATGACAACAACACAAGACATTGGTGCAGTTTTCAGAGTGTCATTAAATGTGTAGGTCCTTACTTGGTGCTATTGCCCTCAAGGAAATCTGAACTGAATTTATGCACGTGGAATTGTCACCCTGACTTTGAAGCCTCAAACATGGATCAATCTGTGGTGAAACATCAATATATGTAGCTGGATGAGTGACTAGTTGCCCTTGTATAATACATGATCTAAAGAAATTGCTAATCTTTTCCTGCCATTTTGAGAACACAGTCCAAACATGAACATAAACGATTTTCTGCAATACATCCCAGTAGGTCCACCTAGTTTACAACTTAAACTAGTTTGTGAAACATTTGTCTGTATACATTTTATATTTTGTACATTTTTGATGTAACATATCATGTAAATAGGCAGAAACAGTGAAATAAATCATCTGAAAAGTTTTGTAGTCTTTGTAAAGCCCCAACAATAAGTACTTGGTGTCAATGGACTTAACTGGATGATGTATTTTCTATTGGTTTATTGTTCCTCTAGCTTGTAAACCAGCTTGCATATATTTTTTTGCAAATGTGCACCCTCTGTATCTGTCTAAATTATTACTTTGCCATTAAAGTGGAATTATTTATTGACAATGAGGTGTGGTGTCTATATATGGGGAAAAACAAAATAGTTCTATACCAACAAGTGTCAAGCTTAAAAATGTTGCTTGCACTGTTAACCTGCCATCATTAAGGATGTGTGTAAAGCTGTATTTTATATACATCATTGAGAGGGCCTCACATCTTTTAAGTGAGTAAATAAATGAAAAGCAATAGTTATATCTTCTTGAATTAAAGTTATTTATCCACTGAATATTTTTAGACAACTTCAAATAGTTCTAAATGCCTAGTGAGGAAGTGTTTGCGTAAAAATAAATTGTTGATATTCATAGAGTTAAGTCATCTCATTAACTGTTTCTTTGTGTTTATTCCTTTGAAATATCTTCCCTCTTTAAGTTTTGGTTTAAGGTTATTATTTGGGTAATGGCATTTTTTTTTTTGGTAAGTAAAGAGAGATAAAAAAAAAAGCAAAATTAATTCCTTTAGAAGCATATTTTTAAAAAAATACCATGTGTTTCATTTTAACCCTGGTAGTTGTAATGTATGTTTGGTTGAGTTTTAATCCTAGAAATAAGAAAAATTTTCAAAAAGAACAAATATAGCAGAGGAGAAGGTATTAATTACAATGGGTCAGTTATCCAATGTACATTACAACTAATGGATTTGTTCCTTTTCCAGTTTGCGAGATTTAGATAATTTCTGCATTTCATCTGAATCTAAACACATTATAATATAAACATGAGTCTGTTAAATGATGCAGTCAGCTACCTAAACCTGAATTCCAAACTGACGTTCTTGTCTTGTGACCTTGGCTAGTTTGTTCAAGCTCTTATGTGCTTCTGTTTCTTCAACTATGAAATCAGAATAGCAACAATATCTGACCCTCAGAGATTACTGTGAGGATTAAATGGGCTCTTTTATGCAAGTGCCTTGAATAGTACCTAGCCCTTCAATATTCTGGCTGCTTTAATAGCCATTTGATTATAAAATAATGATGAGCTGTTATCCTATATTCAATATTCTTTATAAATAAGATATAAATAAGTTTAGCTTATGTTTAAAATTGTTTTTCTTTCATTTATTTTTCCCATTTATAAAACTGAACAATAATTGTACTGCTTTGTTAAATTTGCTAGAAGAATTGAGTTTAGAACTGTGAAGCAGAATACTCAGGAAAATTATAGAGTTGTTAGCTGGTATATTAACAGTGAGACTATCTTGTATTAATAACATCAGAATATCATATTCTTAGGACTTGATTAGTAAATATATTTAATGTTCTATTGGAGCCTGCTTAAATGCAGCTTAAATGCAGTTTGGCTATTATTATACCTCCAAAGTTTACTTAGTATGTGCCAAGCAATTTTCTACAGAATCAAAGAGAGTTGGGGACAAGGTCATGGTTGTAAAGCACTCCCTGTTAGAACTGGATCTCTTCACTTCCTCCTTTGACAGGTACCTGCATTCTGTACTGTGAGGATGGCCAGTGAGAAGTCTACTGAACAGCCCACTGACTAGGTGCTACACAGTGTGTTCTCAGAAACTGATAAATGCAACGGTATCAGTGAATACTCTTTGAATTTGGAGAAATTCAGGTACTTTTATTTCAGGCTTTTTGACTATCACAATTAAAGAAACTTTTTATTATTATTATTAGAAATGCACCCCCTGCCTCCAGAAAAAAAAAATCTAGTTCATGGAGTGGTTGTTTAGCCTGTTGATTCAGCCGTTCACAGCCCATTTTGAGTCCCTGGGTTGAATTCCTGCCTGGCTTCACTCCTGATTCTAGTTTCCTGTCAGTGCAGATCCTGGCAGGCAGCCATGATGATGCAAGCAGAAGGGAGATCTCTCTGTCCATCCTTTCATTCTTAAAAAAAAATGCCAGTTCCCCTTGAAAAAAAATACAAAAGAAATGAAGATGATCCTTTCCCATGGCTGAGAATTTTTTTTCCAGCAGTGTTTTCCAGTCAAAATAGAAGCAGTAAACAAGCCACAGGTGTGAACAGCATAGTTAGTTTTAAATTTCTAGTGGCCACAATAAGTGAGGGGACTTTTATTTTTATACTATAGGAAATATTATCCCACATACTATATGTTTCACTATGTAGTTAATATAAACAATTATTGTATTTGATTATTTCACAACTTTATTTCCTTTGTGCCATTATAAAATAGGTCAAATTGTAAGAATTCCAGTCATATAGAAATGTTTATTATTACTGCTTATAATCTCATGGGAAAAAATAATTTTCCCACAGATTTTCATTTAAAATCCTATATTTAGTTTCTGTGAATGCATTACCAATGAGCTTCTGTATGATGAAGAAATAATATAGGAATATGGAGAAGGGACCCTCTAATGATTTTTAAAGGGTTTTTATCTAAATCATCTTCTCTGAGTTAGAAAATAACATTGAATTTAATAATGTCATATCTGGGGAATCAGTTTATTTTCCTATAGAAATTATCAAGACAATTGAGAAGCACATTTGGAGTTCCTTTTTAAACGTCTTCACTAATGAAAGACATTGAAAAACTTAAAGCTATGTTTATTTTGTAACTGCATTTCTTTGAGACGGGATCAGGAAAGAGAGCGTTTCTACTCCCAGGTTCACTGAACCCCCCCAAGGCCTGAAATGGCCACGGCTGTTCTTGGACTGAACCAAGGAGCTGGAACTCAATTCATGTCTCTCATATGAGTCAGGGGAACTCAATTACTCTACTGTCACTGCCTCCCAGAGTCTATCTTCACAGGAAACAGGACTCAGGAACCTGAGTTCAAAATCAAACTCAGGCATTCTAATGTGTGCTGGTAGTGTGGGAACCACGACTTTAACCACAAGGCCAAATGCCCACCGTTTTATCTTAATTTTTGTTTTATTTATTTATTTTTTAAAGACATAAATACCAGAGGCCAATTCTCTGCTAAATCCAGAGTCTGCTCATCCCTTGACTTCCTCTGGCACCATGTCGACTCACCCCACTTTGGCTCTGTTTTCTACTATTTTAGACTGTTGTACTCAGAAGAAATCATTAAAACTGCAGCTTTTATGGCAGTGTAACTACAAGTACGTGTATTTATTATAATCTTGCTGTGTGGCAAATCCTTTAGGAGACAATTTTAGAGGTTCTTTCTTAGTAGAAATGTTTATATCAAAAGTAGATTAGATAAAACACCCAGACTCTTGACTGTCAGGTAGATGGTTGGGTAACTACTACAAATACTAATGACTGTCCCAGTACAAATATTAATCTCAAGCAATCAGGTAGATATTGAGAATTACTGAATGTTTTAATTCTGATGTATTAGCAAAAGATATTATGAATTACTTGAAACTATGTTTTATCCAACCCAATACACCATTATTTTATTTACAGTAATTCGCTTTCTGTTGCACATAGTGTTTACCCAAATGCTATTTTCTTAGATTGTTCTGATTCTTCAGATTAGGTCAAAATCCCAGATTATTCACCTTGCTAAAATTGCAGCTACAGTGTCCCATGTAAATTGCAGTTTCATAGCCCAGTATATACTGGATTCTCTACAAATCTGTATTAAATAAAAACACTTCTGAGAATGGAGATAGCAAGTAAACTAAATGGTATGTTAAATGAATGCATCAAAATGGAAAACATCCTCTTCTACAAGTGCAGTACTTCCTGTGAGGCCACATTAGCACATAGAATCCTGATTGCTAACTTGAGATGCAGATAACCTGAGGACTTGTATTATTCAGTCAAGGTAAACCAGCATCACTTGCTTGGGATTTTTGACATAATGTTCCTACTTAGTATCAAATCTTCATTTGCTTTCTTCACAAGTCTTTTTAAGATGCCTTAATTGTATATATATATATATATAAAGTGTATATGCCTCACACGCATATGCATATGCATAAATAGTACAATTCTAATGTGTGGGAGTTTGGGGGAAACAAGAAAATACACCAAGCAGGTGGGAAATGAAATGCTGGAACTTAGAAACTAGGTGGCAGCTGAAAAGATCAAAATGGGAAACCTTGTCAAGGAAACAAGAAGTGACTATGTGAATTTTGTTTTGGGATAATTTCTCACAGGAATGATCTTGATCAAGCAGACTCTGATAAGAACTTGAGGAATGTCCTGGAGATCCCTGTAGTTTATAGAGCAATGGTTCATTTCTCAACTTACCTAATATATTTTTATGTATCAAATGCAATAATTATTAGAGTATACTATGAGCAAAAAGCCAATTAAGAGTAAAAAATTTGTCTCCTACTCATATTTTGTGGTGGAATTTTCCTAGAAGAATGAACTCATTCATCATTTATAATCTTGTGGATTTTTTTTTTTTTACCTAACATACTAGCAAAATATAAAAAGCAGCCAGTGTAGCTGGAGTGGTTTTATGTATTATTTGTATCTGAATAATGTATATCTATCTGATATCATATCAGAAGATAAAAGGAAATCTAAAAATCTAGTTGTAATCCATGCAAGAATACTTGAGTACTTCTGAATATTTTCAGAATTGTATTCAATCTAATTTGGTCTTAATTTGTTATGCTAATTAGATGTAGCTGATTATAAGCTGTTTTTCCAAGGTATTTTTCAAGGCGCATAAGCACCCCAAAGAGGTTTTCAGTGTGTACAGCAATCATTTGCCAAATATTGGCCACTCTTTGAGGGTGGGCTGCCTAGCTCCCAGGCAAATGAGTTTCTTTTGTGAGCTATTTACATCCTCTAGTTCAGCCTTCTTTCATCAGGTTGTACTTAACCCTAGAACAGCACAGGTGTTATAATAAATGTGACACCAATAATTGCACATATACAATTACAAATATTCTGGCAGCTGTACTAACAAAAGGAAAAAGGGAAGTTATGTAGCATATGCAATTTTATTATCTCAATATAAGAGCATTATTTGAATATAAACTGAAGCTGAAATGCTTTTAATTAAATTGTGTATTTTACTTTTCTCTCTTTTTTGAATTGTCCTCAAAACCTGCTATGTATTTCACATTTAAAGTCAATTTGTTGAGGCATAAT